CCAATTAATATTCAAACGAATTAATTACGAGCGTACCTAAATGAAGTTCTTTAAATATGAATGGATTTTAAGAACAATCTTCAGTAATTATCGAATTGAAAAGTTAACAATACTTACAATTTAATTTCTCGCAACTCGGGGTGGTAATTTCGAATAATAATATTAAGGGTCTAGACAGCGGGTTGGGGTTCGGATTTCATTATAGGCTTCAGTGATTATGGCGTTACTTGCATGTGACGTCACGATTATCGTACCTTTGCAGGGTTGTTTTACCGTGGCCAGTGTGTCAATTTCATCCCCAGTTGGACAAAATGTATTTCTCTTCTTCTGTGTCTAAAAACTTCGCACCACTAACGTACCAACGCAAGAAATATGGAGTTTAAATGTCGAAGAAACATTATAATCTATTAAAAGATCTTTAACGTTTTAATAAAACACGGTAACGTTAACGGTTTAATACGACATATATTAGTGGCGTTAGGTTAGCAGGGAAACGCTGGATTCAACTAGCGAACGACCGGTCGTACTGGAAATCTATGGGGGAGGCCTATGTCCAGCAATGGACACTGAACGGCTGAATCATATATTAGTGGCGTAAGTTAGCAGCCGTGGTCACGGGGTGACTGCTGCTGCAAAGCATCCGAAACGTAGACGTTAAAAATCATTCAAATTATTAAAATCTTGATCAACTACTTGCCTGCACATATGGTTGGGGTTTGGAGGAACCCACTCTGACAAGAATAAATATGTATGTTAAATACGTGAAGACTGTAAAATAAAACTTATCGATAAAAGAAGTGGCGGCGAGCTTTTTGCCAGTTCTTCTTGTGCGATCTTGGTAGGCGTAGAACTAACATTTCAGAATTGGTAGTAAATTTAAATTTAGAGTCTTTAGTTTTTAACTAACGTTAATAAGTGTATCTAGTTACCTACGTGAATAAATGACTTTTTTATTTTAATTTCGACTGTAAGACCTCGAAACCTATAGTTTATAAACAAATCCGAAGCAGTCTTTGAGTCTTCGAACCCGCAAATCCATTCAACAAGCGCCAAATTGAATGAGGATTCCCCAAATAGGTCACAAATCACTTAGCTGTGGCAAATTTACTTCCCGAATGAAGAAATAAATATAGCAGGCCAGTGATATTTGTTTTGATTGTTTTGTATTATTTAATTTAACAACTTTATTGGGTCGTTGGTCTAATGGTAGCAAAGCACGGCTAACAATAAATGGGTCATGGATTCGATCCCCACCGGGTCCAAGATATTTCTAATGAGTTTATTATTTTTATGAAACATTTTAGATTTAGATATCGTCTGGAAATCTGGATATTTAATGGATGGCAGGAATATTGAAATGTGAAAAAGCCTTGAAGTTTAATTGCGTTTCGTGGTTTCGTGGATTCGATTCCATCCATGTTGAATATGTTTCTAACCGTACTCTACAATTTCTTTTTTTAATATAGAGGAGGACAGAAGATGGTAGGAGAAATACCCTAGCCATATAACATGTAAACAAGTTACGCTGTCGACCTATTTTGGCTTTGGCTATTGAAACTATTAAGGAGCCCCTTTAACAGTTTCAAACACGAAATATATTACTCAACTTATTTACTGTACGGCTGTACAGCAACCGACAAGCATCCGGAACGTCGGGTCGTAAAGTTTAATAATGTAAGTCGATTTTTAAGTAATTTGAAGTTTGATTAAAACTGCTACTACTTTTCTCAACAACTTATACCGTGAATATTTGGACTTAACTGGAAGGAATATCAGAATTCCATCTAGGGCATAAACTCTAGATGGGCGTCCATATCCATAGATATAAAGGACTGGGGCTTTTTACATTCCATCAAGAGACTTTTAAAACTGGATATCTCTCGCAACAGCATTGAGTTGACTTAAGGGCAGGTGACATATGTCACTCACATGATTAATCAACTATACGCTGTTTACCTATTTTTACTTCGATGTATCGGATTTTCCCTGTTGCTTTTCCATCTCTATGGCGGGCAAATCCCTCGCCCTATTTTATCGACAATTTCGTTTAAGTGAGTCTGAAATCATAACAGGTCAATTTAAGGTGCGGGGCGTTTCACGTTCAATTGAGTCCTATTGTCACTCTGACATGGAAAAACTTAAGTAAATTATAGAAAATAGATACATGTGTATTGTCTGTAGCTTACGCGAATAACATTTCAATAAAACAATTTTAACGGTTACGGAAAGTCGGGCCGTAGTTTCAGATGTTCTTAAATTAGATTTATAAAAACTTAATTAGTTTTTATATTATATGGGCTTCACTGCACACAAGCACTTATCAGAAAAGTATTTGTATAAACCTCTTTAGTCGGTTTAAAACGCGAAATATATTACTTGAACCCAGGACCTCTCGCGCTCAACGCATTGCTAGGCAATACGTTTTACTAATTGGCTATTATTACTTAATCTATTTTAAATATAACCCGCGTTAACAATATTTCGCTTTAAACCGTTAAAAATGTTTCATTATCAAAGTTTCGACATTAGTCGTTCAACTGTAGTTTCAAAATATGAGTATAACACTTGCCTACAGATAAATGGGCTACTGATGCTGATTTATTAGGGTTCCTTATCCAGAAGGTAAAAACATGACCCTATTAGTCAGACTTCGGTGTCTGTCTTTCTGTCGGTTTGGCCACCACGATAGCTAATTGAAATTTTCACTAGTACGTATTTTTCTATAAAAAAAAAATAATTTAAAAACTTGAACTTAAAGAGAGAGCACTTTTTTCTTCTACAAATACAAAATACTTACAATACTACAATGACACTTATAATTATGCTTAATACACTACTTAATCATTTATTGATATTAGAAAATCTTGAAATTTAATATGTGCGTTGTCTAACAGACAAACAGCGAGGTTTTAAGAACCGTCTATAGTTTAGGCAAGATGCAAGAGTAGTACACATTTTAATAAAACACTTTAACGTCTCAAAACGAGAAATGTATTAGTTATACTTATTATACATTATTTTAACTACGGCCATGCGTGCATGATGATATGCAGTAGCAGTGGTCATGGGGAGACCAAGTGGTGGGTGGGAGCGGGGTTTTGCTGAAAATCAGTGTTGTAGCGTATAGAGCTTTGCTGCAATTTATCCTGATCAGGACCCTTTTGGCATCACTTTCCTCTCTCTCCTATCATTCTTGTTAATATAGACCAAAATTTAAACAATGTAATAGTTTTTAAAAGTTTAACTACAGTTATATACATACTGTTACAACTGAAGACTGATAAACATACTGATTCTAAAAATATCTTTTCAATAATTTTCCTTCGAATTCACACTGAATTCATCAATTCCCATTGACGATAAACGGCACAGAATATTAACATTTTTTTTATTCTGAAACGTTTGAAATGTCATATTTATTTTTAGTCTGTTATTGGTCCCTCACGAGCGCCTTTCCATAAGCATTTACGATAGCTAATACGTATATAATGCCCGTGGGACTTAGCGCTACATTTTTTTCATACATTTTCATATAACGTTGACCCCAATAAGATGAGTCACGGGTACGATTTTTACCTCTCAGAATTATATTGTTTAGTGGATCGTACCCATGTTTTTATATTCGTACAAACATTAATTATTTTTTATTAGAATCAAATAAAGAAAACGTACATTTCTAAATTTTATTTCTGTATCAGAATATTATTAATAATCCATATATATATAAAACACTTTAACGGTTTCAAACGCGATATATTAGTTAAACTTATTTGAAAATGATTTTTAACTTCGGCCCGACAGCAGCCGTGGTCACGGGGAGACAGTCTCCTCGTCATTCATTCAATCATCTCAAATGAGTCATCAAGATCATTTTCAAATAAGTTTAAGTAATATATCGCGTTCTGAACCGTTTAAGTGTTTTATTTAAATGTGTATTACTGGCGTAAATTATAGACAGTATTTAATAATCCATATATCCAATATTGTTAACGGTTTGGTAAGTAACGTCAGGAAACCGTGGTTCGATTTAATTACGAAAGAAAATAAAATGATGATACATATTTCATTTACCATGTATGTCATGCTAATTTCATTCTTAACTAATCCCGAAAAAGGTCGTCATTAGTTCTTGAAAGACATAAAAAACAGATGGCGCTAGTAGCAGATTCCACTTAAAGATGCTCCCAGTATCTGAAATGTCAATTTATAGTGAAAAATAAATTTCCACATGTAGGCGTTACAAAGAGTTGAATTTGAGTTTTCTTGTATAATATTTGGTTACGGTATTATAAATTATTTAATTTTGTTAGACACTTGGACGTACGGACTAAATCTTGTCGATTTATTTTAAACACGTGACGCCAAATGCCCCAACCTCAAAGGTCAAGCAGACCACTAACGATGCTATTTGTTCGGTCAAAATGTGATCCAACCGACTGAGTCGGTTAGTAAACGGGAGGTCGAGGTTATGCATTTATTTATTAAAACTTTATTGTAGCACAGGTAAAAATAATAATAATAATACAAAGTCCACAAGCGATCACTTCCAGGCAAACACAAGTATGAAAGGGACGAAACATAATTCACTATTTTTTTTTCTTATTTTATTTATTTATAAATAAGAACGAATCCAGGTTTTTCACGAATCAAATCACAATTGTAGTGTCAATGTTCATTGATTGTAACGGGTGGTCATCAAATCCACGACCGAAGGAAACAATATAAATATATTTTTATGTTATTACTATCTAGTTCATGGAAGTTCGCTTTTTGAGGCTCAATTTCGAGGTCCTTGGTTCGAACCCGAGAGAATCACTGAAAAGTATAGAGAAATTACTTGGGATTTTTATTTATTTAGACACAAAAGTGTTTTAATGAAACGTTGTTTTGGACCGTTAGTTATAACACAAAAACGCTAAACTCTTTATCTTAGTACGTAATTTTGCATAACAACTTTCATAAACACAGGTCTTTTGCGGTTGCAACAGCTGTACCAGACTATGCTCCCCGGGCGAGCCACGTTCAAGATAACGCTGGTGAAACGCATCAACAGTGCATCGGAAGCCATCGATTTCCTCCTAGCTGTCGAGGAGAACGACCGCTGGAGTAACAAACGTATAGTACTGGATTGTAACGCTAAAAACACGAAGAGTGTTCTGGTGGAACACGTTAGGAAGGTTGAGCTGGGAAGGCGGACTTATCACTACTTACTTACTGGTCTGGTAAGTAAGGTTTTTGTTCAGTTTGAAAAATGTATCCGTTTAACTAAAGTGTGTGTATAAAATACACATCACATCAAACTTATATTTTCACAACTATTAAATTGTTAACGTGTTGCCTAGCATTCCGGTAAGTGCAGAGGCTCTAGATTCAAATCCTGAGGAAACAAATTGACTAGCTCATTGGTGTAATGGTAACATTTTATGTCTAATAATCAAGGGTCACCCACCGGGTCCCACATTTTTGTAATAAATTTATAATTATTCTAGAACGTGTTAGACTTAGTCTGGAATTGTGGATATGAAATAGGTGGAAGGAATATAAAAAACACGGTCTACTGATTTCAAAGTAGTGAAGTTTAATCGGTTTCAGTCTGTGGGTTTCCGATTATCCAAAGCTAAAATAAGTGGACAGAGGATTTTATTTAAATATTATATGACGGGGATATTTCACCTACCAATAAAGTGAATGGTATGTTTGTCTGTCATTAACAATAGATTGTTTCGGTCAGGTTGGGCACAGAAGTCTGACAAACTACTTTCGGATTCAGTGAAACGAACACAGAAATGTATTCCCCCTGTCTCAACAGGGGAAACGAATCTTGACACTCTGTTTACCAACTAATGATGTTATATACACGTCGATTCTATTAATATAGGCAACGCAATTTGAGAGTAACCCTCTATAAAACATGCTTGTATGAAAATAGCTATTAATCTGTCAGATGAGATTTTAATTAGATTATTTAGACCCCAGATTAAAGATAGCGTAGTGTTTAATAATGAGTATAAAGACTGGCTCATATTGATAACTATGTGAGTAGTATAGCAACACGATCTCGTGAGTTCAGTGGTAGCAATGCTCATAATCAACGGTTCGTTGCTTCCACTGCGGCCGAGTAACATGTTTTCTATGGAAAATTTGCCACGTTTCGAATTAACTCTATCGATTTCTGGTTCAAAAATAGGTCGACAGTGCATTGTGTTTTAAAATGAAATAGTCAGAAAATAAAAATAAATACATTTTAACATTTGTCTCTATGGTTGACGTTTTCGTCGTAATATTAGAAATAAATTGAGATTTATAGTTATGTCTTATACGATAATTATCAATATAGTTTAGAATTTACTAACTCAGTGAGATTGAACCCACGTTCCATTGCGGCATGACCTGCTATCGAAATTATTAATTAACGTTAAACTTAGTCATCTTAGCGGACCCATGTCATGTGATATAAAGAATAATGACACAAAAGGCGAAAAGTATTATTCAAATTTATTTAAAAATTAATATAATTACGGCCCTAAGTTTTGGATACAGCAGCCGTGGTCACGGCAAGACGTCGGGCCGTACATAAACTAATTTGTCGTATTTTAAACGGTTATAAATGTTGGAAAACTTTAATATTTTTCACACGTATTGCACAGGATGTCACTGTGTAATTTAAAAATCGAAAATATTTGAAAAAAAAAATTGAAAATTTGTCTCGGTAGCTCAATTGGCAACAGCACGGAACGCTGACGATGCCGGTTCAAATCCTGCCCGAGTCAAAAAAAAATTTTTCAAGTTATTTTCGATTCTTAACAAACAACAAACGACACTAAAATATTTCACAGCTGACTACTACACTAGGAATCGAATCAGTGACTACGAGGCGAAATTCGGTTATCAAATCATTTATTATTCACCAGTGTGTACCTAATTACAAAGTATAAACTAAATTAAAGTTTGTCGAGACAATAAGATAAATGAGTGTCGTTGCGCCGTGGATTCGCGTCACGTACAAGGCGCAGACGAGAATTTAAGGCTTTCAAATTAACAGGTTATGGACGATCAATGGGAGAACGAGGTTACCGAATACGGAGCGGTGAATATCACTGGCTTCCGCATCGTGGATCACTCGCGGAGGGTCGTACGGGAGTTTATTGAGGGTCTACGGAGGATGGACCCGCGATTCAAGGGAACTATATCTGTGAGTATATTTTATATAAGACTACTAATATGATACGTATCTATCGGTTACGACAGCTGGATACTTCTACTACTATTTAGTTAATAGTTATCGGTGTGTTTGAGATGTGTATGATAATGTGATTGCAGTGTAGTTTTTTTTTCTACACACACTTGCTTGCGTTTTTGTCAAAACAAAAAAAAATCCTTGTTATTATTGGCCTAATATTTCGTATTAAATATCAAAGCCATGTACTATTGAGTACAATTATAAAATGAATAAATATTATATACTCTTTGCTCAAGTGTACGAAACCAAAAAAGAACACATAAATGTGTGAATGCTTATGTACTGTGTGCGTTTATATATTGAGAATTTACATGAAAATGCCTCAAACATCATTCGGATATTCTTGTACTCGTACTTCGGGTGGGATCGAAGTCATAGCGATAATTCTTGAACACGATATCAACAAAATTTTACGATGATCCCCAGTTGTAATATAAAGTCGGACCAAGGTGCTAAATATGAAGGAAATTCAGAGTTTTATAGCGTCTGATCAAGTCATAATCGCTGCATGAATTATTTCGACGTTTTCATGTAACCTTGTTTAGGATAATAGTCTATATTTTAGGCACTCAATTGAGTGACGTAATAAAACTCATATTTTTTTATTATATTTTCTTTTTAAATTGTTGAATACTTGAAACGTTTTTTAAGCTGATAACGACATGATGGCATTATATAAATTAAAAAACGATTTTAAATTTTTGAACCTTCTAATTTCGTACAATAATTAATCGTAAATCGTAATAAAATGTAGGAATATAATTAATAGTTTTAACACTTAATAAGTGTTTCGTACATCTTGTTCGTACGACTTGAAAGATCGGTACTAAAAGATACTTAAATAGATTTTTTGTTTCTTGTTTTATCTGAGTGTAAACAAAGTTGGTAATACAATCCGAATTCGTTCATTGCTAGTTCGTAAAGTATTATAAAACACAAATTCATTATTATGACTTTAGTAATTAAAAAAATAAACAGGAGAAGAGAATAAATGCTAGAAATTCCAACGCAATTTCTGTGCTTCCAATGAAAAAGAAATGGAAAGTACTTTTACCAATGCTGATTACTTGAGTTGGACGATTTGCTAAAATAACCTAGATTACTATTTCCAGCTAAAATAGGTCTAGTTTTTGTATCGGACTTATCTTTTTAAGTTAACTTAAGATTTACTTAAAGTGTTAACTTTGCAAAATGTTATGGTCTTGGTGAAAAAAGTTGTTAAAATTGATTCATTGTCTATTAAGTAAAGAAGTAGAATAAACAAGTTCTTTAACTTCGAAAATCTAGATTTTAGGACTTATTAATATTTTTCTAACCTCGTTTTACTTTCAACAGAGTGTAGTTAACTAACTTAAGCGTTAATATTTAAATAACATAATTAGTTTAGTGATCAATTAATTATATATTCTATTATCTCTCAAATCGGAGCCAACGTTATAGACAACCAAATTACTGCTTATAATATCACTATAGATTTATAAACGGTTAATCTTATAAATCTATAGTGATATTATAAGCTGAAGAATTTGAACGCTTTGCTTTTCTCATGATCTACAGGTTCGAATTGAAAAATTCTTCTTGTGTTGGCAATTATCGAGAACACTTTAAGACACACACAGTCTGCGACCAATAGGAGCAGTGAAATAGTGGGTAATGTGTAAAAACATGTAAATTATTCATCTTAGAGGGTTTCCGTAGCATGCGCTACGAAAATGGCGCAAGAGACCCAAGAACATATATATATACATAAATGATTTTTTTTAAATAGTCTAAAAAGTATTATCAACATTATATGTCTTTATCTTTTAAAATTAATTTGCAAGAACCGATTTTATGGTAATCAAAGTGGATCGAAATAAAAAAAAATTGTATCAAGATTATATTATAACAAATATTTTGCTTATAGTTTTAACATGGTATGCAGCTTCATATTGATCAACGTTATTATTTAACGTAAGTAACACACGATAACACAGGACTATTCATAACGTACGTTACAACTTATTATTATCTACAAGCTTATTCTTTTATCTTCCTTTATAAAGAGACCCCCTCTTTAGCGAAGCTAATCAGATGACCTCATTTGTTACCCCTTACATACGCCATTTTATATATAACTAGCGGCACGTCCCGGCTTCGCGAGAGTAGACATAAATAGGTACAGATATTTATATTAAAAGCATGCTAATCAAAACGACCATGAATCACTAAATTAGAAAAAAAAGGATTGCGGGTCCCAGCTTCTTGTGAGCGATCTTGTTTAGCTCGCTGTGTCAGGAGCCGCTGCCAGCGTTCAGTGTTAGAGTCCCGTGCACGCGTTCGAGAATTTACTCTATTTCCTTCAAGTCGCTGCGAGGCCTTGGCGCTTGACTGTCGTTCGTATAGCTGCGATGATCTTGCATTTCGTTCTGCAGGACGAACTGAACGTTCACAACGTGAACAAATATTATGCAAAGTGTGATTCCTAACACCAAAACTAAGTGGCTCTGAAAAGAACTTTTTAAGTGAAGCATAAAAATGTTTAAAAAAAACTCTAAATATCCAATGCCCCTTTCGTCGAGTTAGTTACTCGATGCGCGGAGTGGCGGTCGCCGTCGGCATGTATTTTTATTTTAATTTCATGACATCTTTTGAATAGAATGTCCGATTTCAATAATTAAAAAGTAATTTCTTTGTTTCTTCGCTACTATTGGTCGGATGTTTTATAGCCAAAAGCCTTTCCTCAATAATTGGTTTATCCAGCACAAAGACCTTTTCAATTCGAATCAGTAATTCCAGAGATACTAATCAAACAAACTCTTCAGCTTTATAATATAAGTATAGATAAACCATTCTCGTAAGTCTGTTAACGTAAAACGTGTTGTCATGCATTACGTAATGCATTTTCATTCATCAACATAATGATGTTTTAGGGTCGATTCCAGATATGGACACAAAAATATATCTGCGATTTTGCCTTGACTAGGCGTTTCACTTTGATACAGAAAATGTATTAATTTCAGTAACTTTAGCATACTGTGACCTAAAATTTAAGGTTCCGCAAAGATGTAATTAAAACTAATAACAAACTCGCGCGGAACCGCGAAGCATTAAAAAGAGTAATTTAGAGGTCAAAATTATAACGAATATTGCTACTCAACTTTGATGCAAACCCAGAGTGTTATCGAAGTTTGTCTAAAAGCTATTACGTGACCGCTACTTGCATATTCAGCCCGTTACATTATTAATATATTTCGTATCACTTTATTAATGTGACTAGCTGTGTCCGCGAATTCATCCTTGTGGAAAAGTTGTTTTAGGCGTCATATTATTTATTTTTGCAAACAACCTTCTCAATCTCTCTGTAAATTATAGCTATAACCCGCAAGTAGTTATTCTTAAAACATAGACATCATTTAAAGAGAAATCTTGAATCATTTTTACAGCATACGCAACGAAAAGCCTCAAAAGTGCATATTTTTCCCAGTTTTTCTACATTTATATCTAATTCTTTGCTCCTATTGGTCCCAGCCTGATGTTTTACGGCCTAAAGATTTCCTAGATAAATGGTTCAAAGACAGATCAGAATTCTACACCATCCCAACCCACGCTGTATCATATTTTACTACTTTAATTTAACCAAGTATTTTCATATCTGAAACTTAATATCGTCAAATTTGTTTAGAATACACTTGAGAAATTAAAAAAATATATACTTAAATAGCCGTTAATAATTATGATCTAAATCATTATTACTCAATGAATTTGGCCTAATGATACGCAGCGGTATAGACAGGTAGAGTCCCGAGTCTAATATTTTCAACAACATGCAGTTTGAATGCGTCGGGCCGAAGTTAAAAATCATTTTCAAATAAGTTAAACTAATAAGTATATCGCGTTTTAAACCGTTAAAGTGTTTTATTTAAACATGCAATTTGCGAGTTGTATCGTCAAACCGGAGGTATTTTTAGTATGAGTGCAATCCCGAGGGTTTATTGGTAGAATTTCGTTAGCACATCACTAAATTTGAAATTAGCAACGGGCTAGGTACATTTGAACTTGCCAAAAATGTAAAAATGTATGGAACAAAACACAGTCGTTCTAACAAACAACTCGGGGTGCACTTTCGCCAATGTCAAATCAAACTACATTGTTAGAATTGCTTCTAGATTGTTGGAACGTATTTTCGAATTGTTTAGTCGCATATCGATTGAGCAAACCCGGTGATTGGAAACATGTATTCGTTACTTATAATTGTTTTGGAGGATCGTAGTGTCCGAATCACCTGAGTGAGTTTACAAACGTTCTCTCGAGTAGTACACATTTGTATAAAACACCTTAACGGTTTTAAAGCACTGAACATATTATTTCAACTACGGCCCGACGTAGTCACGGGGAGACAGAGACAGAGACACGGCGAGTAGCTAAATTAATTTTCACATAAGTTTTAGTATATATATCGCGTTTTAAACCGTTAAAGTGTTTTATTTATAGATGTTTCTCATTGCTTTTCAAGGTTAATTTGCTATTTTAAACATTGAAACTTAAAGACACAATAAATAATTGGAAACAAAGTGCAATAGATTGTTACGTATAATATCATTCTTTATAAATATAAACTCTCTATTAACATACAAATAGATCATACTTTGGTCCCTTCACTTCCTTCAAAAGGCTTACCATTTAATATTCAGAATAATCTGACCGTACCTAATGTTATATTTCTTATTAATAAAATCTCAGGAATACAAAAACCTTATGACCTTATTTTAAGTATAATAATAATAATAATAAAACACTTTATTGCACAAACACATAAAATACAAATACAGTAATACTAAATTAATTATTTACAAAAAAGAGCTAGTGCAAAAGCGGCCTTATCGCCTTTGGCGATTTCTTCCAGGCAACCTTTGTATAAATAAAAGGAAAAAAAAATAGCAATACATGAATAAAAGCCAACGAGAATGAGAGAGAAAATGCAATTATGTAGTTGTAAATTACAATGATTATTATCATTACTACATTATACTAACACAATAGAAAACGTTAACACACTAAAAAGTAAAAACTTAAGATTATAAGTACATATAATTCATATATTCCAAGTACTGTCGGTAGTTTACGCGAGTGGTATACATTAAAATTAAACACTTTGAACGGTTTAAACCGCGTAATATATTGGTTAACATAATTCTAACTACGGTCCGCCGTTTTACGATTAACTTTTCCAACAAACTTCTAACGTGATGTGGAACAATTATATTTACTTTAAATTAAACAAAATACAAGTCAAATACTGATTTCGTTCATGTTTATCTTTACAATACGAGCTTTTATTACATTGTAACCTATTTTGGGTCTGTTTTTCTGGTTTCCAGCGAAATAAGATTTGGTCGGAATATTTCATTCAATTAATTTTAGCGTTCGTCATGAAATTACTAGAAACTTTCACAAAGAAATTTAATATATGGCATTACGATTGTCATATATTTCCGTCATGAGTGCGGATACTAAAGGTGTCGGAGGAGGAAATTATAAATCGGGTGAACCAACTGCCTCACACGAGGACATGTGAGACGTCATGATGAACTTGTGTGTCGCAGTGCTGCCATCTATATTTAACAAATCCACTTAATAGTTTGTTATACATATTTAAAAAAGAATAATTGTTATACTTATCTTAAATCTTTTTTGTAGCTCAAGCTACGCACAAACATTAATCATTTTCGCCGTTTTGTCGAACCTAAAACTTTTCTCGATAAATGGTCTAACCAACACATAATTTTTCAATTCAAACCAGTTCCTGGAATTCAATTCGCGCGTTCAAACTAACAAACTCTTCAGTTTTATAATAATAAGATAGATATGTGGTATGATAGATATAGGTATAATCGATATAGTAACATTGACGTTTGACAAACCGTCAATGAGAGATGACAGGCTGTATTGACAACTTGTTATTTTGAAATAACGTCGGGGTAGGGATTTATGAAGGTGAGACATATCTCGTGGCCGATCTAGTTATTCACGTGAAACAATTTAAAGCTAATATTAGTCACTAACGGTCGGTCGCGTTAGATGCTACTACCACTGTACTGAACTTACTTACTTACGTGTCCTAAAGTAATCCATTTGGATCGATACAATCGTTGCGTGTTTTGTCTTGATACGTTTTAGACTACGAGTTTTTAAATAGTCTTTTGTACAATAAAATAAGACGTTTGTTTGACTATTCTATTGGGCCATCCGACAGCGCTTCTTTATATATAATAGTTAAGTAAATTATTATTTATCCAGGCTCAAACAGCCCTGATGTACGACGGAGTGCAGGTGTTAATGGATGCCTTAGGAAGACTGTGGAGAAAGAAACCAGATTCGTTCAGAGCCGCCCTGCGCAGGGCAGCAACTTTAGCCAACACAACTAAAGTGATAGATTGTAATCCTGGGAAGGGCTGGGTTGTGCCCTTCGAACATGGAGACAAAATCTCTCGACTTATTAAGAAGGTAAGAAGTAATCTTGAATCTGTAAAATTAGAACTTTAAAAGAATTTGTTTTAACATTAAAGTACATCAGTCATAAGTCACAAGTAGACATTTTTAAATAAAACACTTTTAACGATTGAAAACGCGAAATATATTAGTTAACTTATTCCAAATTTAAGTCGTAGTAAAAAAAGGTTAAATAATATGTTTCACGTTCAAACCCGTTAAAAATATTTGATTTATCTACAGACAATAAATAAATAGATATGGATATGTAAGGGTTCAACTTAAATTTTGTAATCGCTTAATTATGTAGTTAGCAGCAAACTATTTAGTATTTTCTTAAACTTTATTCGTCTCTGTAGCTCAGTTACCAAGCAGGAGAGGTCCTAAGTTCCAATCCCGGGAAAACAATAAACAGTTTCAGTGTAACACAGGAGTTTGATATCTTTGTAATAGAATTATTAAATGAAATAGCCATAGATATGTGTTCATCCCATACCCCACAAGGGAAAGAGGGTGCTATTTTTGAATCCCATCATCATTGCTTTTACCTCGAAAGGTTCCAAGTTTGTGCCGTGGGAATTTCAATGCATTTCTTTTTTTATATATTGGTATAGCCGCAGTAATATAAAATATTATGTATCATATAATATTCATTTCAAATAATATTCTTGAAATCGAAAGTAACATCCTGCCATGCGATAAATTATTATCATTACGCTCGCAGTACCTACCTTTTTACACGACATTTATGAAAGGGCGCCCTAATAAAACGCTATTATTTATGTCCTAACGTAACACTCCCTATATTCCTTAGGAAATATTGGCTCCCGACACGGTAAAAAAGGGATTTCCGAAGTACTTACAAACTTGAAGACATTAGTCCGAGCAGCTGGTCTAACCACCTTTACTTTATGTGATCGGGGATCGAGTCGTTTCAGAGATTTATTTGAAGTTTAACCGACTTACTTTTACGAGAAGATGATTCGAAAATCAATTTCAAATCGGTGTTCTGCATCTAAGCACGATGTTGTCCAACGGCATGTGCATCTAGCTAATCGGTTCGATCCCCAATCGTGCATTAAACAATATCGTGTTGTTAGTATTTAAGTTCGTTTTGCTTTGAGACAGATCGAGAAAACAGCGTGATTTTTACTCATATAAATCTATATATAGGTATTTCTCTAATCCATAATATATAAAAAAGCTTGGGCAATATTTAAATTTTATACATTATAAAATAGATTAAAGTATAGATAATATAAAAATAATTAGCTGAATCTGTTACCAAGGACAAGTCTCTCTTCTTCTCATTCTTTTTTTTTAATTTGCTAGTTCAAGAATAGTTCTTACAGTAAAATAAAATAAAAATTTAAAAAAAAAATTAAGACGATTCGATTTTTAACGATGGTTAAAAGTAATTTTGAACTATAATAAAAAAAGGCCAAATGTTCGTGGAGGATTTCACGAAGGGAAAACATATTTGGTAAATCTGAAACTGTAATGATTTAAATAAAGGACAAATATTTTATTTCATTAAATAATGGTGAAAAATTACTATATACATAGTAATTCATAATCTTTTTCACACAGAAGCAAGTATGTGAATATGATGTCTCGATAAATATTATCGTCTTTGTAAGTATTGCGCTAGTGTTCGGGTTGTATACCTAATATCATTATTTATTCCACAGACGGATATAGAGGGACTCACTGGAAACATTTCGTTCAACGAGGAGGGACATCGTAACAATTTCACCTTGCAAGTTGTTGAAATGACTGTTCAGAGCGCTATGGTCAAGGTTAGTAAAGTACAAAAATTGAATTATTGTTTGTCATTGTCTTAAGAGTACTGTACTCAAAGAGTTAAAACTGGAACCTAGTAGTCTTACTATTATATCATCAGCATGTCAGACAGACAGCGATGGTCTCATCTGTCTGACAGGCAATACAACATAGACAGAAATACATAATTTATTATGTATTTCTCGTGCCATTATCAAAATCTATACTAAAAAACAACTTTATTAATATTTATTAAGACTCCTACAGGTTTGTCAAATATTTAGTACTCAGTGGTATTTTTACTTTAATTATACAATATTAAATGTACAATGTGACGCTTATAGGTACATATTGGCTTTTGTGTTTTAGGCGGTATCTTGAGTTTATTTTCTCCATGCTTCATTTTTCGTACTAAGACTTCTTTCATTTTAGTAACTAATAAATGGCTTTATTCTAAATTAATTAAAATATCTATAGTCTATGATTAGAATTTCCTCCGATAGAAACCACCTCCAATGAACAATACTTTCGGCCGTGGAGTAAGTACATTAAAGTTTCAAATTATTCTTAAATTTACCTCATTAATTATTTTCATATATGTACGTCCTTTTAAGAGGTCCATAAATAAAGAGGGATATAATTCATATTGCGCCCATAAAGTGAATTTTACCGACTTTCGTAATGGCCCTAAGAAAATCTTAGGTGCGTACAAGTTTCTACATCAGTCAGCGCGTAACAAACTCCACTGAAACTTATTTAATACAAAGTTTATTTCACTTCATCTTTTCCTCGTATAAATCGTAAAATGCTCTTATTAAAAGAATAGCTTTGTCTTTCTGTGTTTCAACATCTATTGGATTATTTTTGTGTAAATGATCAGGTTTTTTTAGTTGGTCAGTTAGCGATCAGGTTCAAAGTTCGAATACCAGATGGGGCGAGTAGTTCGATATTTGGGCTTTTTCTAAGACACTGTAACTAACAAAAAGTATGTGCTGTTGTCGCCCTATGCCTCGGATAGCAAGGTGAACTATCGGACACAGTTAATATTCTTAATTGAGTGATGATTACCGCTAACTTTAACTGGGGTAAAGAAACAGATTAAAAAATAAATTGTATGTTAAAATTTTAAACATTAAACTAACTTTGTTTTCATAAATTTCTAATTAAAATATTCATTCGTTACATAATCTCATGTTCCTTCCTTTTATTTATGATTATAAAATATTGGTTATTACTTCTTGTCTGTGGTTTTGCTTGTGTAAAATAGCATCTATGTACCCATAAGTTATTTTCCCTTCGTAGCGCCATTGTTTCGGTCGGACAAGGCACGGAAGTCATCAACTATTATTAATAATGAAGATTAATGAAACGGACACAGAAATGATCACTACCAATTCTAAAAATAGACATGTTATTCTGTTTTAAAAACGAATGAATGTTAAGCGAAAGATGGTTCTATAATTACCTATTAAAATTTGTCTAATATGTTATTGCTTTAGGTTGCAACATGGTCAGACAGAACCGGCCTCAGTCTCGCATCTCCAAAGTTCACCCGACTCCATACACCAACCTCCTACGATACGAACAAGACCTTCATCATCACGACAATCCTGCAAGAACCCTATTTGATGGTGAAACAAAAAGAATTTGGACACAGGGAGGAGCAATTCCACGGATTCTCCAAGGATCTCGCTGATTTCATCGCGAAACGACTAGGAATTAAATGTAGGTAGTTTTAGTTACTTTTGCTTTTCGTACCACCAATTATTGTCAAGTTGAGTTGACTTAAAATTTAATTGATAGATCAGTTGTACAACACTAACTGGCTTTAAGAATTCGGAAATCCACAGACTAAAATCAAAACACAGATTTACATTTTATTTTGGGTAGTGGTTATCCGGACGGAATGTCTATAATTTAAATAAAACACTTTCAGCTGTATAAAATGCGAAATATATTAGCTTATTCTTAATCTATTTTAACTATGGCTCTACGTTTTGCAAGTGCAAAATTAAACCGTGTTTTAAACAACAATTAAAAGTGTTTTATTTTTACTCGGGTGAACTTACTAAATATATTATTTTAAGAAAGATGTTGGGAATGATGAGATTCGAACTTACGACTCCTTGATTATTGGCCATTAGCGAGTTAGAACATTAGAGCGAAACGAAAAATATTTTTGAGCCTACCAAGGCTAAAGAAGCACCTTCAATTAAACTGTAGATTACATTGTACAGGAGAGATAACATCTTCCTTTTTGTCAGGTTGTTAAGTGTTAATCGTGTTGACCTTTCGCTTAAGTAAAAGTGTTTTCAGATGAAATAAAAATTGTGCGAGACGGGCAATTCGGCAGCGAGACGCCAAATGGATGGTCGGGTCTTGTAGGTGAAGTTTTAAGGAAAGTAAGTTTCATCACTTGAACAAAAATTCTTGTTTAGTATTAGCTTTCCTATAGAAATTTGCGTTCGGTTCGCCGAGTGTACACTCTGCTTTACAATCTTCTTTAGCATAGTAAATTGTATACATTTTTCGACTTCGTACATTGTTAATATCGGTTGAGTAATAAAATTGATCGTTGTACGCTGTGCAGCTGCCATCTATAAACGGAACGGCTTCTCCAATATTGCCGACAGAAGTGAAAGAAACCGTAAAAAGTTTTTACTGTACTTTCATAGAATAGGGAAACATCATAAAAATAAAAATAAAACCATTGTCTTATCTTACTAGCTTTCTTAGTCTAGTTAGATAGAATCCTGGACATTGGAAAATGTTAGATCTGTAAGTGAAATTTTGTTGAAAAATGTTATTGCCACCCCGCAGACCGTATAAGTTAGTAGCTCTAGAGCAGCGCGGCGTGGTGTCATCAAAAAGAATATCTCTTTATCTCTATCTTCCTTCTCCCTTGCGCATAAGAATATATTATTATTATTGTTTCTAATGTCAATTCACGTTATCTGCTAACCATTTCAATTGCGACAATAGTAAAGGGCTTAAAGAGAGAGTTGGTTAACCAAATGTTAACCAACTCTCTCTTTAAGCCCTTTACACCTTCCAGTTTCCATGCAAAATCTTATTATTTGTTCCATAAAAAAGTATAAAACACGAATTAGTCATTTTGTCCACCCTTTGAAGAAATATAAACCTTAAGAAAATCCTAGATATTTAATACTTTCTTGAAAAATAAGATTCCCAACAGTTTCATTTTACTAAAGATCTTTGACTTGAAACTGTAGAATGAATGTCATATTAAGGACTACTTCTATTTTAAATTAAAACAGTTTCTAAGTAACGATGAAAGGAAAATGCGCTATCCGATTTGTAAGGGTTTGTATGATAAAGCACTTTATTTCGTTAAAAATGATTTTCTAAATCTTGAATTTGCGAGGATTTGTAAATCAACATTTTTATGTATTGTAATTAATTACCTTTGCTAGTTATTTATATTACATGAATTTTTATCTCAGGACTACTAAGACGTTCTAGAATATAATTCTAAGGATATACAATCAAAGATTGCAAATGAAGCTAATATTTTATTCCATAGGAAGCAGATCTCGCGCTTGCTCCATTAGCTATTACCCCCGAAAGGGAGAGAGTGGTGGATTTCACTGAGCCATTTTTGTCTGTCGAAAATCCGATTATACAAACAAAGACGCCAAAGCAACTATCCGATACTTTCAGCTTTTTACGGCCTTTGTCTAAGGAAATATGGGTGAGTGTAGATCTTACGGTATTATCGCATTAATAAGTAGTTTGTATACCACTGCCAGGGATAATCGAAGCGGATAATTTTTCATATCGTGAAGGTTATATTCTCACACAAGTAACGCGCCTTTTAAAAATTACAGAAGTTACAGTTGAATATCGTCTGGTCTGTAAAATGTTTTCACTAAAGTCTCCATAGCAAGAAATATACATCACTCAATTGTAACAAAATATAAAGACAATATAGCTCGTTCACTTACCTACTAACTTAGACTAGAATTATTGCATCACAATAAACTTAAGGCCCATCTTAAGTACTCATCTTTTTCTAGCTTTGCGTACTCTTCAGTTTCTTCGCGGTGAGCATTGTACTATTTCTAGTATCAAGGTTCTCGCCGCACGAGTGGAAATCTGTATCCATTTCTGACACACAAATAGACCACCCCGTCAGCAGTACGAACGAGGTAAGTTTATCCTGGTGTTACTAAGTTTGGAAGAATTAACGAACTTTCTACAAAAACATAATAAATTACCTTTTCTCTGTAACTCACGCGAGTAATATTTAAATAAAACATGTACGACCATGACTGCAACGAAAAATTCGAAACGTCGGGTCGTTGTTTAAAAAAAGTTAAATAATAATTTGTATAGTGTTTTACACCGTTAATATTGCTCTGTTTTAATTAATCCTCTACAACATTAAACAGCATGTCAATTAACTTAAAAACTAAGTCAGGAGTGTCCTATTATTTATATCAAAGAGTAAAAAACACAGCTATAAGTATTTATATTATATTATATATTTTTTTTTTGTTTCAGATTATTTTACACAATGAATTCAGTATCTGGAATTCGTTTTGGTTCTCGTTAGGATCTTTTATGCAGCAAGGCAGTGACGTGGTACCGAGGTAAGCTTATTTATGTATATTAATAACTTATTTTTTTTTTGTAACATTCCTTCATAAAAGGTGAAATACCCAAGCCATATACGATCTCAACAAAATGCGCTGTCGAATTATATTAGCTTTAAATTATTCGGAAATCAACATGCTGTAAACAAAACGTGGTTCATGACCCAGATGGGATTTCCATATTCCTACCACTCATTAATTATCCAGATTGGCAGAGGAAGCCACAAGAATCATAAATTGATTAAAAAATTGTTGGGCCCAGTGGGGATCGAATGCCAACCCATTGATTATTAGCCACACACTGCAACCATTAGACCAAAGACAAACAGGGAAAATATTGTGATAGATGCATTTATTTATTTCTGTCTAATAAAAAAATTCCTATTGCAATAAAACTGTGCTCTCAAAGGCGATGTTGGACAAGCGAATTTTAAACATTGCGGTCACTAGCTCCTAACCGATTATATTAAATTCCTCGCACAACTTAAATGGTGCTTACAATAGAATATTGTTCTAGCATAATTGTTTACTGAAACGTGTATTGGAGCTCGCTGCATCATGTATTTCATGAGTTTTTGACCGACTCTTTAGTGTATCAAGCAATGTATGGTTAATAATCTCGACTCGTTTCTAAACAATTTTTAATTTTTATGAAACATGTTGAACTTTATCTCGATACTAGCTGTGCCAGCCACTTCGTCCGCGAGAATCGTTATTTTGGACATCCAAATTAGTTTTTGCAAACCCCGTCATCTTTATAAACTTAAGCTGTTAGCCACGACGTTGATCGCGTCTCTTCTCGTCATTCTTGCAAATTAACCTTAAAAGACAGACATATAGCGTCGTGGATTTTTTTTTAGATAATTTAAAGAGGAATCGTTCTTTATACATTTTTTAGGTATCTTAAACCGTTTTCGCAGCGTACGCATCTGAAACCCACAGATGGTGGTGGTAGGAATATCGAAATTCCGACTGGATCACGACCCGCCGTCCACAGACAAAAATACCGTGGAGTTTAATCGCGTTTCGGTTTCAGTCGGTAGATTTCCGAATAGCATTAGTAGTATTTTCCTTTAACAAATTGATGATCATAATGCAATAATTTTGACAATATTTGTAACAACGGTTATTATAAGTTTATCTTAAAAGATAGACACACAGTGTCGGGCATTTTTTAGAGCATTTGAAGAAGAATAATTCTTTCATACATATTTTTCGAGTACATTGATTCGCAGCGCACACAGGGGCTACCCTCAAAGATAGTTTTCTCCGTTTTCCACCTTTTTCTCCTTTTTTCGCTCCTATAGCCTAAAGCCATCCTCGGTAATTATTCCAACTAACACAGAAATAAATTTTCAATTCAAACCAATACTAAGTTCCTGTTATTAGCGTATTCAAAAAAACAGACTCTTCAGCTTTATAATATTAGTATAGATCAGTATGTATAGCACTCGCACGAAGCCGAGTAGTTAGTATATTATAAAATTAAGTTAAAATACTAATCGTTAAAGAGGGACTTAAAATTTCAATAAGACACACGCTTATCTTGAGAAAGATTGGTTATAAACACCGTGAATTACTACACAAAAATATGTATATACGCATAACCTGTTCCTAATATTATCATCGGCTGAGCCCGGTAACAATTGCATTATGTAGATCAATTCATTAGATGTGGACAGTACACTAATTAAATAGCAGAGCGTACGGGCATGTTGCTTCCACTCGATTGTCAGCTTATCCTGTAATGTATAACTATCAGGTGTGGTACAGTATGGCCTATGTAATGTCTGCCTCGTTGGTAATTAATGTTCACAGGTATTAAAGATCTAAGAAGGTATATACAAATAATAATAATTATTTACAACTTAGATATAAACTTTTACAAAACGGCAGAACCGATTTTAATGAAATTGTATGTGGGTCCGGAAATCGAGTTACTACATTTTCAAGTAGTGACCCCAACTAGCGGGATGTTTCCTTTTCGTTTTGTATTTATTTCTACACTATGAATTAAATGATACAAAAGTTTTAATCCTTGTACGAACGACTTCTGTTTTTATCGTTTTTTATGGTTCCTGGAAATAATGTATATGGCAATAATAAACAAAAGAAGAAAAAACTTACTTGCTTGCTTTTATCTTACTTTACTGAGTAATACAATAGTACAAAAATTAAACTTATCACTGGATAATTTAGTCTTTAGAAAAAGATATGTAAGCGCTGGAACACAACTCTATGAAATTACACTAAAATAGTATAGCAAAATTTCCACCCTTTAGTTCTAACACCTGAACTTTTGACCCTCTTGAGGGATAAACAACTCATTCGTTCACCCTTTCAAATACTTCAGAGGAACACTGTAGTGAAGCAGTCGTATAAAACAGGATCGTTTCCGGATCAAAGTGCAATATACCACTATTATGACACTTATGGCCTTTGAGAACTCTAATATTTTTCACAGCAAGCACATGATGACACTATTTAACAATCGATTCTACGTTGATAAAAAATTTACGACAGGGACAGGGCTTGAACCGGCACCCTCTTAGCAATTTAGCTACCGTGTCCTACACGTCATCGTAAATTTTTTTCAAACCTCTCAATCTAATTTCAACCTCTCACACAATGTAATTTTAACCTTAAGTTTTAGCTATTAAAGTTAAAAGTCGTATACTTTGAAGCTTAAGAAAATAATTGAATATAAGATTACAGTGTTTAACTGTTGTAAACTTTTATATTTTTTACATAAGGCCAGTTTATATTAGTCGACTAACACAAATCGGCACTAGCTGCCTAAAGAATTTTATTTGCAAAAGATGTCCTAATTATAATTGTTCATGTTCGTTCCACAGTTTTTAACAATGTTTAAAATTTTGCTACTACTTGTTATCTGATAAGGGACAGACTGAAAATCAGCGCTAAGCAAGCTTTACTTTTTTATTCTTTGCATTATTAGTTTTTTTATTATTAATTTTAGTTATAAGGTGTGTACTTTGTGTTGATAAATGATTTTTTGTTTGTTATATTGTTTCTACAATTGTTCGGTTTTATCAGGTCTCTATCTGGAAGGATCGTCGGAACGGTGTGGTGGTTCTTTGCGCTCATTCTCGTGTGCTCTTACACAGCTAACCTGGCAGCTTACCTGATCATAGAACGGATCTCGGAGCCCACCCAATTCATGACCTACAGCTCGAAGATAAATTTCGAAGTAAGAAAATACCACTATTACGCATAAAAGGTAACAATAAAATGTAAGGAATAGCGATGCGATGCACTAGCGAGTGTATTTTATAGTAGTGAAGGAAAAAAAATTGCAACACAATTTCGCATTTTTCTAACTTTTTCTACATATTAAACTATTACAACAACATGTACAAGCCGTGAACCAGTTGTCTAACTATGCAATTAAAATTACGACCTAAAAAATTTAACCAGCTGAAAAATTTTATTCTTGGAACTTCCTTCTTCTTCCCGGATCATTCAACTCGAGTTTCTTGCCAGTTCTTCTCGTTCGTTCTACGCCCTTACTTTGTAAACTAGTAGTAAATGTAAATTTAGAGTTTTAAATTCTTTGTTTTGACTTTCATAAGTGTAGACATGAAGAAATTATTTTTAATTTGATTTAACAGCTTCTTGTAATTTAATTAAGCAAGGCATAAACGCGTGAGGGTTAGGTTGTTTTTTAAGATATTGAAGAAAGTAATATTTTCAAGCAATTACAAAAAACTACTCAGAAAATACAGATTATGTACATTCTATGTCTAGAAAATTGTTCTTGTTTAATAAGAGTGTCAGTGACAATCGCTATGCGTTGAACTTTGTTTTTACCTTTTTTAATAGTATCTACGTACATGTGTATAAATAATATTTATTATAATTATTAAGTTATATATTATCGATATTTTTGTCTGAATTAAGTTTTGATTCCTTTCACATATTTTTTGTTTGATTTATACAATTAGTTAAAGAAGATATCAGTCCCCTGGATCAAACCCACTTCCGTAGCTTAACGGTAAACGTATTCTAAGACGTCCTGGCTCCGAATCCCGAGGACACAATAAATCGTTTCGGTTGAGCAGGGCACAGAAGTTAAGCTTACCTGTGTTACCTTAATGTCTTCCCTCCATGCCCCATAAGGGAAAACGAGATTGTACTTTTTAACCTTTCAGAGCCAGTTTCTACCTAACAACGACTTAGTAAAGGATCCTGAGGTGGCCACCGACCCACCATACACCATCGACAGTCGATATGAAAGGTCCTGCTTGACTCCACCCATCTGCAGATATAAGCATGTAGATTTCGGTATTGCTCTGACGAAAGGATCGAGTATTAAGTAAGTTCATTTTGTATAATTTTTCAACAAAAATTACGACCTGAGCGTACGTGTGTATCAATAGGTTCTTAACATTCGACGATGACGTGTCGGACACGGCAGCTCAGTTGGAGAGCAGCAGCATGGAATGCTGTCTGTTCAAGTCCCGCGCGTGTAAATTTTTTTATTCATTGTAATGGATTTTTAATTTACATATGTAAAACAATGAATAATATATTTTTTTTCCAATTAGCCTTTTAATGTCGTTGTTTAGTGAAAAGAACACAGAAATATGTTTAGAGCAACAACACGGAACGTTGTAGATGCCGGTTCAAGGCATGCCGGTGTTGTGGTTTTTTTTTTTTCAATTAATAATTGATTTTTAAATACTTTTCTGTACTTTTAATTTAGAACTTGTCGTAATTAATTATGTTCTTGTTGGCCAATGAGAAAAGGAATCAATATGAATTTATACGTAGGACAGTTTCTATTCAGCGAAAAACCATCTGAATCTAGCTTTCATCAAGATATTGGTATGAGGTGATTCCCCGCTGAATACGGCAGTCGTAAATTTGAACGGGGCGTCAGTACGAAAATGGGCGCCCCAGCTCCCCGAATTTACACCACCCAATTTTATGATACCGCGATCTGCGAACGTGATTTTTAACAACAAGTTAAAATTTACATTTTATAACAGCTGGGGTTTTATAGCTCGAATCATTGGAGAACATTATTGCGGATATAAGCTATTCGGAGCGTGTTTTAGAATATTTCCTTAGTTTCATGATAAGATGTTATGTCGTTTTTATACATACGAGTAGGTACACAGTAGTTTTATACAATTTTAACGTCTAAAGTTCACAATATCTATATAATATATATATATGTACTTTTACGACAGAATTGTGCATAATTAAGATATTATATATGAGGCTGCGAGAGGCAGAGTGGCCTAATAATAAAAAACACGAATTTCATTTGCCTCCTTATTAGGAAGCAAATAAAAATGAGCAGTTAACTTAGGCGAAAATGAATTTCTACTATCGTGATATGTGTAAGAATTGTGTTAAAAATTTTCGGTCACTGTGCTCTTGTAGATTAACATTTTTAGACTATGAATAATGAACATAAATAAGTCAAGTTATAAAATTGCAGTTAGTCTATTCTGCATCTAATGGCCTCATATATTATCGTACTTATACACAGATATTTTTTTTCTATTTCGTTTCTCTTTCAATATCACGAAATCTTAAAAATGAAAAGTGTAACTAATACTATTTCCTTTCATATACATATATACATATATGTGACTCTTTTTTTTTAATTTTACAAACGTTAAATCTGAAAGAAAAGTTACTGTCATAAATAAAGATAGGATTACTTTCGCATGGAACTGAATTTTGGGAACACTGTACAGAATCTCCGCACAAAATTCTCATCTATAGAAAATCAGGATGCCATGTTACGGATATATACTAAGATATTTATTTTATATATGGCATTTTCATTCTAAAGACTTATTTTTTTCAGGGAATCACTTAACCTCGCGATCGTCGATCTAAAAAATGACGCAGTCATAACGAAACTATGGCGCAAATGGATTCTTTCTATTAACAAGCCCCAATGTGAAAATAACAAAGAAAAGGTATTAGCCAAATATACCAATTGTTATGATAGAGGAAGGCAGACAAAGTACAAAACACGAGTGATTTTTTTATTACTTAAAATTCGTGGACGACCGCCTCCGTTGTTAGTTGTCTTTTAACCATGCCATCTTGTACTGTTTTATATTTTGAAGACTTTTTTGTTATTTCTGGCCTAGTTACTTAAGTTAAAAATTCTTACTTACGCATTACTTTGAACTAAATGTAATGTTAAAATAAATGTATACTAATATTATGAATGCGAAAGTAACTCTGTCTGTCTGTTCGGCTTTAAGGCCGAAACTACTGAACTGATTTAAATGAAATTTGATACACAGATATTTTAGAGCCTGAGAAAGGACATAGGCTACTTTACGGCTTTAATGCCAAAAAAGGGTTGATAGGGGTTGAATAAGGGGATGAAAGTTCGTATGGAAATTCGTGGCTCTTGAGGCTAGAACAATGAAAATTTATTCTTTGACTTTTTGGGAATAGGAGTGGAAGTGGTGGTGGGAGTGGGAGTGAGAGTTAGAGTGGAAGTGAGTGAAGAAATGAGAGTGGAAGTTAGAGTAGGAGTGATGGGTGGTAAGAGTGTTACGGCAAAGTTGCACTTACAACATAGGTTGGCTCCTTTAAATGCGCCCTTACATAAATTAATAAACAGCCTAAATAATTAAAAAATTTACCGCAAATCACTATTCCACGCGGACGAAGTCGCGGGCACATCTAGTATCTATATAACCATGAACCAGATATAAACATCCCTTCTTACTATTCGGAACAGGAATCAGAAATATCCGAGATGTCGCTAAGTCAAGTGGCTGGTATATTCTACGTCCTGGTGGGCGGCTTGGCCCTAGCGCTTGGCGTCGCCCTACTAGAGTTCTGCCACCACGGGCGTAACGAGGCTGTTCGAAGTAACGTCTCCCTCAGTGCTGCTCTTAAGGCCAAGGCAAAGATGTCCCGCCCAGACAGGAAAACACCGCCGCGATCTCGGGAACACGACCGTCTTGGGTGGAACGGGGCTGCGTTCGGTGGAGTAAGTATCTTTCAATAAATTTTATCCCAGAATCAATAACAGATGTCTTTCAGTAAGGAGCTTATGCCCTTTTAGTATATGAGACAAAACTATATAAAAGGGTCTTGTTTTAATTTAACGAATAACTTAGTACATATTTACATTTTCATAACTACAATCTACACAATATTGAATATATTTAGAAAATAAAAATATAAACTAACTGAGAGTTTGAAATTTTAAGTATTTTCACATAGTATTATATAAATTAAAAACCCATTTTTTATTAAAAATTTCGATGATACAGACTTAAACCAACATCCGTCGATCCGAGTTTAAAGCGTAAAATAAAATTTTCATTTAATTTAGTGGGTTCGCTACCCACCGGATCTAAGATGTTTCTAATCAATATATAATTTTTTGAAATATGTTGGACTTTAGTCAGGAAATCGAATAATAAATTAATGGAAGGAAGAGCCGAAAATTCGTCCCGTCTCAAACCAACGTTCACAGATGAAATAACGGTTTCAGTCTGTGAATTCCTCATATATAAAGCCAAAATAGGTCTATAGCGCAATTTGTTGTGATGTTGCATTTCATCTTTAAGTGACCCCCAGGCTTGTCTATTCTCTTCTATCTAATAAATGCTATCGTAAATATTACAAAAAGTGGGTCATATATTAATATAGTAATGCTTTGAAATTGCTTATAGTACACTGACTTTCTGCTAGGAAGAGATTCGACCGGAAGTACACATCGGAAATTATTTTGAATATATTTGTAAGTTTAACTGTGTGTGTCCCATTCACCTTCGTTTGCGTCGGTCCTTTGTGCAAATACGATTGTGTGTGTGTTAATCTCCACAGTCCATAGTATTTTGACAGTATTTATAGCCATTATGTTTTTCATAACTTTACGGTACTGTGATTTAAAATATTGTAATATACTTAGTCACAATCCCAACTAACTAACTGAATGGAAATGGAGAACCAATGGAGAGATATGTTTATCTTAGTCGGTCATGCACCACAATTATATGGTAAAATTTCTGGATTTAGGCTGTTACCACGTTGTTTTTCTGCCAAATCGCCCTAAAAGCATACACTTACATATGATCATACTTCTTCTATCTTCCCCTAATAACAGTGTTCTTCTCGTCCTGCCAAAAGACCCGTTTAAGCCAGCATAATTTTTTCCTATGCTGGTATATAGGCAGACGTAAATTGTCATTCTATGTATCAATGTTCATAATAGTCGCCGTATAATATATCCCCTCTACTAACTCGTTTGCAAATATTGTGTATACTGATGTTATTTATATAGTGCCTACATTTAGAACGCGTTCTAATTTCATTAGTAACTCACTGAATATTAATATCAGAGATTTACATTACACCTCGCATTAATTGCAGATTGTTTATGATAAAAGTCCTAGGTATATGAGGCGGTGTTTTGTGGATATAATTTATTTATTTACTTTTCTACCCCCCTGATTTTAGATTCCGTTAAACGTTCTAAATTCAAATATATCAGTAAAGCGGCACAAATATATGTCCCATGTAAGTCCTGTTCTCCAAGTTATGAGTTTAAGCTGGTCAAGAACTTTATTTCGCAGACAGAAGAAAAGTAATTACGTGCATGATAATTAAATTTCGTTCGTCTATAAATCCAATCTTATGATTATTCACAATATATTTATTTTACTTAAACAAAATAGACAATCTCAATACTACTTCACTTCTTATGTTAAGAGTAATTTAAGGATTTACATTACTACATTTCTACACTACGCCTAGTACTACTATCATACGTGTTATACAAGATTGTTAATTCATTTATATTAAATAACTTTGTACCTACTGTGCACGTGTTGTACTATAATACTTATTAAACGCCATCCAAATGTTAATGATTGTGACTTTATGTGTGTTTGTCATCATCTTTCCACCACTTCCCACTTCCACTTGTCAAATGAGTTGTGGTGTGGAATTCCTGGTTCTAAGACTTGTTACATTCCTCAAAACGTTTTGGTCACACCACGCGATCTCCACGTGCACAACCGGAGACTCAAACCCTGACTTGGTGACCGCATGTCGTGTGACTGGATTATTTGATTCGATTAATGATTACAGTACTTCCCAGCCGGTGACCGCATGTCGTGTGACTGGATTATTTGATTCGATTAATGATTACAGTACTTCCCAGCCGGTAACCAAATCTCCCAGGACGACGCCGTGCACGCGAGCTTCACGCATGTCTGATCCGAAAAGTGCGGCGTCACAAGTCGCCGCCCGTCCATAACCAAGCAGCCGAACAACATCGACCTTTTTCAGCTGTAAATGCTTCATATTGCTGCTACACTCCACTTGGCATAAACAACATAAGTTCGTGAAAAGTTACGAATCTAGTGTACAATTTTTAAAACTACTTACAATTCTGGGGCGCAATTCTAAAAATTCAATTTAACATTTTGTTTACAATGACATGATCGTTATTAGAGAGACCACGGCGTCAATCTTTGGATGTCGTAAATATAAGAATTGCCCTTCTTGATATGTCGAGTAAAATGTTAGAGTAGCTTAAATGAGTCTACCATTTAAGAACTCTCTTTTCGTCTAGCAAGCCCAGCAATGACAAATTTAACATAAAATAGCTTTATAAGACTAAATCTTTGTAGTTGTTCTTGATAGCTATAAAATGTATGCTATAGCTAGTTGTCGCATCAAGTTATTGTGATGAAGTAGTTCTTTGATGTAAAGTTTTAGAAAAATGGAAATCAATTTGAAAATTTAAATAATGCACTCGACTTAATTCTCGATATTAGACACAAATACTATCACAACAACTCTTAGGATCTCAAATTCCCAATTATTATAATATCTGGGAAAATACAATATTTCATATTAAATGTTTACCTACTTAAATATAATTGTTATAAATAAAATTGTCTCGGCACATTTTCTATTAGTAATTTTGTCAATACTATTCAAACTTACCTTCTTTATATAATCTTGTACTGCATTTAAACATCTTAACAAGCTCAAAAGCATTTATTGTGTATATACTTAAACAAGTATTTGCTACTAAGTTATAATTATAAAGTAATTTCAATACGATAATCTATCTTTCCCATTCATAATCGCTTAAGTAGTAATTCCTTCATTAGTACTTATCAAACATTATCATATTATTAGGTATTTATTGTAATACATGTTAAGTATAAGTCATAAGGGCTCTATTGAAGTAGCAAGGAAATATTCACATATTTACAATGTAGCTGTTTTTGTCTTATAAGAATATTACTAACTTTGACGAATTAAAACGCGATGTTTTTCAAGATTAATTTACGAGTTGGCGTGTTGAATGTTTCGTGTTTTGCTGTCTACGGCGTGTTTAATCAGATAAAGTTGTTTTTAATATATCATACGTGTTAACGCAAGATGTAGTTTCACTGACACCAGCGATTTCCGATGTCACTGTCATTAGAATAAAAAATAAAACTGCCAGTTATACACTAGAACGTAAAATTATAATATTCCACCATTATGTTATGGTTTTATCAAAATTTCAACGATCTTTAAATTAAAAATGTATTGTTCTTTTAAATAAAACACTTTAACGGTTTAAAAAGCGATATATTAGTTAAAGTGTTTTATTTAAATGTGTACTACTCGCGTAAACTATAGACAGTATTGTATTGTTCTTACTATTTTAATGTCGGGGGGATCGGAAACATCGTTTTACCGAGTTTTTAATCAGGCTATCAATTTTTCATCGATACCGATTAATAAATCATAGTTTTTTTTGTTGAAAAATAACGCAGCTAACATTATAGTTAGTTATTTGTAATAAATGTATTGTCACGTAGTGTTCTTAGACTAAAATAGGATTAGAAAAGTTACAACGGCTAAAACGCCAAATATATTAGTTGCGTATACTTCGCATAATACCTAATATATTTTGCGTTTTTAACCAATAAAATAGTTTTATTTTCATTACATTACTTTCCGGTTACCCCCAATAACTTTATTGTAATGTATTATTGTCTGGTGGTTTATAATTGTTACCTAATTATCGCTCTCTACGTATACAGTATTATTGTATTTTAATAAGTATTATTAAATTTGTATGTCGTAAGTGTTTTGTTTTTCGTAGAACCACTGAACATACCACCAGCCCGCTACGGGGCACACACACACACACACAGTTAAACACCTCTTTTACACACCTCGCAACTACGCCCATTTCGGAGAGACCGTGAAACCTGGCGACACCTATAGGATAGATGAACAGAAACACATGTTTTCTAAAACCTATATTTTGTCACAAATTTCAAAAGGTATATTATATAATCATACACAATAAATAATCGTTTCCATGAATCAAATTTAACGTTACAATAAATACACTTTAAAAAACCTTATACACTTATTAACGGATAGAATATTCAATACTTAAATGTGCAATTTTAATACTTGGTTTAGCTTAAAGCTTTTGTGCTTCTATTATAAACGTTTAAGATTATAAATAATACACAAAGGTAACCCACTAAAACGTAAGATTATATGACAGTAGTGTACACGCGAAGAGGTGACTGGAGACATATGTTGTTAGTATTAAATACTATCACCCCAGGGCGTATTACCCCCCTTCTTGTTGACCTCGTAGGGGGTCATTAAAATTTAGCAAGATGATCCTCACCTGCACCGATTACACAGTCACAATTTTTTAAGCTGTAGTGGGTAGATACCAACTTATAATTGATAGATACTAATAAGCTATACAACATGGAGGTAATAAATTATATGTAGGAAATAGGAGACTAAGCATGGAATATTTATTATCGAGAGTTCAATCATTTTGAAAAAAATTGTATACATACTGTATTTTTTCTAACTTGAGATTTTTAGTAAACAAACACACAATTTACACGAAATTATGATCTCCTCACAAGGTTGATTGATTGCACTAAAAACACTTAAGACATTGGATCGTACATTAAATTAATGAAAGTACCTCAAATACACTTAGTAAAAACCACAATTTCATGATAAATTAATATAAACTAAATATGAATTTACGTAAATGGACAGATAAAAATTTTGCAAGTTGACATTTACATAGGGACGGCATTAAGAATGATAATAGAAGGAAAAAGTCCCCCTCGTGGATAATCGCTACAACGCGTTCGAAACGTCAAATTAAAAAAATTATGACGTGTACACGTCATAATTTTTTATAATATTTTCGTCATATTATTATTAATTAAAGGCGCCATATATTTTTGATATTAGCGATGACTTCCCTGTGTAATCTGTGGCAATCAAGTACGCACTATGAAGATCCTATAGTTTAAAATCGGACATATTTGTTTTTGTCTTTTCTCAAGTTAGAAGAAATCCACTGTATGTGCTACCAACCAACATTTGTTTTTTTTTTGCAGGCAAACACGCTCCCTTATAATTTATATTTATTCATAAAAACCTTACTTTAGATTCTTTGAATAACAATTATTGTTATATATTATAATATTTTATTGGAATCGCACAGGACTTGTTTAGATTAGATCAAAAACATAGACAAATGCACACTTACATAATTAATAACAGAATTATATCAACTAGTTCAAACGCTTCGAAAGTAACAAAAAAAGAACAAAAAATAATAAAGATTCAAGAATCCAAATGACAGTTTCAACAATACTATATTAATTAATCATTTCAAAATCACAAGAGTTTCTTAAACACAAGTTACGAGTAAAATAGAAATTAAAGTATTATATTATGTAACAAAATTTCTTACATTATATTATGTCAGTGTTATTTGTACTTTGACACTTTAAAACGTGGCTATATACTAGACATACAAGAGCGTCTCTCTCTTACATAGTATAATTGATATTGTGCGACAGAGAAAAAGCCACTTTCTAACTTTGTAAAATGCTTTTCTATAATACTATAGTAATGCAAGAGAAAGCCAATATCAATGTTATAGGAATGATAATAGTCAGTAGTAAAGATAAATGGAGGACATTATTCATATTTTCCCTCTACCCAGTTCCCACTACTGGACCTTTATTATGTGGCGGTGGCTAAATGAATGTTGATACATGATATGGACCTTGCTTTGCTTTTGTTTCTCTTCACACCCTTCACGAGCACGTGTCGAATGAAAACAAACAAACAAATAAAAAATGGAGACCTAGTATGACTTCTGAATAACTTTCATATACACACTTGGAAATAAAAACAAGAATTTGTGCGATGTATCAGTCTTAAGGCTTAGGGAATGGATATTGCTACAACTAGTATGAGGTATAGTCACTAAAAATAAAATTGCGCTGCAGAATGTACACGAAATGTATAAACTAGTTTCCTCCTCCCCCCTCTCCAAAATTAAAATGGTCTGCAGCTAATGTGGAGTGAACTATAAGACGTTTGTCATTGTCCACAATAGAAAATAATTAAAACCTTTACAATTCCAGTTTATACTGCCTTTCATGTCTGCTGACTAAGTATCTGCCCATACTCCAATATCAAAAGGCATTGAACAGCAATTGGGCGATTAGATGACCGAAAAACAAATAATACTTCAGCGATTAAATACTTTAGACATTGGGCTTATCTTTTAAACCCAAAAATATTTCTTTAATAGTAACAGCATTTAAATCTTGGTAGATACTAAATGTAAACTCCGTCCAAAATCAACGCTGATTATATTTTTTGGCCATAATAGCCATCGGGAAATATTTATTACAATGTTAAATTTATTGTAAGGGTATGTTCAGATCCGAAGATAAATCACTTCTACTAGTTTCAACACAAAGAAGTATATATATGTTGTCACCTACTTCCAAACTCAACAACATTTCTCCTAACCCCCGATTCAAACAAGGGAGCTAGTTTTCTACACTTCACTACACATAAATTAAGTTAATTTAGGGTAAAAATTCAGAATTAACACCGCTAAAAATAGGGTGTAATATTTACAGTATAATAATGGGTAACAAATTTAATCTGTGCGTTCAGTCATACGGTTAAATAAGTTTCATTTATAGCAATGTGTAAATCTTAAAATGTTATTATGCAGTCTGCTTGTGAAAGGTCATTGACCTGGTGACACTTACTACGGCCGTATTCACACTATTATAATTTAATTACAGTGTCCAAAAACCCTAAAAAAAATCACTTAGTATTTCAAAATATGATTTTTATAGCTTCTTTATAAAAGAGATTTTTTGTCCTTTACTAATGATATTGAATGACAGAGACAAATATTGAAAACGAGCTGCAAATTTAAACATTGATAGAATGCGAATGAGAAAACGGCCGTAAATACTTGAATTGAACACAATGTTTATTTAGCCTTATCGTGAAACAATTGAATTACCACCTATTTCAATACTTATTATCAAATTAAAATGTCCATTCAAATAGTAATTCAGATACTTGTATTATGACTTGCTTGTAAAACCTTGCATATATTAAAATGGGGGGTAATTCTTTCGCGTGAAGGTTTGTTTGAAAACTTAGAGACTATAAGGTTTTCTTACGAGGAGGCAACAGGCACCAACTCCAGAAGATATTTTCGCCAATTCGGAAAAACAGATGGAGCGACGTGCAAAGTCGATTTTTTCGCAGAACACCTGAAAATATTAGCAAATATGAAATTCCTTAACATATCAGAGATATACCTCTTAAATGTTGCACGTCAATTGTTCTTTTACATGGACAATCAGATTTTTTCGTTATTTTCCTTTTTATCCTTGACCAACACTTTTCTAATAAATATAAGAAATAATAATTTAGAACGAAGAACAAAGTACAGGAAATTTGTAAATTCCAAATCCCAGTAACATCCTGTTTTTACATTTGTTAGTCTAATAATTTTGGACATAGAAAACCTCAACTTAAGAAAATAGTTCTAAACAAAACAATGCAAGAGAAATCTAAATGGGGCTGCACATTTACATTTATACGACAGGAATACAAACAGCGAAGAAAAACAGCGCAGTATGAATTTAAATTGTTTTGTCTTTAGTTTTTATTTACGTAGTTTCGCATTCACTCGGATGGTTTTCAATGAGTCGTATTAAATCATTTTCCTTCTTAACCAATACTTCTGTTTTTCAATGATGCCAAATTTTTCTACTATACCTTGAACGAGTGAGGTATCTCCTCGATGGCTCTGTGAATAAGGGTCCCGTTAACATAGAGACAGTTGGCGGCGTCCTCCTCTTGAACCGTCAGGGTCTGGTAACAGAAACTCGCCTCTCGCTCCATGCGTTTTAACAATTCTTTGGCCTCTTTACTGTCTGATACACAGATGATGTCCGGTCCAGCCATTGTTATGTACTTCTTCAAGTGGTGCGTCCCATTTGGCATCTGAAAGATAATAAAAGTAATCATAACTTAAATATGTTCAAAATATTTCAGTTTTTGCTTTACCAATTCAGACACATCAGACTATAGATAGGTTCATCTTGGATATTATAACTATTTACTAATTGAAGGGAACTCCTTATGTTGTGGTCCGGGTTTTGCACTAATTTACTGGCGGTAGTCGCTAAAGCACGTCAATCAGTATGAGAATAGCTCGGTGGATGTTGACTAAGTTTTTCATTGTTTTTCTCAAATGCACGGAACCACCACCCACGACACAGGGAATCCTAGTGTGGGGGCTAGCACACCCTATAATGATATGTACACAGTTTTGATGAATAAAGAATTTGTATTTGGATGTCAAAGCTGTGAGAATGGAACCCGCGCCCAACAAAGGGACTCAAAGAATGTTGGACCCATATATTTTTTAATACGATGAGCTATCACTTTTAGTGCATAAAAAGTAATAAATACTTATTTACGAATAAAGTTTAGACTTTTTGACATAAACAATTTTTTGTAATATTTTACTAATCTAAATAACTGAAAAACTTATGCTGTTTTGTTTTTTTTTTTAAATTAAAGCTTTAAAATACACAAGAATTCAGCATACATTAAGGAAAAGTATTCATTAATTATGAGTGACCTCTCAGGCCTTAGCAACACAATCATTCCCTAATCTTTATATGGATTTTCCTGCCCGTGTAGGATTTCAAAGTTAATTAAAAGTATTAATGATAATTTACAATACTATTATTAACTTTTCAATCGCGGGTCCTTCCTCAAAAATATTTATTAACATCAAACAATACAAATTATGTAATACAAATATATACCAAAATAATATCTAATTTACAGTAAAATTATCAAATTTTATAAAGTTTAAATGTTTATTCATATATAATTAAATGAACCCTATTTCATAATTTACCCTTATTCGTTCTTGTAAGACTGAAATTCTCTGTGGAGAATTAAGCAGACACATTATGAAATACCTTAAGCGACATATAGAGCTGAGACCTGGAATCTAACTTGCGAATTGATCCACAAACTAAAAGTAGCATAACGCGCCATGGAGAGAGCTATGTTAGGAATCTCTAGAAGGGAACCAAAGTGACGGATATTGCAAGTAAAATCAGCAGGTTAAAATGGCAATAAAGAGGCCATATCTGCAGAAGATAAGATGGCCGTTGGAACCGAGATATACTAGAATAATTATGAAATATCTTTGACTAATCTTACTTATATTTAATAGTTAAGCAAACTTCTGCATTCGGCAACTAATTGTGTCTAACTAAAACTATAACTAAATTCAATTACACTAGACTATACAAGACAATACCCTTAAACATTGAACAACAGTGGCAGAACGTTAAAGATGTTAAATACCTTGATAGGTGTGCATGGAAATTCAGGGAATGCTTCAGCAACAGCAATGGCACCAGCCTCATTGCTAGTCTCGCAAATCGCAACGAAAAACTCACGACCTGGAAGAACGGGTGACAAATTTTAGTACCTTTTTCACTAAATTGTCATAAAGAAAAAATACTCTATACAATTATTATATGTACATAATAAGCTTTCACTTGGTATTTCGTATGCGTACCAAATAACCTTTCCCCAGCCTATAGTTGTTTTTGCAAGAAGACAGACATTCAATAAAATAAACGTTGAATAGAGTAACTCATTTTAGAAATTCAAACATTTGCTGTATTTTCTTAACTGCGGCAGAAAACAAAATAGTAAAATAAGCTATTAAAAAATAATATAAGAAATAATTAATCTTTTTTTTTAAGTTTGAGAATCATCATATCAACATATTATGGCCTTAATATCACATAATCCAAAATTATCACATATAATAAATTGTGGGAAACTCATCGCAACCAATAGCAGTATTGTTTATTTAATAATTACGTGTAAGTAAATTATTAAGTGAACTCTATACTGTACAGACACTACAAACCAACTTGTGTAAAATAGATATCATTTTAACTAACCTGTAAACAAAACATCAGATCCTAATAGCTTAGCGTCAGGATCAGACAACTCGACAATAGTTTGGCCAAGTTCACTCTCTAGAACTTTTTTTACAGCCTTGGTCTGAAAACAGTATAAAAGGAACATCAAAATATATCATTCAAAGCCTAAGATAAGCCATAATACCACAAACGGGTAGGGTATCAGGTAAAATAAGGTGTTTTTAATAATTTATAAAGTTTTGTTCCATTATAGAAGAATCCAATTGGAAACAAAGTGGGCCTATAAAATATGAAAGGCTTACAAAAGTGTTGCAGAATAGTTATAGGAGCAAGTATGTAGAATAGAAACCAACTAAAACTAAGTGTTTAAGTTTAAAGAAAAAGCTTTCTTTAAACTTAATCACTAAGTTTTAGATAAGCATTTAACTACTATTACAAAGTGAACAATAATTTGTTCATGTAGATAACTGTCTAATTAAAGTCAACACAGTTAAAAACAAAAGGCTCCTACTAATATTAGAAGTGTTAGCTCACAAAGGGTGTAGAATGAACAACTAGCAAGAAACTTGCAACACTCCTTTTATTGCCTAGTTTCGTTTACTAAGTCTACACACACGACCCAACCCCTCCCAAGTTTCATAAGAAAAACAACATAAAAGTTGCAAGGAAATTATGGATGAATGCAAAAATGGAGGGGTTGGGAAAAGCAAAATATAGACGAGATTGAAAAGTCTTGAATGAGGACTTTGTCATTGCACAATCTGCTCAATACTTATCACAGTATATTATTAAAATTTATGACAGTAGTACAATAAGTGTATTTAGATATAGAAAAATAGATTTTCCATGATTTATTATTATTATTGAGGAGTTAGACTACATAAAAATCAATATAAGAGTTTTGTCCTCATAGAGACAATTAAGAGAAAATTTTAATTTCCTTTGATGAAAGACTCGTTTAACAGTTGTTTTACCTTTGAAAATGACAAACGAGTGAATAGGCAATTTAATCAACCTACACACTTTATTAGGTACCTAAACTGGGGTTAATCAAATGTCAAGGTACTTTAGATGTTGTAAGATTGCATAATTGTTTCAACATATTTATGTCCCTCTGCTGGGCACAAATCTGGTGAGGGCTTACAAAGCTTAACATGTTGCTTTAGTATGATTTGGTGCAAAATTCAAAGTCAGAACAGTGGTATGAGAGGTTGGTTGGCTGACCATCTTAGTGTATAAATTATTAGTATGACGGGCACAAGAATATGCTCCACTATAATACGAATATCCACGATAATGAGAATTTACTTTCAGCATATTTTTTGTGACAAAGGAGGACAGACAAACATGGAGTGCACTTGCTGCTAAGTGATATACCCCGACCTATTGTATTTAAATAAAATGCCCTTTCAACCTATTTTGGCTTTGGATATTTCAAAATCTACAGATTAAAATCAAAACGCGATTAAGCTTCATGGCTTTTTCATCTGTGGATAGTGGTTCAACACAAACTGATATTTCTATATTCCTACCACCCATTTTATCTCTAGATTTCCAGACATAGTACAACCTGTTTCAGTGCCCCGGAAATTCCCCGGAATCATGTTTCTGAACCCGGGGATCAAACCCAAGATCAGTTGATTATTAGCTATACATTGCTACAATAGTAGGTCTAATAAGACCAACAATCTCATCGTTATTATTTATTTTAAGGGCATACAGTCTCCATAAAAGCTGAATGTGGTTGCTTTGGTTTAAACCATCTTAATGTGGGTGTAAGTAGGAAAACTGGATGGACTTCTTTAACTCCCTAGCTGAATTTTTATAGAAATTAGTTACGTATGTACAATAAAAGAGCGAATTTTAACATCGCAACAGTTTCTTTGGCAAATGCTGTAATAAGTTTTAAGTTCAACAATTTGTTTACATGTCTGGGTTGCTGCAAAATATAAAATAAACTTACTAGATGTTCTTCTCCAGCTTTCGGCTTTAAAATTAAAGCTATACCGTGGCAAACAATCGCAACATCTTCAAGTACAGCGTTTTCAGGAAATGACGCACCAGCATCAATCTTTACTGGCTCCAAATTTAATTCAGTAAGCAATCGTAAGTAGCAGTCATATTGTTGCCTAGCATCATTAATATCTGCCCTTTCAGTACGAGGAGCGGTAGATGTTTTAACCACGATAACATGGGTGTACTCGTGCATTTTGAAATCCATTATAACAAATATAAAATTATGTCACAAGCATAACAATACATCAAATTTAAAAAGAACGGATATCGCACAATGTTTTATTTTAAACGTGAATGCCTGTTCGTTGTGGTTCGCTAACCGATTATTGAATTTTACTGTCTTTTATCATTTGACAATTGACATTAATACTGTACGGCCGTTGTAAATTGGCAAGCGCGAGACGCTGCGCAGAAACGTTCTTTAGGATGTTAACGGTGGTAAAAGCGAAGGGCACAGGACGAAGATCTAGGCTTGTGATTGACTCAGTGTCAACACAATCAACCGCTTATTCTATCAAATTTTGTAATCAATTTTTATCGATTTAGATTGTGGATTTTAAATCGTATCAGATATTGTCCTAAATGGATTGATGAACACAGTGAATAGTGTTGTTAATAAACAATACCATGATTACCTTTAAAGGAAAATAAAATCATTAAAAAATTTTTTCATTATTGAACTACCTGATTTAGTTAAATATGAGTTATTATTTATAGCTTCTTTAGGGCTTTTTATAAAATTATATTTTTACGATCCAATTTTATCTATTTCAATAGGAATCGATTAAACGACACTCTCAAAGATCGCGTATAGACATCTCTATTTGGTTCTTTCGTAAAGCTTCGTAGATATTCGGTAATGTTCGGTAAACAGTAGTGCGTCTCGGTCAATCCTTGGTGTTAATTTCTTTATCTCTGTCTTGAGCACAGTCCGTTAGAAAAGTGATTGTTTATTGTTAAATTTAATATTATTTTTTATCTTTTGTTATATTTTTGTTTTGTCTCTGTATTTTAGTGAAAGATAAGTGTTCGTAGCCCTTACTCTCTTTGAATCAATTATTGGTATCTTACTTTTGCTTGCTATAGGTAAAATTTCTCATTTATCCCAGTAACGAAAATAAAGGGCAGTATTAGTTTTCTTTACGAGTGTACATGCGCCAAAATTAGTCTAACCTCTGTTCAGAGCTGCCAAGTTACATCGGCCGTATTATAAGTAGATAAGCCAAAACCACAGTCGTATTTTTTTAATAATCCACAGACATATTACAATTTGCCACAGACTTACTAACTTCTTCTTGTCACAGATGCTTAAAGAATAGTTATCGCAAAACTATAGATTAGTAAAGAATTATGTGATACTATGGTATACAATAAAAGTAATCTGTGCAAAAATCAATCACATTCGTCTATAATCTCCTCTACGTCTATAACACATACGTGGTTGTCTATGAGCGGTTGTCAGCTTGCGGTAATTACTTCGTTTATATTTTTTTCCTTTTCATTAAATCAAAATCTTGTAGTCGTGTTAAATGTAAATCTTCAGAGGGATATTGTTTAAAAAAAGGTAAGTTAAAAGAAAATAATTCTAATTTTATATACCAATTAATCGTACCTCGAAAGCTTAAATTAATAATTTCATTTACTATTTACCATTCTTATATTTTGATTCATATCGATTAAGAAAGAAAAGCTTTAATAAAATAAATTATTACGTGAGTGACAGTCTACATTTAAACACTTATAGCTTTTGAATAACATTACAATAGTATTAATATGAATCAAAGCTTTAAATTCATTATTTTAGCTAAATAATTTAATTTGTTGCAGATAAAATGAAGCTAGCAGTATGTATGTTCCTCATAGCTTTTCTTCACTGTTCCTTTGCGCCTCCAGTTACTCAAGACAAAGCAAAGGAAGACAGTGAAATAAAGGATGACTTGGTATGTCCATTGCATTTAATTTCATCATATTGCTATATAACATAAATACTACACTCCATTTAGGGCCTGTTTTAGTAATATTGCCTGAGCGAAACTTTGTTTAAATCTGTGGCATTTGTTGATGAAATATCCAATGTGTGTCTTATTAATTATAATTTATAATATTTGCACATTAGAATAGGGAAAATCTTGAGTTTTGGTGATAGGAATATAGAAATACCATCTAGTTTATTATAACCGTTAATCACAATTTGGTTTCACTCTGTGCATTTCTGGATGTCCAAAGCTTAAAATAAGCTGACAGCGGATCTTGTTGAGATATAGCTGGTTTATGTTCACCTCTTGTATAAGTGAATGTCATGTTTAACACGCATTTTATTTCTCGATACCTGTTTTGTTTTTATTATAAGCTGTATATTGATATTGCACCATACTGCATTACCTTGAAATGTGAGAGAAAGGGCAATTGTTTTGCACTTAAAAGTTGAACATGTCTCCCTTGGTATAGTCTGTGGTCAGTAATATATAAGATCTGCTGAATGTTTTAAACAACAGTTTTTTTCTAGGTTTATTTTATTATATCACCACAAACAATATATAGATGAACACAAAACGAATTTAATACCAGAATAACAAAACAATGCTTGTTAAGAAAGTTAAATGGACAAAATATTTTAATCTCATCAATGACATATTGATTTTTTATTAAACCTTTATTATTATTATTGTTAATTTGATTGCTAATTTTTCTTCATTCCATAATTCTCTTTGATGGTAAGAAATGCTAAGGCCCATTTTGATATTGGAGTGAACACTGTTAAAAAATAACTTTTACATTTCATAAATCACTAAATCATTAACTTTTACTGTTTGTTTAAGTGTTTGTTACTCATTGTTATGTTTGTTTGTACAATAAAGAATTCCTTATTATTGAAATTCCCATGTTGCATTGTCTGTTACTAAACTCCTTCGGAATGGCTAGATCGTGTTGTATGAAATGTTGCTGTTTTAAAAAAAAAACCTAATTGCCAAGATTTTCATTTTATTATTATACACTTAACGTATTAGAGAACAGTGCATGCTAGGTAACCTAGTTGTTCTATAAAAAGAGAGGGCGTTTACTGTAGGCTTACAAAACTTATTTTTATTTATTTTATTTAGTACATTATATCACAAATATCTAAATGTAATTCGCCTAGAAAATATAGCACCTCATATTCGTGTATTAAAATGAGTCAAACGTAAATGCAATTAAAAATAAACATGTAAATGATCACGAATAAAAATATTCCGTTGCATTTTAATTGTTTTGTTTGAAGCTCCGTCAGTAAAACATTGTTATCGATTGTGATTTTAAAACTAGCAGTGATATTCATTCTACCCTCAAAACATTCAAATCACTGAAAAGAAATGGGGGTGGTTGCTGACTGGCACCCCTCTACCAATTGACCTGATTCAAATTAAATGTATTGTGTCAATTGGTATAACGTGGACCGTAATGGGCCGCAAAATCTTGCCTTTTCAATTATTTTACTTTCTTTTCTCACACTTCAACTTGTAAAAGTTGGTATTTGAGCCATCTCAGCCATATAACATCAAAACAAGATGTGATGTCGACCTATTCTAGCATCAGATGTTCTTATTCATCATCATCATCATTGTCAGCCCGTTTGGGTCCACTGCTGGACGTAGGCCTCTCCCAAAGCATGCCACTCGGCCCTCTCTTGAGCTCTATTTATCCATTTGCTGCTTTTAGATGTTCTTATTATATTTCAAATAATTTAAACCACACTGTCACTGATTTTTAAATTTATGAAATGTATGATAATTTCTTTCATTTGATTTTCTTAACATGTATATTTATGTAGTACCATACAATATTCGCCTAAGATTGATTATTTTCTGTAAAGGAGGACTATATGGAGTACCACCGGTACTTGAAGGAGGTGGTTCAAGCTCTTGAAAGCGATCCGGATTTCCGTGAACGCCTGGAGAAAGCTGACGAGGACGACGTTAAGGTAACATATCTTTTCTTATTATAACCAAACACAATCTTAATGGTGTCTTGTTTGAATTTGAAAAAAAAAAAAATATGCCGTTATAAAATATATGATTTGTCAAAAAAAAAAATTGTCGCCTAACTGAGATTAATATTGGTAAGGCTAATAATAGATATAAAATGTAAAATGCGAGCATATCCACAATGTATAAAATCCAAACGATATTATCCACGGTCATATTTGTTTAACTTTGCGGCGTAATTATTTACGTTCAACTAGAAATCTTATCGCAATTAAATTGCAACGTACATTTCATATTCGTATCCGGTATTCTACATATGTAAGTTTTAGTTTCTTAGGCTCGTTTGTACTGCTATCGTTATTCACTTGATTTAATTGAATGGGGAATTACATTAGTTTTTTGTAGAGAAAAAAAAACTTAATTACATTGGCCATAGTCATGGATAGCCATCATAGTAATGGAGAACTAAACATAATTAATACACTATTACCATCAATTATTTTATCTAGATTCGTCTGCAGTTTACTCTTTAAAAAAACAATTTTAACGGTCGAAAAAGGGATTTGTTTAGTTTAATTTTTCGATTAAATATAGCCTGACGTTTCGGATTCTAGGCAACGTATCTTATACAATATCTTAACAATAGTTATTGTGTTCTACCTTGTTAGCCACAATCTTTAAATTATTCTCCTATATTTCAGACAGGAAAGATCGCAGAGCATTTGGACTTCGTTAACCACAATATCCGGACTAAATTGGACGAAATCAAACGAAGGGAGCTCGATCGTCTAAGACATTTGGCTACAAAGGTGATTCTTCAAATGAAATACATAAAGGAGTGGTTCAGCCCAATAGCAATTCAACATTCAATTTCAAAAACAGAGGGATAACAAAAATTTACTTAAATTCGTTTTCATATAAACTGAAAAGTTAATTTGGTATGAATTTTCACCTCTGAAACTAAACAATATTACTGTTAGACATATATAACCTTTAAAAAAATATGTACGTGAATATTTTTCCTTCCTACGAACGCCTCTAGCTATAGTTAAACTATATTTTTGACAACGTATCTAATTGCCAACTATACTTTCCACAGCAATTCGAAATCACTAACAACCTACAGCACGAGGGCAAGGTCCCGTCCAGCGATCATTTAGACCATCACAACCCGCACACCTTCGAGATTGAAGACCTCAAGAGGCTAATCAAGAAGACAACTGAAGATTTGGAGGCGGCGGACAAGCAAAGAAAGGAGCAGTTTAAGGTAATAAATGTTTTTTTGGGATACAGGCGATTTATGGCTATACCATAAATCATCTGTCTCCCAAAATCATTGCAAACACAACCACTCTTCTTATTTCTTTAGAAAAAAGAAACAGAACGCAATGAACAAGCATGCGCTATACTTAATTTACGGTGTTCTCGACCTACTCTGACTTTGGACATTCGGAAATCCACAGACTGAAACAGAAATTAGATTACATTTTCCGGCTTTTCCATCTTTGAACTGTAATATCGTACGTACGTAAAAATGTACGTGTTAAAAGAAAGTCGGAGATTAATTTCTGAAAAACAACGGAAACTAGACCGAATTATTTGCTATACATTAATGAATTAAAATAACATAGAAAATGTTTAATCTAAAACAACGAGATTCAAATGACTTGAAAGGTATTAAACAAAAATTGACTGAATATTACGTCAGTAAGTATTGCTGAGTTTGCAAAATACACCTATATATACCGTTTTCAGGAGTACGAAATGCAGAAAGAATTTGAAAAACACCAGAAATTAGAAAGTTTGGATGAGACGCAAAAGAAAGAGTACATGGAGAAACTGAAGACGGAGGAAGAGGCTAAGAAACATCACAAACCTGTATGTACTTTACAGCTAATTAAAATCTAATTCGTAACACATGCTGATAGTACAAAGCTTATTGAAAAAATCTATTGGAAATTTAAAGTCCTTAGTTCAATAATAATTATTGTTTTTTTTTATCTTAGACATCAATCCGTAACTTTTCAGCATTTCGGGCCGAAAGTTGAGGTTTTTTACAATATCCCAAATTATTATTATTGGTTATTTAAAAGTTACAATCCATTATATGCGTTTATCCCCAAAAACAACCTCAATCATTATTTTGTCTTAAGCTAACAAAGGAAAAGCTAGAAGATTGTGGAATTAATGAGAATATAATATATTAAAAAATATTTAAATTTAAAAAAATGTATTATAGCCAAAGCCCTATGACACGATGGACAAACGCAATTCTGTCTCCGTTTCACTAATCGATTTTTATTACAAGCAAGTCGTTTTTTTAAGACATTTTCTTTATCACGTTTTTAGCCTAGGACCTCTATGTAAAGATTGCTATCATCTTTGCATACACATTTTTAAATAATTAGAGTTTTTTTATTTTGACCTATTATGTGTAAGATAAGATGACCTCACTTTCGTTTTGCCTTAAGAAGGGAGTTCACCACTCTGTGTATTTTCCCCGTTTTATCTGACTCATTATTTGTAAGACGTTATCGACGTGTTGATAAATAATCATTCGTTTTCCCTCTTGCGTTATGTACTAAGTTACTAATCGATTCGACACATTCGCATTGTATCATGTAGGTATTGAGTGAAATTACATTGTCGTTCAAATGACTTATTTTACAATAATAACTGCCTTTAATATTCCTAGCATTATGAATTAAGAATTTCTAAATTGGAATTCTAGGAAAATGGTCTTGGCCCCGGCCATTTTCAGGGCACAAAATCCCGATTAACTATTTGCTTGTCAATAAAGTCAATTGATGCATTAGACACAGAAGTTCGTGTGCCTCTCTGGGGATATTATACATAAAAATATGATTTCATTAATTTGCCCAGACTCAAAAAGCACAAACGACGGACCGTTTGTGCTTTCTGAGATTGTCATTGATATTAAAAGGCGTTGAATAATTCACAACAGAATAATTTCAAACTGTCTATACTTTATTATGTTAGATCAATTTTTACCGACTAGATGGTGTTAGTAATCTCTATTTTCATTTTGATACAAATTACACTAACAGACATTTTTTACCCGTCTATAAAAGGTTACGTATTTAGAATCGAACCTGCGACATCATTACTGAAAGTCACTAATATCTCGTTAATTGGCAATAGCTCCACCATCCCGGCTCGAAACAACAGTTAGAGGAAGTGTGGGAGAAACAAGACCACATGGACCAACAGTTTGACCCAAAAGCATTCTTCATGATGCACGGTGAGTGTCTGATCGCGTGAATTAATATATTTGTTGTCTGTGGCAGCTACACCATCCTGTGACGAGAAATCAATTGTTAGACTTGTGGAAAAGCGAACGAATGGACAAAGATTTCGACCCAAAGGTGTTTTTCATGATGCATGGTAAGATCCTTAGCGTGCCTGCATCGTAGACCTTTTTTAATATCATTTATTGGACATTGGTTGTACTCAAACGGCGTATCGACGGAGGCCAAGAAATATCTGTCAAGATTATATCAAACACATCACAATGTTTTCTGTAATTGTCGTAAACAATCAAAGAATAAATCTTATTGAAATCAATTAAAAAAAAACACACACACACCTTTGTGCTAAGATAACACTGTCGGAAATTTTAATTTTAGTGTTGTCTGTACTACACGCGAAAACACTTTGAATGAATCTTTAAATTGTTTAAAACGGAAAATATGTGTTTTTTTCTTTAGCCTTATGACCTGACGTTTTGGATATTTGTTTTAGTTTAAAAAGTTAAAAAATCAATGAATTAAACAGTTTTAACTATCTTATACAGAGAAAAACATTTGGTAACAGTGACTGTGTAATTCGCAGTTTGAAAATTAAAATTGTAGTGTTATCACTACCAATTGAGTGGCGGCACTCGTCACAGTCCGCCAACTGGTACTACAGCATGGTGGGTCTAAATCTTAAAACCATCTCCTAACCAATTAGTCACCTATGCCCAACGGTGGGACACTCTTATATTCCACTTGATTTTATTCCGTTTGAGTATAACTGATATGTAACATAATATATAATAATTAATTTTCATTTTAGTTTAGTTTTTTGTTTTTGTCTGCACGCTTATGATCTTTGTATATGTAGCATGTATGTTTTTAAATAATTAAATGTATTTAGCGTAGTTATTAGTATGGCTCTCTAGCTGTTTTAATTTCATTTGATATATAGAAAAACAAACAGCACTTCTGTGTCTTTTTATTCATTAAATAGATGTAATATTAGTAGTATTTATATTAATTTAAGAATTATAAAAGCATGTTTGTTTTAGTATTTAATTAATAACTGTATGTATGTGTGTTTTGAAATATCTAAAGAGACAACGCGTGCTGTATTTTTCCTTTTCAAAGAAGAGGAACAGAGTATGGTATGTATTAATGCAGAGAGCAGTCGAAACTGACAACTTTCAAGACCTAAAAATAGTATTATTCTAAAGTGAAATCATAAAGCTAACTGTAATTGATATGAATTTCGAAAGTTCGTGGTATTTCGAGTTACCTGAAGAAGGCCGTTCTAGTAGTATGTAGTCTAAATACTGCCTGCTTAAATAAAACACTTTAACGGTTTAAAACGCAAAATATATTAGTTAATCGTATTTTAATTTCCGCCCGATGTTTGGTATGCTTTGCAGCAGCCGTGATCAGGAGAAGACTAAAGATAGAGGGTGTCTCTCATGTCAAAGTAAAAACTGCTACGCTAACGCCGCCTGTTTCGTAGTATTTGCCAAAACTGGCCGCGTCCTTGCAGAATTGACCCGGTATGCTGTTTTTTTTGTAATATCTTATTTCTCAACTCCCACCAGACGTTGACGGCAACGGCTTCTGGGACGCTGACGAGGTGAAGGCTCTCTTCATTAAAGAGTTGGACAAAATGTACGGGCCCGCTGGACCCAACAAGGACCTCCGCGAACGCACTGAGGAAATGGAGAGGATGCGCGAGCACGTCTTCAAAGAGAGCGACAAGAATCGAGACGGTTTGATTGACTTCAACGAGTTCATGTTCGAGACGCAGCGAGCGGACTTTAACCATGACGAAGGTACGTGAACTAATTGTCCTACTGATTTCAGAAATACAACGTTCTGTCAAGGTGTTGTTCGTTCTTTTGTTTTTTTTTTTTTGCTCGATGGTATGTGAATCACCTCTGCCATATAATATCTAATCAAGATGCGCTATCGACCTACTTGGCTTTATATATTTGAAAGTCTGACTCGCTGAAAGCGAAACACGATTATACTCGACGGTTTTTTCATAAACGTTGGTTCGTTTTAATTCGATATTCCTCCCACCCATTTAATAGTCACAGTTCCAACTGAAGTCCAACGTGTCTCAGGAAAAGATAAATTGATTAGAAACATGTTTGACCCAGTGGGGATCGAATCCACGACCCATTGATTATGAATAACTACACCAACGTGCCCGTCCAGGAATTTATAATATAACTGCACGGGCGCACTGACGCTGAAGACCCAATTAGGATGAGACGTTGAACATGCATTACTTAAAAAAATAAAATAACGGCTAAGTTCTTTTATTTTTGTCAGCGTTTCTATGATCCACATAACAAATTGATTTAAAAAAGAAGTAGGTTTAAAAGCAATGAAACTGTAGGATTATATTCTTTATTAAGCCTCGTTAATCAAATTATATTGAGAGGTCTAGAATGTTGTAATCCCAGGTAGGGTGAAATGTTATCCAGCGCCAGCTTGAGATTTCGTTTTATCGAACCAAATTCTCGGAGAACGCTTGAAGCCGGTCCAGGTACATTGATGTGTCCATGCTTTTCAGCGTAGCCCACCTGTGAAATTTATAGGTTGACGACAAACATTTTTATTTGCCGTTTGGCTCTATAGGTCATTATGAGTGTCAATGCTATTTTTTCGCTGATAGAAAGGAAATATTTAAAAGAATCGATTACGTGGTATAACGACACATAATGTCACGTATTGTTATTCTCATTATAAAAATACAGTTTTTAATGAGTAGGTATTATTATCGGTTCAATAGTCTTTCAATTATATTTATTGTTACATTATTGAGATTATTCTGTTCTATCAACCTACTAAAGAAATATGCTGCGATTTCTTTAGCTGCGGTATTTCACCTAGTATCAAGTGAACTCCTTGCTTGTCCTTCCGTGTAAAAAATCATATTTAATGACTACATTATGTGTGAATTAGTTGTCACAACACCCACTTATATGCTCCTGACTTGTGTCTACTGTCAGCAGAGGCGAAGCTAGAATCAACAATAAGCAGACAAATTAAGTGTAACTTTACAAGCTTGGCTGCCGATCTTTTTGGTTTTTAACATTCAGAATCCGTAGTCTGAAAAGCGAAGTGGTGGTTTACACTTCACGAGCATTTCATCATCATTTCTTCATATATTTTTGTTTAATAAATAAATCAATAAATGTTGTACCCAGTGGGATATGAACTCGTGACTTTTTGATAACGAACTCGTAAAATATTCATTGTATTGACTTACTTTATAGGTTGGAAGCCAATTGATGAGAACCAGATTTACACTCAGCAAGAGTACAATGACTACGAGCGTAGGCGCTTGGAGGAGATACACTATTTGCAACAACGAGGTTTGGTACGTTACACCATTTTTTTTTTACTTTATTTTATTTTAACCAGAGCTTTACTATATTTTTTGAAACTGCAGTGATACTTACAACTTGCTTAATTCTGGTCTTGTTTTATTACTTAATTATGAAACTATGATATTCTGCTTTTCAGATTGACGCGCATGGACGTCCAGTGCCTGGAGCGGAACATGAACTTCACGCCTACCAGCAGCAACAACAGGCTTATCATCACCAACAACAACAGGCATATCACCAACAACAACAACAAGCTTATCAGCAGGGCCAATATTATCCCCACGGACAACCTCAACACGGCCAACAACAATATCAACAATACCCTAACCAAGGACAGATGCCTCCACAAGGACAGATGCCTCCACAAGGACAGATGCCTCCACAAGGACAGATGCCTCCACAAGGCCAGATGCCCCAACAAGGACAGATGCCTCCGCATGGCCAGATGCCCCAACAAGGACAAATGCACCCACAAGGCCAGATGCCCCCACAGGTTCAAATGCACCCACAAGGTCAGGTGCCCCCACAAGGCCAGATGCCCTCACAGGGACAATTATCCCAACAAGGACAGGCGCCTCAAGCCCAAGCTCCTCAGGCGCAAATTCCTCAAGGTCAAGTGCAGCCAGGGCAGTACGCCCCTCAAGGTCAAGTGCAGCCAGGGCAGTACGCCCCTCAAGGTCAAGCGCCCCAAGGACAAATGTCGCAAGGCCAAATTCCTGCCCAGGGTCACAACAACACACATAACGCCGTTTAACGCGAAAGCTTAATAAAATCACATTAAACGCACTAATTTAAAGCTCATAAATCAACAGGTAATCATAGGTGTAAGCGTTTGAAGCACGAATTTTCCAAGTGTATCCTTTCGTCAGTGTTAAATAAACGGGTGCCAAATCACCGTAATTATTTCTAATGTATGTAATACAAATTAAAATGTAATTAGCTCGCTATATGGAGATTGTTAGAATTAATTTAAATAAAGGGATGATACGATGTGTTTGTTTTATTGATAAACAATTAAGTTTAGTGCGGTCATTGAACTCACTGTTGGTCAAATATTACTTAGGATATATGCTAGATTGCATTAATAATTAATTCCCTGCAGTTACGTAATAAATAACCGTGACGGACATCAAACTTTATATGAGGCCGCTTGAGCCAGAGTGGCCGAACTGCAATTTTATGACTATTTTTATAGTTTAAAATGTTAATTTACAAGTCCACATTGACCGAATATTGTTAACAGAACTCCTAGACAAATAATAGGACAAATTCATTTTCGCAGCAGTTTATTGCGCATTTTTATTTTCCTCTTTATCGAAAGTCATGTTTGTTATAAAATAAAAAATATATTTTTAAATTATAAAAATTATTTAGATTCGTGAAATTGTTTTTTGTTTGTCGTGATTTTTTTTGTCCTTAGGCCACTTTAACTCTAGCAGCCTCATATACTTATTGCTTGATTAGAAAGCGTTTTGTAGGGCACCGTATAAAAGGATTATTATACTTCGCAATATCTGAAGGATTTAAATTAATAATACATTTATGTACGGGTGCCAGTTCAAGTCCTGCCCGTGTCATAATTTTTTTTTCAATCCAAATAGATTTTTAACTAAAGTTATATGTTACGGCAGCAAAGTTATTACAATATGTATTTAAAGGCAAACAACCACCATCATTTAATACAAATTTTAGTTGGCTAATCAAATCTCACTAGAAGTGAAATAAGCGAAGAAATCACAATACTTGACTACTTAACTTTATCTGCGAACGCGGTCCATTAATTAATCTTTGACCTTCTTATGTATTATGTTTCGTCAAGCTGAGCAGCTATGAGCAAATCACTTGTAACCAAGCCGTCAAGGAGCGCAGACGCTCCAAAGAAACATGAAGATCCTTCTAGCAATTGCTGCCCTCTTGGCCGTTGCAGCCGCAAACCCACCACCAAACCAAGCCAAAGTTATCTGCTACTATGAAAGCACGAGTTATGTACGCGAATGTAAGTATTTATTTTTAATAAGCTGTGCGTTATTTTCGATGTTATCAAAATCTCGGTCCAAGCAGTTTTCTTTATTAGATCCTGTAAATTGAATTATATCGTCGCTGTAATTTTATCCTAAAAGTCTTGTCCTGCTCCAATGTGACTGGCGGAAAACAATATATTTTAGTCGTCACTGCTTGAACCGAGTCATTTGGTCACTATTTATACCATTTTTTATAAGAAAGTCTATGAACAATTTCTTGAATCATGGGTATATAGGTCTTTATTTTAATGACGGATGTCTGTTTCGGGTTTAAATCTTGTTTTGGATTTTTTTATAACTGACAATTTTTTTACTGTCCGTAACTTCAGTCCCTTTCGTGAGTAGGTGCATTCGTCATTCAAGCTTTTTATATGGTTGAATCTTAACTTAGATTTTCAGACAATTTTGGATATGTAATTTTTAAACTACTCTGTTTAGACTACGCGACTATTTAGGTAAGATTAGTTTAGTTCGCATTTAAATAAAACAGTTCCATCGTCACCCCATGACCACGGATTCTGCGAAGCAAAAACATAGTGTCGTAGTTAATAATAATTAAACGACTATATTTCGCAATTTGAACTGTTTTATTAAAACTATTTGTGTTAATATTATCCAGAAGTTTCTTGTCAAATTCTGTACACACCTTATGATTATTTATTGTGTTTAGTTCGCAATTGCTTTAACCTAGACTGGGTTCAGGGTTAAACGTTCTCAATTCTCATTGATGGACCTCGGGTCTTCACCTTGAAAAAATTTTGGACCAATGCGGTCTAATCACTTATCGTTTTAGGCGGCGTAAGCACTAGCGACTACTAACCTAATCATAACTTGCCTGATACTAAACACAATACTAGGTTGTTAAATGTTTAAAGCTTTCGCGGTCATTTATCAGAGCTACTTGAGTTTTGGGCGTCGGAAAAGACAAATGGCTACTTTTGTAATTCAGGCGATGTTGAACGTTTTTCGCTCTGTCGAGACCAACTCGATAACCCAAGCTTTACGTTAGTTTGGTCCCAGGTTTAAAATATTTTTATATCTTGTTACACTAGACTCGCTGGCAGTCGTCTAGAATCTACTAGCACCGTAAGAAACATTATTTAATGTTTCTATAATAATACAAAACCAAAAATGACATCTGTTAAATCCTTTCAAAATAATCTTCCAACAGCCTGGCCTAAAGTGGCATAGTTTAAAATAGTATAACTTATCCTAAAATAATTCTACGTAACTTCGTCTTGGTCAAAAAACATAATAAATTATTCTCTTTTTCCCAGAATAATTTATTATGTTTTTTGACATATAACAACGCATACAAATTAGATAAATTCTAATAAGAAGAAACATGACACGAATTAATAGACTTACGACATTCAGTGGGCCGGCAAATGCAAATTTTAAAACCTACATTTAGCTGCTAGGCTTCGAAAAAACATCTATTGATTTTTAGGAGCGCCTTTTACATTTTGCTTATAAACACTGATTTGTATATGTGGATGTGAACTAGCTTTATTTAAAAAAAGAGTCTGACCTGAAGGATAATTACAATATGGTATCAATATTAATGATTCCATTATCTGTTACAATTAAGGCTTACACTGCCACATTTCGTGAATCCGTGGACTAACTCTACTTTTGCTATTTAATCTGCAGCCTCCGATTTCCGAGAAACCAATTCGCTAAATGGACAGTCTTTCTCACCGTAATATTTACGTACATATAAGTGCTATTGTTTGTCCAGTGACTCATAAGGACAATTGTGTTTAATATACCTACGGTGCGATGACAGCATCTTGGATCACATTTGGACTTCTTATCATGTTCGTGCTGAATTATTATAAGGATACAAAGGAACTGCTTGAAACTAACTAATGATTAAATTTAAAGCCAAAATAAGACGACAGCGCAACCAGTTTTGATGTTAAATTCAATTCAATCACGTACGCTTGTCTGTACTTCTCTGTAACAAATAATCGTTATTTTACACGTTTTGAATTGTTATACATAACATAAGAGTATTATACAAACTTTGCATATTATTAAAATAACATTAAAACAAACGAATACCAGACTCAGATATATTTCTTTACACACAATCCATTTGGATGTTTACGTAAGCGGTCGTGATTTTTTTATTGACAAGTTCAAAATGGACAAGATAAACGGCTCAGCTGCGAGTAAACACCGACATTTGACCTTAATGCCAACTGATAGATAACAGAAACAAATAGTAATAGTTTCTAGAATTCTGAGTCATCTCTCTCTATGCTTTTATTGATTATACAAAGGAGTATTAATTAAGGACTTAACAATTTTATAATTAGATTAAAACTGTTACAAGAAAAAACATACAATAAAATTAAGCCATTTGCTTTTGCCAATTCGTTATATGCGCATTGGCATCCGATCTTCAATTGTTTTACGAAAATAGAAAGAATAAGAAACACATGTAGCCGATACCGCAATCCACACACTTACACAAAACACAAAAGTTAGATCTGCGCAATGAAATCTATACTAATATTATAAAGAGGAAAGATTTGTATTTTTGTATGTAATGGATAAACTCAAAAAGTACTGGACCGATTTTAATAAAATTTCATTATAAAAGCTACATTATCCCTGAGTAACACAGGCTATATTTAGTACTTGATTACAATAGACATCTATAGACATTCTTACTAAAACCAACGGAAGGCGTAAAAAAATTAACCGTAAAATGTCTCTCTTCGCATACGCTGCGAAAAGTATTATAGATAGGACAAAAAAATGTTCGACAATATTATAGAATATATCAATATCTACAAAAAACATCGCGAGAGCATATGTCTAACTATTGTAGTTACGTCGCTGTAACTACTTTTATACATTTAACAAATTAATAGAAATGGCGATCAAAACCAGACCGTGCTATCAATACCGTTTATAAATTTTTATCCAAATAAATTTAATATTCAAGACTGTCTCAATACCTATGATTCCTCTTTTAATTATTGAAATCGGACATGCCATTCAAAAGATATAATGAAATTAAGATAAAAAATACATGCCGGCGGCGGCCGCCACTCCGCGCATCGAGTAACTAATTCGACGATAGAGGCAGTGGGCTCCATACGCAGTGAGCGCGAACGACATTGAATATTTCGATTTTTTTAAACATTTTTATGCTTCACTTAAAAAGTTCTTTTGAAAGCTACTTAGTTTTAGTATTAGGAATCACACTTCATAATGTTTGTCAAAGTTTTTTCAGAACTATGCTTTGAAGTTGAATTTTTTTTTGTATTATTATTAGTTTATTCCTAATTTCTCTAATCTAAAACAAATATCCTTAAAAGAAGAAGGTCGCAGCTATATAAGAATAGTTTCTAAGCGAGATTAGCAAAAGTTCGTCGCATTGTAGAGTCTTCTTCTTCAAATGATCGTCTGGAAAATATTAGAGTGTACGCGTCCCAATCGCGAGCCAGGGCGCGCAATATAATTTTTTTCTAATTTAGTGATTCATGGTCGTTTTAATTAGCATGCTTATAATTTAAATATTTGTACTTATTTATGTCTCCCGTGCGAAGCCGGGACAGGGCCGCTAGTCTGAGATATATACCTAACTAAAAACTAAGTTTCAAACAGAACTATAAAAATTTTTTTTAGCTTTTAACAGATAACGAGTGAGACGTATGGAAAATAATTTACATTTAGAAAAATAAACTTCTTATAAAATTCATACCTACTCCTTTTTAATTATATATCTTCTATTGGGCAATAATTAATCTATGTACCACATCTGTCACATCCAAAAAGAACTCTACGTTGAAGGTCGCTTATCTTGAGACCGGCTTTTCTGGATATTGTTGAAACCCAAAACTAATTTATAGCTTACAGATAAAAAACACGGGCTATATTTTATAAAACAATATACATTTAGACTTATTCTGAGACGGACTGTTTTTGTTTATACAGATTTATCTTATAACAAATCAATAAGATAAATCTGTCTATACATAAAATAGGCAATCAAACACTATAGTATAGACTATTAGAAAGAGCTTCGCTTTTTCTGTACGCCTAATCTTTAAAACTACGCAACGGATGTTGATACGTTTTTTTAAATAGTTAGAGTGATTTAAGAGGAAGGTTTTATATTCCATTATTATGTTCACATTTTTTCTGTAGTGTATTTCGTATCAGCATTGTAAATGAGCGAAGCCGGAGTGCGTCGCTAGTAAATATATAAAATAGAATAGGTATATTGCACGTACTATGTAATAGACCGCCTCGCAGTTCTTAGACATGTAGGGGTAAAGAATTCTCTAAGATTATAACTAGCTTCATGCGAGTAGTAAACATTAAAATAAAATACTTTTAACGGTTTCAAATGCGTTATATTTTTTTTGCAGGCTTTGCAGCATTTTGTGTTTGTTTGAGGTACTGTACCAGTGAACATTGGTACAGGCCTGTACCTATACAGCCAGTGTGATTCCACTTTTATGTGCTATAGAGGCTGTTATTTATGAGGCTATAGCACTGACATAACAATTACGTTAAAGCTTTATTTGAACAAAACAGCCTTCAAGGGAATATTGTTTTCCTTATCGGTGAGACGCATTCGGTGTTGCAAATGCTCAAGAGCAGCTCACCTTGTCCGTTTGACCCTTATTCTCAAAATCTTTAATAAATAAGAAGCTAAACAGATTTAACATAGTTACTAGCCGTGCCAGCGACCTCGTTCGCGAGAATCGTTTTATTATGGACAACTAAATCTTTTGAAATTCGAACCAGTAGTTCCTGAGATTAGAGCGTTCAAACAGATAACAAACAAACTATTTACGTTTATATATTAGTATAGATAAAAATCGGCCAAGTGCGAAACGGATTCGCGCACGAAGTGTTCCGTGATATGACTTGGTACATTTAATATTTTTGATGACTTGCACATAACGGCATTATATATATAAATCTAAGTATTTTTCGAGCAGCAGCACGTAACCCTGTGGATACCAGTTCAAGTACAGCGCTTGTCGTAATTTAATTTCAATCTATATAGATTTTAAACTCTAATTAGATTTTCAGTTTTACTACTTTTAATAGTTACCAAAGTCAAGGTCAAAAATCATTTATTCATGTAGGTAACTAGATACACTTATGAACGTAGAAAAACTAAATAATCAAAATTTTCATTTACTACCTGTTCCCAAATCAAAAGAGTTAAACGAACGAAAAGAACTGGCAAGAAACTCGCCGTCACTTCTTTTATTTATTTTTGCCCTCTACGCCTAATTGAAATTAAGAGCCCCGGGATTCAAATAGGTCGCGCTTTACGCAGTTCTAGGCAGCGGAACTACAGAGGCGATCTTATATAACTGCATAACAATTGCGAAATCATAATGGCGCATTGTTTTGCATGAATCATAGTGTTTTGTTAGAGTTAGCATAGGAACAATTTATTAGCATTAATACGCTAGCTTAGATTGTCAAAGACTGTGTACAGATACTGCTGGAAATACCCTGGACACGACAAAACATAATAATCTAAATTTCTCTTAGTAATTAAATCTCGTTTCTGCCTATTAATGTTCCAAACTAAGCACAAGTCTACTTCTTTAAGAGATAAACGGTTCAAGAACTTAGACCTACCATGCTGTTTCGTCACGTTAGTAGTCAGATCATAGTCCCATCGACTTCTCTTTAAGATTCACCAAATGTTAAAATGCACCAAACCGCGGTATACGTCTTGCTTCCCGTATCCGTAGTTCTGGTAATAAAAGTGTTTTTAGTATAATTCCGAGTACTAACGTGGTTTCGAATGCTCGTGATGTGCTGTAGAGTAGGCATTTGGCGTTTAAATAAAACACTTTAACGATAAAACACGAAATATATCGGTTAAACTTATTGACAATTTATTTTAACTACGGCCTGACATGTCGGATCCTTTGCAGCAGTCATGGTCAAGGGGAGACTCAACTCAACGTTCGATAAAATAAAGAAATGCCTTACAATAAATGCAGTACAAGTCTGTCAGCATCTATTAAGGATAGATTTTGGTTCAACCAAAACCGGTTGGTCTTTCCACTGAAATTCATTGATCGCCCGTCTTAAGGAGGAAAGCGGCACTTACGTCCTCCTTAAACGATTACGTCATGTTTTATTGACTACTGACACCTACGCTAATATAACATTACTGGACCGTGTTTCCTTACATTACCCTGGCCTCTGTGATTGCTCAATTTGTCTTGAAACAAGTCATATTTATATATTTAAACTATTAAATTATAGAATGAGTGGAGAAACTTTATTACAAATCAAATGTTTTTGTTTAATCTAAACAATTTGCATTTTAAACCGTTCAACATGTTTTATTTATGTGCTCGAATGTACAGACTTAGTTGATACGTTAGGAGTAACAGACAGCCCTAATTTCTTCTTAATTAAGAGTTTAGTTGGCATGTAAGAACGAAAATAGACTACGAAAATATATATGATGCTTTTGTACAATATTTTTACTATTTAGTTACGTTGTAGTAAGTTAGTACATAGTAGTACCAGTTTTTAGATCGATATCTAAGAAGACAGTACTGAAAATAATTAGGCAAATTACCTATGTAGGGAAAGAAACAATTGAAAAGTAACACTGTACACGAATTAGCAAAACACGCTTAAGATGAATATCAAATCAAATGAAATCATATAATTTAATCCACACTCATAAAGAAAATATGAATCTATTAATAAAAGTAGTATTTTAACACCAGAAAGTAGTTTTTCCAGTTTGAATTCGCCTCAGTTAATGTAGAAAATGCTTATCATCAAGTTTCGACTGGCGTCTCTTTCTAAAACTATACAACAGACAGAGACAGCTAATAACAGCGTTTCATAGAAATGTGTTCACTAATGTAGCCATTATATGCAATCATAGAAATTATTGTATGTAAATGATAAATATTTGTTATGAAACGTTAGCGATTCTATGCGTCATATTTCTTAGAAAACCTATTTAAAACCGCGATATGGCCATTTTACCTCGTTAAGACTGTTGTTATTTAGATAAAACTTTGTGTGGCAACTTAATATGTTAATGAGTAAAGGTCAAGTTAGTATCTGGAAGAGATAATATTACTTGCGCTTTGTTATCGAGAGGAAGATGTTAATAAATCGTACTATAATCTAACTTCAATTTTCGATGCTATTACACAACATTTATTATAAGGATTTTCAGTCTCTTATTTTCCTTTATTGCATATTTAACTTTAATTTTCCAAAAGTAGAACAAATAAAAATTCAATTGACCCTAATTGAAATATTTTACCATACAATTTTTTTTACAGTTCTCATACGACATCACGACGTCCTCCTCCTATCCTGATACGATATTATTATATTCCCCCTTGTTTTATTGGCACAAAATACATACATATATAGAAAATATATGAATAGATGTATATATATCTTAGTATAAGTGTGTTAACAAAAGAACATTACAACGCCCTATTCGTGTCCAGATTATTATAAATTTGCAATAATTGATTTGGAGCTTAAAAAAAGTACCCCACTACTCCTATTTTGGTATAAAGATAAAGCTAACAAAAGATATACTATGGTTAAACATAGTGGGAAACTAAAGATTATGTAATAAGATATCGGTAAATTTAGAACAGGACCGGATTAAGGGGAGGGGGCAACCGATTCTACAACCCTGGGGCCTGCAAATATATTTTTGTTCAAATTCCAAGTAGAAAACAATTTCCCTTTACATTTTCTTTTGTTATAGAAACATTTTGGTTTCACAATAAATTAATTTTAAAATTCTTGGGGCCAAGGAATCTTCAAATCATACAGCTCTAAGGCCTATATTACTGGCCCAAGTTAAGTTTAAGGCAGAGGCGTAAGGAGCATAGGTATATATCGAATTATAGTTGAAGGATGCATTTATCCAGCTCAAGCCCGGATGCTGCCTTTGGACTTAGACCCAGCTCTCTCCTTCTGTACTCATCTCGTCTACGGATATGCCGGCGTCCATCCAGACACATACAAGATGGTGCCCCTCAATGAGAACCTGGATGTAGACAGATCACACGCAAACTATCGCGCTATTACGAACTTCAGGACCAAGTATCCAGGTCTGAAGGTTCTACTCTCAGTTGGTGGTGACGCCGATGTTGAAGAGGAACAGAAATATAATTTACTGGTATGTTTGAAAAAAAAAGTAGATAAAGAGAAAGAGCATGTATTAATAGCCTGAAAAAAATCGACTACGGTGTATAGGACACGGTAGCTCAATTTGTTAGAGCGACAGCACGAGACGCTGTGGATGCTGGTTCAGGTCCTGCCCGTGTCGTAATTGTTCGAATTGAATCGATTTTGATTTACGCCTTTTGATCTGACAGTACAAGGAATTCAGATAAGTGGGATGTAGAGTAGAACCTTAATCATATATCTAAGAATTTATTACATATACACCGAAAAAAATGTATGCTATTTAGTTAAAGTCTCCTGTTTTTCCTGATTAAGTTACTTATAGGCTATTTTATTTCATTCAGTAAGGCAATAAAAAGGCTATTTTCACAGTTAGAATCACCGCAAGCGAGAACCGCCTTCATCAACTCTGGTGTTCTTCTCGCGGAACAGCACGGCTTTGACGGTATCGACCTTGCCTGGCAATTCGCCAGAATCAAGCCAAAGAAGCTCCGCTCCACTTGGGGTAAGTCAACTAGTTTTTATAACTGTAACATACATCAGCGTAAATCTTTTACTAACAAGCATGATGGTAGATGAATACCCCACCCCTATGACATCTTCTTAAGATGTACGACCTAAGGCAGCCAAACTGCCAAAACTGGATTTGGATATTCAAAAATGAACTGAACCCGATGATGATATTTCAGAGCTTTACCACAGATTGTAAAGCTCTGAAATATCTATATATAATCTATCTATCTAAATATAATTCGACCCAGATGGAATCTAGATGTACCTACCACACATTTCTACTTTTTTAATAAATGAATATTATTAACCAGGATCAATCTGGCACGGAATCAAGAAGACCTTCGGCACCACTCCAGTTGATGACAAAGAAGCTGAACATCGTGAGGGCTTCACTGCTCTAGTCCGTGAACTGAAACAGGCACTCAACATTAAACAACAACTGCTGTCCATTTCTGTTCTTCCCAATGTGAATGCATCAGGTATGTTCTTCGTGGTACTAAGTCTGTTATCTAATGTCAACCTAATGGCATTAAAAAGCAAACTTTATATAGCATGGAATAGGGTGCTAATTTGAAGCTTTTGATTTTATTTATGTTTATTTCCGTTGCAGTTTACTACGACGTGCCAGCCATCATCAATTTAGTAGACATTGTCAACCTCCATGCATACGATTACAATACACCAACCAGGAACCCCAAGGAAGCTGATTATACGGCACCTACCTACAAGCCCCAGGACCGCAATCCACTTTTGAACGTTGACTCTGCTATTTCATACTGGTAAGAAACCTTCTGACCTCCTCGAATTAAATTTAGTACCTTTCTTAATCAATTATTATAAAAAAATTATTTCATGTTCAAATTGTCATTGTATTGCGGTGGTATGTCAGTTGTAAGCGTAAGAACGAGAATGATCTATCTACTGAAAACGTTTCCACCTTGCCCATAGATAAAACGAGATTTCTCGTTTTATTTACTAAACAGAAGTGGTGGTGTAGACTTTAAATTAAAAACCGTATCTTGTTCATGCAAAGTGTCAAACAATAATGCTATGCTTAAATGTTCATACTGTTGAAATTTTAGGATTACATCCGGAGCACCAAGCAATAAGATCGTTCTTAGCATTCCTACTTTCGCACGCACTTGGAAACTAGATTCTGATAGTGAAATAAGCGGTGTACCACCACTGCACACTGATGGCCCCGGAGAAGCAGGTATGGTTATTGAAGGGCATAGACTCAAATCATACGAACGCAAAGACAAAGGATCATTATAGAATTCAGATGTTGTTAATGTTACATTACGTTACAGGACCATACACAAAAAGAGAGGGTCTTTTGAGTTACCCAGAGGTATGCGCCAAATTGATTAACCCCAACCACCAAAAGGGATTGAGGCCCCATTTAAGAAAAGTCAGCGATCCAAGCAAACGCTTCGGTAAGTAATTATTTACGACTTTGTAATTTAGTTGAGTTTTTTATTAATAAGGTATACAAATTTCTAAGACTTACCTCTTCTAAGTATTCGTTTTTATAGAGACAACATAAATAGGTATATATCTATCGCGCTATATAGCTATCACGGTCATTTACATGCAACCTGGTGACGTACGAAAAGACAGACAACGCCATAGGGTTCCGTGGATGTACTACAATATTTATAATTTTCTCATAAGAACTAATAACGTAATCTCTGTAAAAAAATATAAATGTACCACACTCGGGATTCGAACTGTAACCACGTCGTTTTGTAATGATGCTCTACCAATTGACTTCCATGTTCAGTTCGTGAAGATCGAGTTGTTCTATTAATTTATATACATCTTTCGCGCAATATAATTGCAGCGTACAACGAAGAGGAATTAGTTTTTTCTTACAATTTTCAGAAAAGCAATTAATCAAGGACGGAGATTTCTTTGGTTGGTACTTAGCTATTTGTATTTCTGTATGGTGCAGGCTTGTCTATATGCTTATTACCCAAGACTTGAACCAGCGAAGAAAATTTACAAAGCGAGCTATTAAGATTATTAAATTCCTTAAAATTTTGGTTTATTTATATCATACAAAATTTATGTGAAAATATATATTTTTTTAAAGTTACAGAGATTATAATCTCATATATACTAGTATATGATAATTTATACTGAAATGTTATTACTCATCAAATTATGGGTTTTTATTTGTAAATTATATTTCAATGTTTATCTCTTATTAAGGATAACAAAATTTTAAGCACATACTAAAAGCATTTGTCTGTAACGGAGCACATTGTGTTATTGCACATATATTTAACTATAATAATATTATTTTCAGAACAGCTTTACATACATTAAAAATCTATATTAGACAAAATTCGATGATACAGGAAGATCAACAGAATAGAACGCTGTGGTTGTGAATTCGAGAGCCGCCCTCGTCACCGATTTTTAAAAATCTGAAATAGATTTTTAATTCACTTAACATTTCTATGCACATTGCTAGAGGTGTTTAAAAACATTTATTTCGAATTCGAAGGATTCAAATTGAATATTCAACCTCGAATGTGATAATTTAGATTTAGCAATTATTTCCTTATACTTAGTTTGAGCATCTACAGGAACCTACGCCTACCGTCTACCTCAGGACAGCGATGACGGCCTTTGGGTTAGCTACGAAGACCCAGACACAGCTGGACAGAAGGCTAGCTACGTTAAGTATGTATCGTTATTAGCACTTTTTTAAATTTTGCTAAAGCCGTGTACTTATAATCTTTGTGATGCGATGTGCAATAAATCTCTATTTATTATATGTATCTTAGTAACCAAACGGCCAAGACCCACTTTGGGTCGCTGCGCCAGCGGAGTAGTAGTAGTAGTAACCAAACGTTTTAAGCGTCATCATGTTTGCACCGCCGAGTACATCCGCTTTCATTTACTGCTTTATATCATTCTGATCTCTAATTAAATTTCTTCCAGGTCCAAGAACCTCGGTGGAGTTGCTATTGTTGATCTATCAATGGATGACTTCCGTGGTCTCTGTACAGGAGACAAGTATCCTATTCTCCGGGCAGCTAAATACCGCCTTTAATAAATATGCTATCTAAATAAATTAACGATAAAATACATCATTAGTATATGCCGATATGTTAAACCTATATAAAAATTAGCTTGAAATTAAGAGATGTTATAAAGAAAAGAAAATAATAGATTTTTATACAAAAAAATACGCCCTCTTTGTAATAAGCATTACAGAAATCTGTTAAAGCAATGCATGTGTAATAGCTATTGCTAATAAATGTTGATTTCAATTTCTTATTTGTTTTATTTCGTCCATACCTAAAATTGATTAGGAGCATATTGGTTCTCTAAATTTCATAGTTGGTTAGAAATAAAAACTTTTTATGTTCACTACTCATTGGCTACACATGACGTGAATTGTCATTACTGACGACGGTGGCGTTATTATTCGCATGTTCATCGAATTATCTTAACAATGATTATAAACAGAATATTGAGATTAAGTAATTCTTTATTCCATCGTGACTCACTTTTCCTGTTTGCTCATACTCAAACATGTCCAACAAGAAAAAGACCTGTCTGTCCATCATCTGGCTCTACTTCTTCAGACACACCCGGAGGTGGCACAGCAATCAAACGTAGAGCCGAACCTGGGAAAGTTCGTCTCGGCATGTTCCCAGATGACTGGTTCACATTTTTTCACAGCAAGACTGGTGTTAGCGGGCCATACATACTCGGTATATTGCTGACGAACTACATGTTCAGTAAAGAAATCTACGTCATGGAACACGAGTATTACGCCGGTCTTTCAATCTTTGTAATCATCGTTGGGATCACCAAAAACTTCGGGAAAGACATCGGGAAGGTCCTCGATTCTGAAATAGATGCACTGGAGAATGAACTCAACCAAGGAATTAAGAATCAGCTGAACTTGTATGAGACAGTAATAAAAGATTGTCAAGAAATGCAAAAGCAGGCGAAGGGACAACAGATGTTAATGGACGCGAAGAAAGAGAATGTGAGCATGCAGTTAGAAGCAGTGTACAGAGAGAGGTTGATGCAAGCGTACAATGCAGTCAAAGGCCGATTGGAATACCACTCTAAGCGAACGAGAGTACTGAATAGGATTCACCAGAAATGGATGCTGGAATGGATTCTAGATAATGTGAGAAAATCTATAACACCAGATTTTGAGAAGCAAGCACTTAATCGCGCAATAGAAGACTTGTCTGCGATGGCTGGGCGTGCTTAGACACGAGCATATTCGATAGCAAGCCGTTGGATACTAAAATGTTATTTCTTAGAGTGACAGAAGATCTTCAAGAATTTAAAATTTTTTATCGCTTCACAATACGTAAAAAACGGAGTGAAAAGAACATTTATACATAAATAAATGCAAAGGTTTCTAAAATATTTAGTAATATTTGTAACATGTACGTACTAATGAGAACTAAGTCTGTCTTAGTTTAAGTGAGCATTACAATATTAAGTACCGTTGGAACCTTTTATACTTACCTAATTATTTGTAATATACAATGTTCTAATGAGAAAATTAATGTCCCGTTTAGCGATTAATCGTTCGATAAACTACGATAGTTTTACAGCATTCCTTATTTCGATTAGCAAGAAAATAAACAGTGAAATGTTTAGTAAACTTATTTTTGTTCTGTTTGTGTATACTAAGGGCGTTGAGTTGCAACCGAATAATGTAACTGTGGGATTTCTTGATAAAGGTAATTCTTTGTTTATATGACTAACAAGAACTATAAAACTTATATATCACTAATAATATAACATCACTAATAAAACAATTGGTTGCCTAGCATTGCCTTTAGCTCGAGAGGTAGTCTAATAGGGTCGAGTACTGGGAAAACAATATTTTCGGTCGGGTAGGGCACACGACATCCGATGAAGTACTTGTCTATAAATAAAATTGGACTCGCCAGTTTGCGTCATAACCCTGAGGAGAAACTGGTCATTATAATATTCTTTTTGGGTGAAAACTTGATTTTCATTCAGTGTGTCTACCAGTAGTAAATTCGCTTAAAAGACTAACAAATAGATGTTAATAATCATACTATTTTCAAAAACGAAAATAAATTGAAAAAATTTTCGACACGGCAAGGACTTAAACCGACGTCAGCGCTCCTTGCTCTACCAAGTAATACACCTCATCATCTTTTTTCTCAACTTTTTGCTACGTGCACCTTTCGCGCAATATAATCATAGTATTGTTGAATAGTAAATAATTTACTGTTTTCTTCTAATTCTGATTGCTGTATTTTTAGCATTTTTAAAAGTCGACTCTGACATGGCATGCAAAATGCAACCAGATGGCTTCGATTGTTCAGGAAAGGCTAGATTTACACCAATGTAAGCTAAGTATTGTCTGTAGTCTGCGCGAGTAATGATTACACATTAAATAAAACATATTTACGGTTTAAGACGCCAAATATATTATTTAAGTTATTTAAACTACGACTCAACGTTACTTTGTAACAGGGAAGCATTTGTTTCAGGACATGTTAATAGCACGATTGTTATTAAAAGATTAAAAAAATAATTTGAATTCTGAGTGCAGGTTCTTATAGATGACAAAATATTTTTTTTTTTTAACTTTGAGCCATAATTTTAAGTCAGGTATAAATACTATATCTTGTTATTTATATTTTTAACATCCTAAAACGCTGAATACATTTGTTAATTTAACTTTTATTGAGACAAAGGATAAGTGCAAAGGATTCAAAAATTAAAATATATTGCAAATAAGTTAACAAGAAGAAATCGGGTTTTAAACCAAATATGTGCTACTAATATATACTACAGACACTTAATCAATTGTAGTTGCTTTTCTATTCAACAGCTAAATAAATAAATTTTATGTTAATTTCTTACTGGTCATTAATGGACTTATTAAAAAAGTAAAGTGGAATCCCGTATCCCCTAGTGGAGCATGGTGCGAACATATTTCTGTGTGCGTTTCACTGATCAATTTGAATTTACAGGCCGATAGTTGATAAGACTTCTGTACTCTCCACGACCGAAACGATTTATCGCTTCCCGGGATTCAAACCCAAGTCCTCTCGCGGTTACAGAGGCGGTCATGGATGGAACGGACTTATTAATTAATGGAATTTTGTGGTTGACAGATTTTATTATGACATAGCTCTACAAGGATGCCTGACCAAATATGTTGGAGAGTGCCCTCACCACTTTAACACGTACAGCAATCTACGAGATTGTTCCGAGGCGTGTCGAGGTATATCTTTCAAATAACATAACTTTTTCATTTTAGACGCGTACGGACGTAGAAATTCGGCTTGTATTACCGAATGTGCAAAGCCTAAATAGACCGACAAGGCATCTTGAGTTAGACCTAAGCTTGTCTATCCTATACTGGCATTAAAGGCCATGAGCGAGTTGGACTCTCGAATGAAAGGGTTTTTAAAGTTTAGATCCTTAACTTGTATTATGTAAAGTAATAAAAGCCTACAATTACGTATTTTGAATGGCTAGATATTAATATTATTTGCTTTCAGTATTTAAAGCAACGGGATAAATACAATTTGTGAAAATTTCAACTTTCTATAGGAATCTTAAGTTTATATTAAATTATTCCACCGTCTACTTGCAATATAATGCGAGAGAGGTGCAAGTATCAACAGGTTGAAAAAAATCGACGATGACGTGTAGGACAAGACACAGCACGGAACGCTGTGCATGTCAGTTCAAGTCCAGCCCGCGTCGTATTTTTTTTTTTTTCAATTTTTAATTTATCCATTTTTATCAAATGTCTTATTAGATTCCTCACTACGAGAGATAAAAGGGGGACTTTCAGCAAAAATATTTTGCAGACTTCAGCCAGACTTTGGACGTTGCAACAGTTATCACCCAATGTAAGTGAACTTGTAAATAATAATAATATGAAATACAATTGGTAACAAATGTGTAAGGTTGATAAAAACTTTATTCATATTAAGTATGTATACTTTTAGACATGGAACCTTAATCTATACTAATATATAAAGCTGAAGAGATTTTTTGTTTGTATGTTTGAACGCGCTAATCTCAGGACTACGGGTTTGAATTAGAATTTTTTTTTTGTGTTGTTTAGAGCATGTATCGAGGAAGGCTATAGGCTATAAAACATCGCCCTCTGAAACGAAATGCCCAAAAAAACGATTCTCGCGGTCGAAGTCGCTGACACAGCTAGTACAGTAAACAAAATATGTAACGGTTCAAATCGCGAAATATATTTAGCGTTCCTCAAATAACTGAACCGATGATGCGTTTTGTTTGATGATGATGTCATCCGCTCATGATGGTAAACATCGATAATCACCGTCAATTTCAATTTAAAATAGCCGCAATAACCTTATACAATTTCACAAGATACATTGATTGCTATAGGACCATGATGTACCTCGCTGCAGCCATGACCACGACTGCGGCTGCAATTGTAATCATGCATTTAATAAAAATTTAAGTAAATTTCAATAAAATGTCTTTTTTACACTCTTAGTATCGTCATCGCCTATTATAGTCATATACATGTAGGTACTAGACCGTCGCTCGATTAGTGACCTGGTTCAATGCTGTCAATTTCCAGGTGGTACTTTGACCTGACTACCCGCACGTGTAAGGGCTTCTCCTACAGTGGATGCGGCGGCAACGTGAATAGATTCCCAACGCATCAACACTGCGTTGCAGCATGCAGTGTTTATATTACTTTTTAATTAGGAATAAATTATTATTAATTCGATACAAATACTGTCTATAGTTTACGCGAGTAGTACACATTTAAATAAAACACATTAACGGTTTAAACTAACCGTTTTTTAGTTGAAAATTTATTTAAAATGATTTTTAACTTCGGCCCGACGTTTTGGGTGGGGGGTCCCCCCGACCCCCGCGCCGCCGAAAAAACCCCCAACCGCGGGGGGCGGCCCAAGTTAAAAATATTTCAAATAAGTTTAACGAATATAACGGTTAAGGTTTTATTTAAATTTGATACAATTTAAACTAATCCGTTTTTTAATTGAAAATTTTTTAATTGAACATATTTACGATACGGGACTTAAACCAAATTGAGCTTCTTACCAATTGAGCTACCAAGTTTTGATTGGTTAGAGCAGCAGCACGGCACGCTGTAGATGCCGGTTCAAGATCCGCCCACGTCGCAATTTTATCTCAATCGTAATATATTTTTAATTTATATATAGCCTTCGTGTGAATTACACTTTAAAAAAGTTTTTAATCTCATGATTACTATTATTATTAAACAATAAATGTTACGAACCCTTTTAAAATAGGTGAAGTTAAAAATCCATCAAGCGAGCGATTAACACTGGGGCAGGAGTCGTTATGTACTGTTTGTTAGCTAGGGGCTAAGTAAACAACGGTAGGTATATCAATTTAAGTTATAAATATTTATTCTATTTTTAGTATTTGTTATCAAAGTTGCGGCAATACAAAATTTGTGAAAATGTATCCAGTTGTCACTTTTCTTGATACCCGATGACTTTCGACAGCAAAAGCTTTAGTCCGTTACTTACGCAGTCCCTTGTCGTCCGAGTCATGGACCTCGTCGTCTCTTTAGCATTAATAAAAAAAATACTTTTATTGGTTAATAGTTCAAATTTAATCACATGTTATTACAAAAATCTTACCTATTCATTAAAATAAATCTTCATCACAGCTTTTGATAACCATAAAAATTTCTAACAAAATATTGTTTCTTGAATAAATATTAACTCTTAACAAAAATAATGTTTAACTTTATCACTTTGTACATTATCGAGCAATCTGAAGGCAGTAACAATTATACTAAGTGTGGAAGACATTCATTTGTTTTTAGCGTGTACTTGAATCATTACACAATCAGTCGTATTTTTGTCGTCTTAGTCGTATTATCCTAAATATATGTACTATCAGCCTCAAATGATGGATTCAAGTTTCCTTTTAAATCGTCCAGTTTCGATAACTCCTGGTTGGTTTTTTTCTGAAACGTTATTAAATAAATTAATATTAATTTTAAAATTATTCACGATTAAAAACATAATGACACGAAAGCAATGACGTGCCTTTGCTCTGCCAATTGAACGGCGTCACGTTTTAAATCATCGTATATTCGGTTTCATTACACGTGGTCTTCTCAACATATGATGACCCTACTAATGTCCGACAGCTTGAAATTAGTCTCCCCTCTCAAGCGAGAAGGATTTCAAGAACCCACCACGCTACTCCACTTTAAACTAGTCAAAACAATTTAAGGCTGTAGATACCTCCACAGAAATCTCTTAGAAATGTTCTTAAAACAAATCTGAATACTGAAGTATTTTATCCGACAGGATTCGGACCTAGGAGCTAGTGATTTATAATCAAGTGTGGCATCTAAACCAACAGGATAATTGAAGCCTATTTGAATGTATGTAAGTAAATAAACGTTTTAAAATATAATAGGTTTTTTTCTTTGTGTGTTATGCTTTTCCCTAATGTACGTTACATTAATTTTACTTAGGCTTAATAAAATCCAGATTATTAATAATAATTAGAGGTTCACCTGAGAGCGATAGACATTGTTTGTCAATCTCTGGCCCCCGGCAAAGTGATTCTCGATGTCGTTCAACTTCTTCCCTTCAGTTTCAGGTAAGATGAAGTAGAAGACCAGGCAGCCAGTAACACTGAAACATGAAGTTTTTCTCTTTAAATAAATAAGCTAAAACACATTACATCATCATCACCAATAGGTGATCGCCTCTGTAACTAAATGGTTAAACATGTTGCCTAGCATTGTAACCGCGAGAGGTCCAGGATTCGAATCCCAACAATAGATTCCTGCAGGCCACAGTTATCTAATCAACGGCTTGCCTATAAAAACTGATCAGTATAAAGGATAAAAATGAGCGGAAACGAGATTTTACTTTTGTATAATGCTGGTCAAATGTGGTTTAACATACTAGTTTTTCGTAATTATTTAGGATTTTCCCGTTTTTTCCATATTTCCCACAGTTCTCTTCTATCTATCGCATCGTTATGTTTTATAGCCAAAAGCCTTCCCCGATGATCTAACCGAAGCAGAAAATAATTAAATTTGATCCAGCAGTTCCTGTGATCAGCGCGTCCAAACAATCAAACTCTGCATTTTAATAATATTGTATGTGAATTGTATGTTGTATTAAAAAAAATCGATGTGTAAATAATAAATATAAAATCACAATGTTGTAATACTGATTAAAATATATATCTTTACGTAAACCTGTGTAATATGCCCGATCTTGAACCTATGAAATACAACTTTCATGAAACTGAATTTCGATTAGTTACCTGATAATTCCATACAGTCCGTACGTTCCCCATATTGACATGGTGTCCACCATACTAATGTATAGCTTGTTGGCTAGGAAACCAAAGATGTAGCCGACTGCACTCGCAAGACCGGCCCCGCCTGATCTTGTTTGGGCACTAAATACCTGAAATTAGTTTTATTATCTTTTCACTTGTTGAAATATACTTTCTTAACTACTAATGTAATATAACTTTTAACAGGCTTGTTGGTGTAATCGTAGCAATGCACGGCTCACAACCAACTGAACGTGGGTTCAATCAACACGGGATCCAATATGTTTCTGAAGTATGTGGGACTTTGGAAATCTGGATATTACATTATTTTTCATTCATTCATTTATTTTGTAACCTTTCTTTGAACTGATGGTGTGAATGCCTAATGAATGCCCACGTCGGTCAATAGTGACGTGGAGAGTGTGCGGTGCTTTGGGGGAGCCCTGGAAACTACTACATTGTAACCTACCATCAAGTTAGCCCCATGTTTGTCTGTCCTCCTTAATTATTAAAAAAAAATTACCTCTCCCACTAAGATCCAGGGCAGCAATCTGATACCAGTGTGAGTTATCAGTGCCAGAAGCATAAGAAGTGTAGTCGGCATCCAAGAGTTTGGATTTGGCTAAAAGATAAAAATTATTTATCATTTCCCATATTAACACCCTATACAATGAATACTCAAATTGTAAGTATAAAGAATGAACATAGCACTGGAGTGTGAATAAAATAGTTTTGAGTTTGCGGCGAAACTAAATGAAAAGTAAAAATAAAATATCAAAAAATCAAAACAATTTTTCGTAAATATGGCCACACTAACAATGTGAACATCAAACATCAAGTAATTGTATAATAAAGTAATTATGAAATTTGTAATATGCAGCTCCTAAGAACAAAATGGCTTACCGAAGCTATGACGTCACTGACAGTTGTGTTGCTTACGTCACTTGAGTATCTGTTTTGCTGAAAAGTTATGAAAATAATAGAAACACGAAGAATAATTATTTGAGTATACACATATCAATATTGTTAGCTCTTAGTGCATACTTAACCGGGGTGACTTATTTAACCAGCCCTAAAGTCTCATTATTATTATTGTAATTATGAATCTAGACAATGCTTTAATATGTTGAAAGACATTTTATAGAACATCGGATGCCTAAAAGAAATCGCTAACGAAAGAATAGTCTACCTAAAGACTACTAGACAAAAATCTAGTGGTAAATTCTTTTTGTGAGGTGAGGTTTTAACTTCCTGTACCGTTTACGTTACACAATCCATTTTATTTACAGGCCTGTAGTTATATGAAGTCTGTGCCCTGCTTGACCAAGACATTATACATTTTCCCCAGAGTTCGAATCCATGACCTTAAGTGCTAAGTTAGACAACACTTATTACTAGAAACATTTATTATTCTAACTATTTCCTTCTGGACAAGCCCAAAAATACGACCAACAACTTGAGTAAGTCAAGTATGGTTTGTTGTTTATTTTTGTTTAAATAGCACCGATGTACTGCGAGTGAAAAAGGGCATAATTATATTACTTGTATGTAACCGTCATATCCTGCAACGAGCAGGCAACACAACCCCGCACCGGCCGTGGAGAAGAAAGTCAACGGCCGCTTCCCCGTATAGTGCACCATCATCACACATGACGCTGACCCGATGATCTGCAGCACCCCCAGGATTAGGGTCGCGTAGTATTTGTCTATCGGCGCTTCCAGCATTTGGAAGATTGATACGGCATACGTCTGAAATCAAAAATACAATCTTAAAAATAAGAATACAAAAAAAATTCTGGTGGTGGAATTCTGTTGCGCAAGAAATGGAGCTCGAAGATAGATGCCTTATCCTTTGCATGATGAGTATCGTAAGTTTTCAATATCTTAAAAGCACGATATATCCTGGGTCAAATTATGGGGTCAAGTAGGGCACATGAGACTTGCTTGTAAATAAAGTCCATACAAGTAATAAATAACGTCTTATCTTACCTGTAATGTCGTCATCCCACTAAAATGTCCAACGAAGAAGGCATATCCCACAATAAAAAATGGTATGAGAAAACTCCTTTTTGTGTAATGGTTCAATCGTTCTAAAAGAGTCTCCTCCATGCCTTCCACTTCTAGAAATAAAAAGAAGTAAATTTGACATTTCCTTGTTGTTAGGTTAAAATAGCTTATTATAGTTAATAATAGTAAAAGTAAGAAAATTTCCCTCCCTGTCTTATACCTAAGTGCCTGTATCAAATCTATATAATTTATTGATTAATAGACGAAAGGTTCTATAAAATCTCAAAATTTAACAGCTTTAAGAATAATATTATTTTTTAACTAGACAAGAATGTATAAGGGAGAACTATTGAAATGTAGGCAAAAATTAACATATAAAAATATGTAATAAAAAATGTTTGACGTTCAAATTTGTTTTACCCTGTTTCTTATTATACAACGCCTCAATATCTCTTAACTCTGCGTCGACATTCTGCGGCGTCGTCCACCCGCGAAGCCACTGCAAGCTCTGGAAGAATATGTCAACAATTATATAAAAAATATTTTCACTTTGAATATTCAGAAACACAACACAACACAACACCACCAGAACTTGAAACTAAACTTTGAAAGTTAGACTTCAAGTTTTTTCCATCTCGGACCAGGTCAATATTTTAATACTACTACTACGGAGTTAAATCAGAATTTGTGAAACAAATTTTCTGAGGAACTATAAATTAATAATTCCCACATAAATTAATTAGGCACAAATTGCTACTATTAGACCACTGAGGCAACAAGAGCCCACTTCAAAAGAAACCTTTTTCTCCTAGCTTCAATAGCACCATTACACATAATATACAAAAAAAATGACTTACCTTTCTCGCGTCGCTATATCTTTTCCTGGATATCAACCAATGTGGTGATTCAGGTACGAAGCACAAAGCTATAACGGCTAACACCTGAAACACAGTAAGAGGAATTAACATTGTGGCTTTCTTGCTTAGTGAAAACAAGTAATGAATATTCTTTAAGAGATTTTTTTATAACGAGAGTATTCTGATTTTTAGAGTTACCGTAAAAACAATATTGAGTAACGCCACGTGCCGCCAGTAGAGTAGCAAGCCGAACAGGAACTGCGTGAACACACCAATGATGATGCACATTGAGCTAGTGGCTGTTAAGGCACCACGGAGGTGAGGTTGTGTTATCTCTGCTACGTAGGTTAATACCTGAAAGTGTTGTAAAATAAAAATCAGAAGACAGATAATATGGTGCTTTTTTTTAATATCTCATGTTCCTAATTATATTACACTTTAAATGGCTTTTTATACTTTTTAAGCTGACAAACATTGTTGTCCCATACAAATTGTTTCTAGGGAATTTGTAGTGTAAGAAAAAACTCAGATATTTTGAGGAATTGTAGCATAATATGGATGAAGGAGGTCATTTCAAAACAGGTATGTAACTAGTACTGTGATGGAGAATTGCAAAATTCAGACTCAGAGTGCAAAGTACTTAATATGCATCTATAAAGCCAATGATTAAGTAATTTGAATATGAAGTTCATTTATCCTTTAAGAGGCTTGGGTGTCACATGAGGACCTAGTTACCTAATACTATGAGTTACTTACCACCTATTAAACAAAATATAAAAAACAGTGGTTTGTGTCAATCTTAATCCCCACTTCGAGGATCTTTCAAAGGAAAATAATGTTGCTTTAAAACATATCACACACTACAACTTACAGGTGCTTCAAGCAGTCCTCCAGCTAGGCCTGTCAGAGAAAGTGCAGTGTAAAGATGTGAGGTGTTCTTGGAGAAATAGAAAATAAGCCAGGCTATGAAGAAAGGCACATTCACCATCTGCATGGCTCGACGTCTGCCCATTGGCGCTGTTACAATGCCAGACACAGCACATCCTAGTGGCACTACTATCAAATTTATAGAGCCTGCAAAATAAGTTATGAGTTTTATCTATTTGTGCAATAGTATCTAAATATTTAGATACTTTCTATATAGGGTTACACTTTAAACACTTAGATTACAGTCAGTAGTGTCGGGACAGGGTATTGACTGTAACCGAATAAACATGGGGACAAACACATTTTTGTATCCAGTGACTTTTTGTCATGGTTTGAATTCCATGCATGGAGCCGAGCAGTATTCAAATCATATTGCATCATTTGCAGACATCAAATCATTATATTGATGTTGAATATTAGATAGCTGTTTTTTTAATGATTAAGGTCTCACTTTGCCTGGCCTCAGCAATACTAACAGGACATTTGTCTATTTTGGCCTTGTCAGCATTGTTATTTTAGGTAAAAAAGCACTAGTTTGTTGAAAAAAAAATAGTTTAAGATCAAACTATGTAATTATTATATTATACACTTACTAATCCATGAAACTTGCGAACTGTGTAAACGCAATACTTCCCCTTCAACTGGGTTCTGTACAGCTGGTATTAATATTGTTGGAAAACCCAGTGTCATTCCATAGCCTAAGAGCAAATAAAATTATAATTAGATATTTAGAAGCTTTTCCAAGAAAAGTTATGGGTAGAAAAATCTTTGTTTCTCACACTACATTACTATGTGAAACGTACATGATTGTAAACAGATTGTGATATTCTTGCATGATACAATTTTTTTCAATTCTCGCAGTGTATAAAACAGAAACGTTTTATAAATCCTAAGTAAAGGTTTACAGAATTAATAATGCACAAATAAACAATAACAATGCGTTTTGGACACATTGAAAGTAATAGTGACAGTTCATAACTGTTAACTGTGTACTTGTTTTTGACTTGACCTCCACAAGACAATAAAAAAGCGCCTCGTTGACATTTCGTAATGCACAGATATAAATTGACATGTCACAGACAGAAAACTACGCGGATGGTGATGTAAACACAAATGGAGGATAAAATCAATGTTACTATTTTGTTTAAAAGCCTGCAATTAATTAAAAAGGAATATTAAACAAAAAAACAATTTGTAAAATTATGGAAATGAAGTAATGTAAATAAGCAAAAAATTAGAAATATGACAATACATACATCTTTCTTTTTAATTTAACTTTTATGTGTGCAAATAGTTAAGTTATTTTATAATGTTTAATGCTATTATCTTTTTTATTATGTATTTCGATTTCTTGTACAGTTAATACGACATACATATAAGTATGACCTCACCAGGTTTTGTACTCCCACTATAAAGGCAGTTTTATTTTGCACTGAGACGCTTCAAGTGGGGTTCCCGACTCCGCCCAATTTATTAACCTAGGGTGGATTAAAAGCCTAGGCATACATTATTTTCTTAGCCTCTTATGTTAGGGTATATATTTTATGTTTAACAGGGCGGATCTAGATTAAAATCAGGGGATGCTTTACATAAAGTGTACGACATCCAGCAGCCGCCACACAGAGCATGGGGAGAACACATTTTTATACCCGTTTTACTGATAAATGTACGTGTAAGTATAAATTAAAATAAGATAAAAGAAATATGAAATGGGGCAAAACTTGAACCGCCATCGTCAGAGCTCCGTACTGTTCTAACCAATTGAGCTACATGTCTGTAGTCAATTATACCAAAATGCGCCGTATTATTGGAATGTTCGGAATACTGTATCTAATCCAATATTCCGAACATTCCAATAATTAATGAACAAATTAATAATACATAACCGATTTCGGACCTACTGAACGTATTGTAAGTAATCGTAGTAGTATAGTTATATTAAATGTAAAGCGGAAATAAGTAGCTAAGTTAATTTATGGCTAATGATACAAGATAATCTATTTCTCATGCTAGCTTCCGTAAAATATTATTAAAACGACTTTTAATTGATGCGATGCGAAAATGTAGTAGTGAGTACTTACGTAGATAATATTATTTTTAAGCAATTCAAAAATCTATTTAAAATTGAAATAATCGATGACTTAGACGGAACCACAGCCATGACCACGGTGACCCGTGTAGCATACCGGTCACGTTAGAAGTGATGTTAAGTAGAATAGAAGCACGACTTTCGCGGTCGTATGTTTGAATCCCGCCAGGGTAGTCCATATTCTTCAATATTAATTAATTTTTAATTTATTTAAAAGACTCTCATTTTCGCGACTTGACTTTGACTATTTATTAATCTGTTAACAAGATAGAAATCCTAAGATGTCTAATTATTTTATATCTATTTATTTTTGTTGTAGATATAACAAGTATACTTATGTACACAGAATAAGGTGTGTTGATAAGTAAAGAGTAGCTATTAGAAAGGCCCTTATAATTAAAACTAAAACGTGTAACCGGAAGTTGTCGTGTCTCCACTACTTGTTAATGAATTGAGAATCTGTTGAACGTGCAGAACTAACCGCGATTTCTAGAACTTGGCGTTTCGTGATATAAACATTGGACCTAGAAAGACTTTTTCATTAACACGACAATTCAAAAAGACTACATATAACATTTATTATTATCGTTCTCACTATTGGAACTTCAACTTTTACAATGGTATATTAAACTGGCACTTATACACTGGCTAAGTGCATATGCAAAATCTGGTAGACTACATTTTATGTCGTGCTGGCTTTAAAAAAAATGCCACTTTGGGTCTCCTCACGATGTTTTAAAATAGGGCCTGTGTCTGTGTTCCTATAATTTCGTTACGTGGAGTATGGTGGACATTTATCTTTGTATTTGACTATTTGATTTTATCTCCAGACATGAAGTTGATAAGACTTCAATGCCCTAGCCGACCGAATCTATTATTTTTTGTAAATTTGAATCCAGAATCTATTGCGCTTAACTTAACCAAAACAAATAACTTTTTTTAAATACTGTCTGTAGTTTACTCGAGTAGTACAGATATAAATAAAACAGATAAACGGTTTAAAACACGATGTATATTAGTTAAATGTAGTAATATTCAAATAAGTTTAACTAATTTATATCGCATTTTAAACCGTTAAAGTGTTTTATTTTAATATTGTGTTCTCCAACCGAAGTTAGAACTCCCTGCTTCACAAATAGCACTATGAAGTAGACTAAAGATTTAAATTATTCTTTTAACTATTGTCCTTACGTGGGTTATTCTTTCATTAGCGTGTATAATTTGTTATGGACTTACAGCTCATGTTGTATAAAATTCTTTCAACATATTAAAGCATGTCTAGATACTTCAACATATGTAACTTTTAATTTTTTAACATACGTATTTGTTTACACTTAGAATTATATATTTTAGGTCTGTGGTAATTTTATGATCATTTAAATGGTGAATAAATATTTTGAAACACTGTCGGACATCGAAGCCGCAACTTCGCTGTTGGTCTGTCTGTCACTAAGTTTGTATCGCACGTACTGCAACAGACAGTAGAAATTTTCACTATGTTTCCGCTATAACAATAAATACTAATAACAAACTAAAATATTATATGCCAGCCTAATAAAAAAAAAACACTCGACCGACATCCATAAAGGAAAATAGAAAAATAAAAAAAAGGTACTCAGAGGTAGCCAAGCCAATTGCGACTCGCACTTAGCCGATTTTTCATTTTATATGGTGTTCTTGCAGTAAGCCTTATAAATTGTCGAGGTGAACGTGAAGTGTCTCGGTTCAGGGTTGTACATCCGTTCAAACTACAGTACATAAACTTACAAGGCGATGTTACAAATTGTTTATGTATGTTTAACATACAATGAGATAATGAGAGCTTAGATTTTGCGTGTCTTAAGCTACGGAACCCTTCAAAAGCAAGTCTCACCTCGTTGGGTTCCGTAGCTACCGTAACTTGCAGCTACCAGTAGAATCGGTTTAATATAATTCGCCATGCGTTTAGTACGCCCAAACCGAGCCGAGAAAAAAATGGATATTAAGAGTTTTCCGTATAAAATCACTAACAACAAATTAAACTCAGTTAACTGCTGAGGTTCACTTACCTGTTTTTAAATTACGTACCATTAATATAATTAAATAAAAGAGAAGAAATTAAACAAAAATACAGATTTTGAGATGCCCAGAGAAAAATAGGCAAAATTGGCAAATTGACAAAATTTTTAGTAGAATGTCGAAATGTGGAAAAAAACGGGGAATGTTTGAGGGTTTTCAAAACGGCTTAAGATGTCCAAAAAATATGAATAAGAGATTACCTATTCCTTTTTAAATAATCGAAAAAGTTTTCCGCGACAGTATGTTTTCATCTTTTATGCGTAAATCATGTCGTGTGTAACAGCTAGTATAATTTAATACCCACATAAATCAAAATTATATACTTTAACGTGTTATTTTTCTTATTTTGATTTATACGCTTTCCCGCTTAAGACGTGTTTTTGGTAGAGTCCCTGAGAAATCGTAGTGCGGAGAGAAACTGCAGTTCTCACTCACCAAGTAACAGCAAGTTTTTCACACTGACGGCCAGCAGCTGTGGTAGCGCTGTTCGGAAGTCTTTTGCATATCCGTAGTGGTTCTCTGAAGTTTGATCCTTTACTACCATCTGTAAACAGACATATTAATAAAAAATAATAAGTAATTTTATGGTATGCACACTTTCATATCAGTAATGATTAATATCTTAATTTGTTTCTTTGATAAAATTATCCTGATTAGAATTAACTAGACCAAAATTGCTGAGAATATATTTGTGTCGTTGCATGAGAACTGAAAGATACATAATTTACATAGTCTAATCTTGAAAGTCTTTTTAAATTTAGGATTTTTTTTATAAACAGTTACCGCGAGTAAAAAAAAACTTCAACATATCAAAATTCAATACAATATATGTTAAATACTGTCTATAATTTACGCGAGTAGTACACATTTAAATAAAACACTTTAACGGTTTAAAACGCGCTATATTATTTAAATAAAAAAAGCAAAGCATTCGAAACGTCAGGCCGAAGTTAAAAATAATTTTCAAATAAATTTAACTAATATATCGCGTTTTAAACCGTTAAAGTGTTTTATTTAAATAATATATGTTTTCACGTGTGCCAAGGTTAGTCATCTATTATGTGTAGCAGGCCATTTATAATGATTACAAATATATTGTACTTTGTTAACAATAATACAACGGCCTTGTTTCCTAGAAACAAATTGTGAGGGCCGATATCTTTTTAGTTTGACATATCCATTTGAAAAAGGATTGTACAGCAAGTGTATATTAACTTTTGAATATGAGAATTAATTATTAAGTAACCTACCTACAACGAAAACAACACTTCTAACGGTTTTAAACTGGTAATATGTAATGACGAGTCGTAGTTTAGTTTGCAATTTTTTTTTAAGATTATTTATTATATCTAGTGAATATGTTTCTCGTATACATCAGAATGGAGCGTAACGTATTATTATTCTCTACTGTGTTTGATTTGTTTTATATTACCCTTATTATGTATGTTTTAATAAATGAAAACGGATAAATTTACCCCTATGTTGGCTTAAATCGTGCTATATAACCTTGAAATTTAGGGCTTTCACACAGCACAAGGTGCGTGTGAAACATGACATGGACGGAGATCAAACCCCCGACGTCAGTTAAAGTTTGACTCGCATACCACTAGATAACCACAACGCTGGTTAAAAAAAGCTGGAAAAACAAGGGTTACTGAATAAAAATACTTTATGACAAACAAGCATGAGATTTACTTTAAAAAAGCTCGACTGTTGACATTAAAAAATCTACAGAAACCAAAACGCGAATTTTCTTTCTTACCAGTAAATTAATGTCTACATTAACTAACATGTTTCAGCATGTTGCACCTGGTGGAAATCGAAGTCACGACCCCATTATTAACCGCGCTTAGCTACTACCATTAGACTACCGAGTTGTCTAATTGCAATGAGAAATACCAGTAAATTATACCTTATATTTGCATAGAGTAAAATAATTTTGTATGTACAGCTGTAGCCTTCGTCTCAACACGAGAAAGGACGTGCGACGTTCGTCCCACTTACTTATGTTGAAACACAAGAAATAATTGTATATTAGTATATACTATATCTATTATTACAAGTACCTATTCCTTGCCTGTCACTAGCTAGGGTTTAAAACCTGGAGAAATAGAAAAAATGTGTCGCGTAAAGCAAAGAAAACAATAGGTTACTAAAATGGCTTACTAGTCTGCATAAGTGGTTGGAAATATAGATTTATCAACAACTATATCCGATAATCTATATCTAATATACAAAGCTGAAGAGTTTGTTTGAACGCGCAAACCTCAGAAACTACTCGTTCCATTTGAAAAATTATTTTATTGTTGGTTACTGCATTTATCGAGACAGCGGGAAAGGTTAAAAAAACGGGTAAAATTGTTCATCTTTTTGTGTTCCCTTGCAAAAACTGGTTAAGGTACCAAATATATATGAAAAAAATAATTTCACTTTAAATGAAGTAAAAAAATGTTTGCGACACTATATGACTATTTTTTAAGATTGACTTGCAAGGACGACGGGGACGTAACGGACGTCGTGGGTAACAGCAATAATGGAGGTTTGCAATAACGCTTTTCTACGCAGCCGAAGTTGGTGACACAGCTAGTGTTATATAATATTACGCGTTTCGTATAACCTTACGAAATATTTTATTTTTTGATGATATTTAGCGCACTATGAATAGTCAATGAGAATTCGAATTTTCATTAATACTCGACTCATATAATAATTAAATTGGTTAATTGACTTTACTTGCAATGAATCTTGACGTCTTAATAACACATAATTAAAAAAACGTCTGAATAAAGATATATCTTTAATTGCTATTGTAAATCGTTATGTTTACAAGAATTCTAATTAGTAAATTATGTCAAAGTCAAATAGTTACTATCTTTGGTGCGAACGAAAAAATGCATTCAAATGTAAATCTTATCTGTACACAATTGAGTTCATATTCAAATATCTATAGTTGCATGGTGGAGAAATTTTACACTTGCGTAGTTTGTGACGTCGACCGCTGCCGACTAGATTTAACACTATGTATATATATTTGTGTTGGTCTTTGTTGATTCCTGCTGTTGGGGCTCCAGGATTGTTGTTGCTTTATCGCCCTAAGGATATAAGCAATGCATGTGTCTTTTCTAGACATCTAAGATATGATCTATCTTTCGGTATGGGTATGTCTGACACGATAACTTTGGTAAGAATTAATCCACCAGTGTCTTTGTAAGTTGCTTTAGTAGGTGTTTTTGGTTCGAATCTATACTAATATAAAAAGCCTAAGAGTTCGTTAGTTTGTTTTTATAAATGAACGCGCTAATCTCAGCACTACGGGTTTTAATTGAAAACATTTTCTTTATTGGTTAGTACATCTATCGAGGAAGGCTATACGCTATAGAATATCAGAGATATAAATAAGAGCGAAGAATCAGCGCGAAATGTGAAAAAAACGGGCAAAATAATTCATCTTTGTGGGTTTCCGATGCGTACGCTGCGAAAACGGTTCGAGACACCACAATTTATGAAAGAATGATTCCTCTTTAAATGATCTAAGACAATATATGTCTATCTTTTAAGATTAACTTGTAAGAACGACGGGACGCGACGTTGTGGGTAACAGCTTAAATCTATAAATGAATGAGTTTGCAAAACCAAATTTCGATGCTCAAAATACTATTCTATGCGGACGATGTCGCTGGCACAGCTAGTTAAACATATCACACCATTATGGTAATTAAAAGGTCTTTATTATGAAGATCAAGAAGTTTATAGCTTCGCTTTGGAACCGTCATGGATATTTTTTCGGGTTAAACAGTACTCAGAAAACGGACACAGATATATGTTTTTACCATTTATTCTTCGACTTTTTCGCATTTATAATTAATAAATATTTTCAGAATTTCAAACCTGTTTTCGGTAAAAACAAACGCACGCATGTAACTGCCAATAACTATTGTTGTTCTAAATAATTCCGTTAAGTGTGTATCATAGCGTAATTACTTTCCGTCCGACTGGTTACGGTTTGACTCTTCGTGGCCTTCAGCCGTTGTGAGAGTTATAACTGAGCAATATTTCATACCTTCGTATTTATATTCCACAACTACCTTCAAAGGTTACAGCCGCTATGGATCAGTGGTGCATGGCATAGCATTGTGTTCGAAACTCGAGGTAAACAATAGTTTCGGTGGGGCAGGTCGGGAAGATAGGAAGTGCTTCCATAGTTTTAACGTCACGGTTATTACTGTCTCACGGTAGCTATTCTAGACAGATCTTTCAAACCGTGTATGTGTGTATGCCTTTAAAATGGCAATATAAACCTTATTTTGAAGAAATTTCTTGATTTATATCCCGGCGATGCTGGTAACACACAAATTTACATTATAAGAAGACATCTTTTATTTCACGATAATTTGATTTAAATATATAATAGCTAACACCAAATTGAATAATGAATATTTTTGAAAAAAAAAAGGAAAATGATTTAATGAAATTATACCAATACCAATTTAATACTTTTTAAGTGTATGGGCAAACTATAAAAAAAGGATAGATTTTTCTTTCGAAAATAAAACCTGCGAGATCTTGTGTTACCTTCATTAGTATTGCTTTAGATTGAAGATATTCATTCTTAAGCTTCTATGATTGTAAGATCGTAATCACGCGATAACACTGTCATTAAATAAAACGAGTTTTTATTCAAGAAAATAAGTAGTATATTCTATTAAAAGAGTAATATAGATTAAAAGACGCTTAAGTGAGCCCATTTTTTCCACCGTTTCAGAGCATCAAAACACTACCAAACTACGACAACTAAATTCCTAGGTTCTAACTAGTTATTACAGCATTAATTTCAAAATTTATAGTCTCATATTTCCTATATAGGACAAGACGTACGTAAGACTTTCTGTGTTCTTCATAAACCAAATTTCACGCGACAAAGCTGCGCGTTGCTGAACTAAGTCAATTTAAAGACAAAGTGTTTTCTAAAGTCTATGTCCAATTATAACTAAAGAAAAAGAATTGAGCAGTTCTTTTTCTAAGGTCCCCATTGCACCCAGGTATTAAGAACGTTGACTGAAATCGACTATGGTTGTACGATCGAAATAGTTACGGAACCAGCGATACAATTACTCGTTGTTATCCGGTATCCAACCCTGGTCAGCGCGAACTGCGAACTAAATAGAGACTCCTTAACCCTACTGAAGAAGTGGAGGTGCATTCGACTCTGTGATGTTATCTATGAGAGGAGCCTACCGACCCACTACTTTACTTTCCACGTAAAGGAACGGCTTCGGGTTAAGTTTGTGAGCAACAGCAGCATAAATGCTGATCTTAATGTAAGTGGTAGGATGACAGATGTATTTCTGTATCCTATTTACTAATCTCACTTAGAGATAAGTTGAACAGAAATTCATTCATGATTCCAGATACTTTCGTGCTAAACGCAATGCGTTCAACCAAGACTATTCGTTTGTTTGTATTAAACAATTCGATTAATCTTAATAATTTACATAATAATTAGTTTATCTAATAATCTCTTGGCAGAAGTGTTTAATTAGAAAGATGGAAAGAACTTTTCTGACTTGAAATTCTTGAACAAATCTTTAGGTTCAGGACAACTAAACCTAGAATATTATAATTATAATGTGTACAAATTAAAGTAGTCGCATAGAATTTAGTAAATCTTGAATTCTATTTCTTTTGAAGGCTAACTTCTACCAAATAACTGCGACAACAGCACGTGTGAAGCCGTCAAGAGGATGTGTCGTGAAGAATGAGACCATATGCACTATTGGCGAAGACCACTTCTGTTTCACGAGCGGCGTGGTCTGCGATGGCATAAAAAACTGTGGTGTGGATGATTGGTAAGTCACAGAGATGTCGCTTAGAACTAGGCTCAACCGAATACACAAGTAAAAACTTGTATCTATGAAGAAGAAATGTGGCCGATAAGTTACAGATTAAAGTGTAAATATATTATGATGAGTTATTCGAAGTATCGGATATACGACCGTATCATTTGGAAACCAAGTAAATACATGCACAGTCCTTCGTGACGACTTTGAAACTGGCAGGAATTGTCCTTATATTAAAAACCATGATTTAAATGTCTCTTTAAAATTTCTATCATTCTTCAATCATTATAAAAGGAAGTGACGAAGTAACTAATTTTGTTATAGCCAATAACAAAATTAGTTAATTCGATCGAGATCAGTTCATTTGTATATTAAAATAAATTAAAGTAATATAAATAAGCTTCTGAAATCTTCTTTATTTATCTTACGTTCGAATTAATCTAGAATACCTTAGACTGTAGACTATAAACAATAATACGGCTTTTTTGACACTTTGGCCTACAATTATTTTTCCACTTAATTATAACAATATAATATAACGACAAGGCCACGCTCGTTAATAATTATTAAAATAGTGGGACGTTATTGTTAGGTTAGGTTAGCAAAAAAGTTGAAGGTTATATTAAACAAATGTCTTGAATGGTCCTCTCTGCCAAACAATCACTAAATACACCGATAATTATAATTGATTAATTCTAACCCACTTCCGTTGCTAACTGTACCTTTCAATATCAATGCGGTTGCAAGCTAAATGCTTTGAAAATTTTCGCTAACACTTGTCATTATGCAACTATTGTTCGAAAGTGACCCAATTTAAGCAATGCAATTAATTAATTAATTTGCAGTATTCGATGATACCTCAATATACACATACACACACTGAAATATAAACGAAATTATTAGTACATAATTAACAATATTAATACCTACTTTGCTTCTATATTATGTCTAAAAAAAGCCTAGTCTGTTTTATGTCCAGTAGCCTCTATGCAATATTATTTGGTTTTAAAATCTGTAAGAATACAGAAATGTGTTTGATTTTTTTTGACGTCCTAATTGATTATTTCGGAAGTATTTTTATAAAATATTATATTGTGGTATTATATGTATTTCTTTGAAAACACATAAGAAAAAGCTGAAAAATTACTTCTATAACAATAGCAATAAAATCACAAAATTGTAAATATAATTTTAACAAAAGTCTCAGTTTAAAAAAAAAAGGAAAACGCTAAGACATAACCTATAAAACTTTAGAGCGCGCAATAAAAGTTTTATAACCTATAATCTCATTAAGATTAAGCTGATGTACAGAAAACTAAGATATTTGCTAAATTTGACCTCAATATGCTTAAATGTACTGAAGTGTGTAATATTATATTATATTTACGTTACATTGTATTTAAATAATGATCTATTTTAAATATCAACCTTCTACAATCTTTACTAATATACTTATTTCTGTGATGGATAGACCAATTATCCATATACGCTATAACATCACGCTGCGATAAAACGCTGAAAATGATATACTTCCGTTGCTTGCTATACAAAAACCTTTCAAGAAACCAAAAAAATATGTATTATATGAAAGAATAATTCCTCGTTAAATGATTAACTACTAATAACCGTTTTAATGGTAATCAAATTTGGTCGAAACTAATGCATCAATTACACTTTTTATCTAGCAAACAACAAACCAACGTATCCCGGATCAGCTAAGACATTAAAAGATTATTACATAACATGAAAATCTTGTTAAAATAAGTGTGAGTTATGTAAACAAGGGACGACAAAATTCCTTTCTCCTCTTTCTGTCTGTGTATGTCTGTGTCTTTACAAGATCTGATCTTTTAACGGTTGTCATTTGTCACTATTACACTTTACCTTGGGAGAATGCATAAGCTTGTCTCATAGAAATTCGATGCCAACGAATTGTAAAGATATCGTAGCCGCCATGAAATTTAGAACCACTATAAGTAATAGTCTATAGTTTTTCGCCAAAAATTCAAGTCATTTTTTTTATTAAATAAAAGTTGATGGCAAAAAGTATCTTGGTTTACAATATATATATATATATATATTAATACTATATATATATAAGTATTAGTTAGGTAACTTACAAGAGAAGAATAAAAAGAAAGATACTATAAGATGATTTATGATTTATTCACTTGAAAAATCTTACAAATGTATTGTTGGCGTGGCCGCGACTCGCGGGATTAAGAAGATGGCGGTTTGAAAACTATATCTATGGGGGTTCGAATTCCGCCTGTATGATATGTCAAATGAAATTTCATACATTGTCAGCTCCCTGGGTTAACGAAGCGATGATTATTCAATCGAGATACGAGCCGACTCAGGGCCATTACGTTTTTACGGTCAATTTATCGTTTCGTAACTTCTCAAGTGGGCACGTGCAATCTTTCCATTCAACGACACGCGGGCTCTAACGCACTGCTTGAATCGCATCAAGAACCGATTGTGAGAGGGGGGGAGGCAGGTTGGTAAGTTAGTGAGAGTATCGTTGTGTGCTTGTTAATTCATGGAATTTTGTAAACCCAATTGATTTTTGAAACGGACAATAAAATGTGTCCGCCTTGTGCAGGGTTACCGAAATCTTTTCCGCTGAAATATAGAACTTATCATTTATTATAGTACGATCCTCGTCCGTCCGTCACGAAGAAGGGACTATTCACTTTGAAGACTAATATTTTTCAAATGTTATTGCACGTAATGGCACTACATATATAAATTAAAAATCGATTATAGATTGTAAAAAATTTACGACACGCCAGTGTTAACGTTGAAATTACATTGCGTGAAAGGCGCATGTATCAATGGGTTGAAAAAATTCGACGATGACGTATAGGACACTGTAGCTCAATTGGTTAAACTTTAGAGCAACAGTACGGAATGCTGGGATACCGTTTCAAGTCCTGCCCGTGTCCTAATTTTTGCCACTTTATATATCACTTTAATAAGATTTTTAACGATAGGTTCGACGAAAGAAAATCTCAATGTTCTCTGCCAGTGGAAAAGCTTGGTTACGCACCAGTCGTTGCATTGCTGGCAGCGTCTCTATGTTCGCTCCTCGCTTTGGGACATATCATTCAACGGTGTCTACCACCTGTGGCAGACTCCTTCTTCATTTTTAACGCGAACGAAGACAATAGGCTCTGCATCGATCCCGTGCTGGTGCCAGGTGATAATGCACCACCAGAAATACCACCAATGCAGCGAACCTCTATTATACCGGCAAGTATTTTGAGCCATATGCCATAAATTTGCATTGAATAATTTATTACACTTTTTCATTTGCTTATAATTACTTTATTGTAAAGACGGCGGTTATTTCAGTGTATATAAATGGCTTGTTTATTTCAAAGTTCTCTGTATTTTTTTTTATTGTTATCAGTCCAAAATTTCTCTGGACCATGCTGACCAGGCTGTTCCTTTCTTTATCAGATCTCTTAGTGCAAAGTAGGGATCGAACTTCCGACGTATGATAAGACTTCACCTTCTAATATAACCAAACTTTTAAATCTATCTATATCATTTTGATATTTAGCCAAATCTGTTTTATGAAAATTACTTTTACGAGATTGATATGATTACTTTTTGTAAAAAGGTATTTTCCTCGTCTTCGGAAGGATCCGGTGAAATTGAGGACAGCGTAGAAAAGCAGACATCGGAAATCGAGGTACAACCCGAAAGACTGGATGCGATATCTCAATTTGAGGTAAACATAGTAAGAATAGTAGTTATTATTTTGCTACACGACCATTCCGTTACATTAGTAAGTACACACACCTTAGATTAGGTTAAAGATTAACATTAAAAGTTGATTTATTGTTAATTGTTAATTAACAATACTTATATTTATCCGTTGCTTATAAGCTGTAGTCTTTATTGACATACACTTATAGGAAATAAAGCATCTTACAATTATCATTATTATTCTCAACAGATAGAAGAAGTCGCGCAACCAGAAATTCAGAGAAAGAGTAACTTAAAATCTCTCACAGAGAGACTCCAGGACACTTTTCGCTCGTTCACATTTTCTAACAGAAGAAACGATAAAAGGAATATTGTTAAACATTAATACAATGCAACTCCTTCATATACTAAAGATAAAGTTTTATTTGTCTGATGTGCTATTCATGGATGTTACTGGTCTGTTAGTTGCCTAGATATCTGGGAAAGCTGTGAAATATAATGCTCCTGTGACTAATAGTGTCGGAGTATCGGAGTAGAAAGGGTGTAGTTTGCGCGGTATACACGCGAACAGTGATCAATAGAACCGGAGAATAAAACACAATGAAACAAGATAAAACAAAAAAATATTGTAATGAAAAAAGATTCTTCCTTCTGGACATCTTTTAGATCATTTATGATCTTAAAAATGCCCGCGAGTATACGTCTATCGTTTTAGATTAATTCGCAAGAATGAAGGGACGCGGACGATGTTGTGGGTAACACCTACATTTGTTTTTACTACGTTTGATGAACAAAATTTGATGTCCAAGATAACAATTCTACGCGGCTGAAGTCGCGCCCACAGCTAGTAACTTACAAAAATGAGATTTGCAAAAAAGAAATTGATGCCCCTAATAACTATTCTACGCAGACGAAATCGCGGTCCAACTACTTGTATAAAAATGAGATTTATGAAAAATTTATAATTTGAACTCAGTTTGGTTTCAAAGTGAAATTGTCCTTTTGCAGAAATTACACAGGTAAACTGTATAAAGATGAGGAGGTGCCATGCCCAAAATATCATACAAAAATTCCATGCGGACGAAGTCGCAGGCACAGCTAGTTATCTATACGTCTTCTCTCTCGTATGAGACAAGAAACCTATACCCATGAGTAGGATATTATTAAAACAAACGAACACAACTTCGTGCATGTTGCTTTGATATATGTCTACGTAATCACGGGTGACTTACATTGTCAAACGAGATATTTGTAATCGTAAATATGTATTTGATAATGATCTTTATCAAACGACACGTCTGTTGCGCGAGCGCATATATCACATAGACAAAAGAAAAGCGTCCACATACATTATTCATTGATAAAATAAATATAAAAGTTGAATAATACCAAACAATATTAGTAATTTAAAAATCAATTAGCAGACCGGAAAAATCCTGGTCCGTAATAACTAATATCCTGGTATATGGAATTCTTTATATTATTTATATCAATGTATTCGTTAACAGACTCGCTGAAATATAAACCTCGCCGTAAGGTTATGTTAGAAATGAAATACCTTCATTTATATTAGTTGTAGACACTATCCAATTGCAGTGTGCTCCAAATGTCTTTCTTTAATAACGATAATCACTATTGCGAACTAAAACCAAATAAGTACTTACATTATAAATTAACTAAATAAAATTTAACATTGAAATACAGATAATGGCATTGTCGCAATACATATATTAATTTAAAACCTATTTAGATTGAAAAAGGAAATTGTTATTTATGCCATAATTTACAATAAAATGTAAAAAATAACGAAAATTATTAAGAAATACGTATATGTATTTAGCTTTCTATTTGCACATTAAATTGGGAATTAAAATTAAGTAACTTATATACTTCTCGTTTTAAACGGTTTTATTTTAATATAATAATTATATTAGATAAAATATCCAAATTAAAGCAAGATAGATGCTGTCTGCGTAATATAATTTTATAAGAACAAGTTGTTTAGCGCATACAAAGCATAATACTACATTTAGTTGTATACTGTTCCTACAGCAATTTGTGTTGCAAGATTGTAAACCGCGTCTGATCCTTAGACATATCTTTAATATGCATTAACCGACTTATATTTAACTGATTTGATAAGATAACGGAATTTCTTTAGATGATAACTGCTATAAACCACTTCGAACCGCTTTATATTACGATTTTAAAGGCGTGCCGCGGACTGAATGCACACACTTCATATATTCCCAAGCTAAAGATGGAAATTAATTAATAGGTATATATTTTTGTTATATAAAATTGTTATCATTGACAACTGTGGCAGAAGCGGTTCATTGCGTTCGTATTATACATATTACAAATGTCAATAATAAATTTTAGTTAATTTAATTTTTAGTACTCAGTCCGTGTATGGCCTGTAATGAGCATTCCCATTAAAAGACATGCGTACGATTCATTAAAGTTATACTGTTTTATCTACGATGGCGGATTGTTGAGGAAGAAGTCTTGGCGTTTGTATGTGTTCAAAGCTTTGCTTGCTATAAACGGCTAAACCATATTTCATGAGGTTTTATAGGATACGTGTACATGCGCAGAGGACACACAGTACTCCGTCAGGTGACAAACACGTAACGATATAATAAACGTAATTACCTAAAAATAGAACCCAAGTGTGGAATAACCATTGTTTTGAACACGTTTTGACATTGAATTAAACAACCATTAATGTCGCCATGTAATGAGAGAACCATCAAGATGATACGTAGCATAGTGTATCTACGTGAAATCGCAAGATACTAATATAGTAATTGTTTGTGAACCATCTAGTAAGTTTATTCAGTAAAAATGTGAACCGTTCATACTATTTCCAATTAAACGCCTTTTAACTATATATACCGTATATTACAATTTACAACCCATCGAATACAACCCGGTAATTGTGAAATGAATCCTTAAAAAAATAATTTTTAGTCGATGATACGTAAAGTTAAGTCTTAAATCAGACAAATTATTTTATACGTTTTAATAACATACCTTGTCTCTCTAAATTCGAAGCACCCCGCAGAACCTTCTGCCCAATATAAAATAAGTAAGTACATATAGGAAAGGCTATCTCGACAGCGACGTAGCAATATTGCACAAGTGACCCACAAAAAAACTCGCTTTTTATTTTGTTCAATAAATAAAATAAATATCCAAATGAATTTTATTACATAACATCTCCAATCGTTCTCCACCCGTTCTCTTGTTTATGACATAAAAATATCCTTATGTCACACCGTAATATCAATGTGGGGTATGGGGCAAATGCATTACTGTTTAATTAAGAGATTTTATATTTAAAAAAATGTATATGGGGACTATGACAATGTCAATTCTTTGGTACCTCCAAATAGATTCTAGTACTTTAAATATTTATCCACATTTTTATACAAACAATAGCTGTGTCAGTGCGAATACCACAGACTATAAAACGTGCAGTCGGGTGTTTGCCATCTGGTCGAAACTGTGTCATTTTTTTCCTGGCCAACGTAGTGCTTATATTTATCCAAATTCAGCATGTGTCTATATAGTGTTATTAATTTAAAAAAACGGTAATAAAAAAAATCGAAGTAATTATCCTTATTTAATAGAAAAGTAATTATTTATTAATTATTCTTAAATTAATTATTTTCTTTACCGATAAAGACATGTTATTTTCGGTTTATATTTTTAATTTTATATATTAAACAAGAAATAGGCAACGCGCTTCTTTAAGCAAAGGACAAACAAGCATGGGGGTTCGCTCCATGAAGAGTGGAATACCCTCACATTGTATCTAAACAAGATGCGATGCCAACCTATTTTGGCTTTGGACATTCAGAAATTCCCAGTCTGAAATCGAAACATTGATTTATACTACACGACTGTCACGTTTCAGAAAAGTTTAAATTGATTTTAAATACGAGACCGAGTGGGAATTAAATTTAGGACCAATACACTAAAATCGCACAGCAATCACTTCGCAATTTTTTTTAATACACATGTTAGCTAATGAGCAATCATTAATTAATCAGACGTTTAAGTAACGATTAAAATTTCTTATACTACGGAACAATTATTGAAATTAACGTACCTTATGTTCGAACGTAAAAACTATTAGCACAAGAACGGCGTTTCCGCGACGATTGCCAGCTAGCGACTGAAGTGGAATCCGCTTACAATTGCATTCGAGGCTTTTACTTGAACCGCACTTGACATAAGCCTATCATTCCATACGGAAGAAGCATATACACAGGCTGCGAGAGCCTAAGTCGTCATTCCACGGTGTCGACGGCTCTTCAGACGTATAATGGTAGCAATGTATGGCTAATAATCCACGGGTCGTGGGTTCGATTCCAATATGTTTCAATATTTTCTGAAACATGTTGAACTACGTCTGAAAATCTGGGTATTAAATTGGTGATAGGAATACTTAATTCCGTCCGGGTCACGAACCGTCAACAGACGAAAAAGCCGCGAAATTTAATTATGTTCCGGCAAAGCCATAGTAGGTCGACAACCAATCTTGTGTAGATTATATATGGCTGGGATATTTCACCTCCTATCGCGAGGAACACATGCGTATCTGTCTCCTCTTCTCCTCTATCTTTAAAAAAGACAATATAATTAATAAGATAATTAACACAAGTCTACAACCACAGCTTTCCGTGCTGTTGCTCCAACCAACTGAGCTACCGTGGTTGGCTTTCGGATCCTAAGTCATAGAAATTATTTAATCTTATTACATTTGGGGTTTACATAATTGTTTGAACGAACTTTCGCATTTCGTATAGTAATAGATTAAGGAGGCTTCCTTGTATATATATTTAATTTTGTCTTAAGCGTCTATGGTCGCAGTTTCTATATTCCCCTTTCAGTACGGAAAACTTTATTGTATAATAACTGGAATATTAAAGTAAATGGTAAACTATCCGTAATATTTATTGTCAATACGACACACATGCTGCAAGGGGAGGTGACGTCACGTATTACAAAATAGCTCCTATAGAACATTGAATATGCTTTATTCATTTGGTATTTTTAAACATACTAACGACTTAAATACTGTCTATAGTTTACGCGAGTAGTACACATTTAAATAAAACACTTTAACGGTTTCAAAAGCGATATATTAGTTAAGTTTTACCGTGGTCACGAGGAGACTGACCCCCGTGACCACGGCTGCTGTAAAGCATCCGAAACGTCGGGCCGAAGTTAAAAATCATTTTCAAAGAAGTTTAACTAATATATCGCGTTTTAAACCGTTAAAGTGTTTTATTTAAATACTCACGACTTTTCAAACTTTTTATTTTACGTAGCAGATCAACAGAAAGCATATTTAAAAATGCAGATTTACACGTACGTCTATTACAACAGTTAACGTCATAAATATTGTTTAAAATTTAGTAACAATCTGGAAAGCTGAAAAGTTGGTTTGTTTGTCTGAACGCGCTAATCTCAGGAATAACTGGTTCGAATTACCTATTTTTGTTGGTTAGGCTGTAAAACATCATGGTGCAACCAATAGTATTGAAGTAAAGCGAAATGTAGAAAAAACGGAGAAAAGGCCTCATACGCACCAGGCAGTATTTCGTCCGTCTAATAGCAACGGTTGTGCGACGGACGCAGGTTACTGCATAACTTATCACACATAATACAATAGATAAAAAACCTTATTTCGTTCACGTTTATGATGTTTTTTAACAGCCCATATGCTGAGTATGAGTAAATTGTAAACATTTGAGCGACTATCGAATAACTAGCGTGGCCGCTAAAATTATACGAAAGAAAGAAAACATCGGTTTTGGATTATTAAATTAAATTTAAGTGAAATTTTATATTTTAAAAATAAAATATACATTATTTATCAAACGACGGTATCGTTTTGCTACGGTATTTTATTCTACAAATAATCATCCTGTAAAACGCATTTCGAAAATGGCAGTTGCTTTTACGGCGTGCAATTTGAGCAATAAAATGTTCTGTAAATTGAAATGGCAGTGGACGGTCTGTACCTGGTAACAATTTGTTCGTTCAGTGCAACTATAATTGTGGCAACATCGTTTGAAGCAGATCCGTTACAGCAAGCATTTTTGCTCGTTGATCTGCTGAAGGCAGGTTTGTTATTCCACGAGAGTCACGTGAGACGCATCCACCAGATAACCTCAATTTTTATGACTGTCTTAGCAAAATACATAGTGTCTGTGGTTTACCCGAGCAGTACACATTAAAGTGAAACACTTATCGGTGTAAGGCGCAACATATTAATTTACTACGGCCTGACTTATAGTAATTTATTTATCTAATATATTACCGTTAAAAGTGTTACATTCAAATATTATTAAAGGTTCTCGAGTTCGACACCCGAGAGGCAAATAATTTAAATGGTTGCGATTGGGATGACCCTTTGATGAAACACAAATGTGTCTGCCAGGATGCAGGTACATAGGAGATAGTAGGTAGTTACCTTACTTTATTGCAACCTATATCTCACACAGAGTATGCAAGAGCGAAAGAGAATTCCCTGTTGAGGAGCAAACAGTTTTTGCATTACCCCACTACAAACGCCGACCTTCCTACTTGTCCTATCAAAAACGAAACGAAAATTAAACCATGTAAGTTCTGTAAGCAGTCAATTACTTATTTATCTTTCTTCATGATAGAAACAAACAAACAACTTTTTTTATATTTATTTTTTAACTTCTTTTACATTATAATTTTATTTTACACTATTAAACCGGTAAAGAAAGCGTCTATAGGTTTATGCGAACCGGCTTTGGTACCTTACGACATACATCTATAAAAGCTCTTTAAAATCCCCCTGCATCTATCCGGCCTATCCAACAGCATTTCGTGCGTATTACTGTCCAAGTCGTTCAAGTACAGGGGTAACATGTACTGCCAGGTACGTTTGCCATACGAATTGCTCGTTAGCGGCATTTCATACCTGGGTATATAATCAAGTTTCCTTAATTTTTCTGGTCTAGTTCTATACTTGAGCGACGGAACGTTTTCAATTTCTTCACAAAGTATAAAATATTTCACTTTATGAAAACCTTGCAGTACTCAAACAAACCCTTCTCGCTTCCTATGTACTTCGCCCTAACCGATTTTGGTACAATTGCTTTGAGGATACGCACCTGTAGCGAATATATGTCTTGTAAAACAGATTTAAATGTTCGTCCATAGCTACTAAGCCCGTATCCGATAACTGAGTCCGCCAGGGCGTTGTACTAAAGCTTCAGTGTAGAAAAGGGGAGCCTATATTTGAGCACCGCAAAGTTAGACAGAATAGCCCTCAACTTATTGCAGATCCTTTCCACGTGTAGCTTCCAATTAAACTTATTGTCTATTAAAAGACCAAGATACGTGTGAGACATGGTTTAACCGCCATTCGGGCAGATGCAGGAGTCATTTATGCCGCCATGCATACATTTGTGTGTGTGCGCACGAATACTTGGTCTAACACTGGCTGCCAAATAAGCAGAGGAGATGTGCATCATTTTCGTTTTTTCTGTGTTAATTACTAGACTAGCCTGTCGAAATCGGCTTGTAACTTATTTTGCGCGCTCACAATGTTTTTTTCAGCGACAAATATACAGGTGTCGTCCGCGAATTGATAAATTGAACTCTCCTTTAGGACATTGGGCGTTACAGTATAACAAATACTCAGTCGTTCCTAAAATTGAGACTTGAGCTGTGCCCAATTCTGTCTGCACAAAGTCGCTAAACTGATCATTAATTTTTACAGTTGTTTTTCGGTTTTGGTGATAGCTTTGCAATATTTTAAAAAAAGGTAATTTTGTGCTAATTTACAATATAGTGTTTTAAAATTTAAAGTTTCGAACGCCTTGATAAAGTCTATAAAAATAGCAAGTACATGCTTTCTTTCGTTCAGTGCTGTGTTCTTCAGTTCTGACTTCGTTTGTAAATTTGCATAGTAGCTGACTTGCGCGTTTATTTTTCTGAAAGCCATATTGACGATCGTGGATTATCTTATTTCTTGACAAAAATACATTGATTTCCTGACCCAGGTACTTTTCTATAATTTTGTCAATACAGTTGTATTTACCTTTTTTATGTATCGGTCGTATTATTCCTATTTTAAGAAGATCTGGATATTTTGCTTTATTTATGCAAGCGTTAATTAAGTGCGTTATAATCGGGGATAAAGATTTAGTTACATATTTCACGTCAATAGCCCTGACGCCGTCAAATCCGGGACTTTTTTAAATATTTATGTGCTCAATTATCTTTTCAACAATCTCGCAAGTTGCTTTTTGAAATCTTAATGTACTCTGTGGGGTGTTTATGTACGAATGTACTGTTATTAATTGTTTCGGACATGAGTAGCTTAAGTTTTATACATTTTCGTCAAATTCCGTAGCGAAGATATTAACTAAATCTTTAACATTATACATTCCAAAAGCTTTGGTAATTAATGAATCGATAGATTTTGTAATTTTTCCCGTGATTTGATTAACGGTTGCCCATACTTTTTTTGTATTCCTATAGTTCTCTGTTATATTTTCTTTAATACTTTGATTTTGTTTATGTATTTATTAGTCTTGTTCCTAAACTTATTGTAAATTAGCTGGTTATATTTATTACTTACATCTATCATCCATTTTTTAAACAAACAGTCTCTTTTCGCGCACATATTTAACCTTTTTTTGTTGACTCAATTACATGAGGACCTTTTGTTCACTTTGACCTTTCAATTATATGTACATTTTTCATAAATATTCTTAAATTTATTTACAATAAATTCTACAATCTCATTAGGATCTTCGTAGGGCATAGTACATTTCATAGTTCTTAATTTCGAACAGCTTGGCACACCCGTTTGAGACATTCGCTTCCGTGATTGCTCATGCTGATTATTGAGGAACTTGTACTTATAATATGTTCTAGCTGGGACAAATTTTTATTCATAGATCTAATGTTAACGTGTAAAACTAATAGTGGATGGCTGCGTGCTGGTAACTAAACAAGTTCTAATAATAGTTTTAATCTGGAAAGTGTTTGGTGGGGGAGGGTCATGACATTTCCCCCCGATCCTTTTCCAGGACTTAAGTGGACCGCTAATTGAGCGTATTGATTCTATTTACAAATTATTATGTGCTATGTTCTTCAAGTACAGTGTACAGTGACGAATTATACATGAATATTAGAAATAAATATATGAAGTATAGTACATTTGCGTATGTATTCATAAAATACCAACTTTTTCTTGTATCTATTATTATCTAAATTAAATTTAAGTACCTTAAATTTACAAGGACGCATCCATCTTTGGCGCCAAAGATGGATGCGTCCTTGGTTATGAAAGTAACATGTTTTATATATTGTAGTTAGTGCCTTAACAAATAAATGTTTTTCAAGACGTTCCACTTGACGGAAGACGTGCAGCTGACCCTTTAATATTCAACAATTTGACGCCAAACCCGAAGATACGCCGAAAAACTACATTACTTAGTATGTATGTTAATTAAGAATCGATTATAAATTGAAAAAAAAAATACTTGGACTTGAACCGCATCCACAGCGCTCCGTGCTGTTTCTCTAACCAATTGAGCTACTACGTCGTCGAATATTTTTTTTACCCATTGATGCATGAACGTCTCGAGCAATCTTGTGTTATTAGTATTTATGTTTTAAGTATGTATGTTGTCCAACCTTCGAGTTACAAAAGGTATCAGTCAAGGAGGACACAGAAGCTCGATGATCGATCGACGGTGATGATGATGATCACTTTGTTATAAATACAACTGAACAGACGGTAAAATGTGTCCTCACGAACTTTCAAAGAGGTGGGGGGACATTTTCCAATTATATTTCGCATGGCGCTAAGTGAGCGTTATACTATTGAATTTAGAATTGATAAACTAATTTGATAAGCTAATTGTCCCCCTGAGGACATAGAGTCTGGGAATTTTACATCATAAAATGCTTTTCCACCCAGAAAGCAGACGCTTAGAATACGATGACGCTTTCGGTCCACACCCTGGTGGAATTGATCCTGGTACCCTTACTTCAACCCAAGAAACCAGCAGAGCAGTTACATCAACTACATCAACACCATCCACAGACATTGAGGTAACAACTACCACGCTCGTAACGAGAGTTTCAACTATAACAAGCGGAACCTCTTCAACGAAAACGACATTTGCCTCTACCCACCCCACCAATCTGGCTTCAAAGCGTGTGAAGTTATCGAAAAAAATGCCTCCACTGAAACCTGGTAAATATTTATTTACCTATCGATCAACCCTAACTTAGCTGTACACTGTTTAAACATATACCTACTAAACACTCCGTTAGTTAATTAGCTTCTGAATTTCTTAAAAAGGGTTTAGCTTTCTTTTAGTCTTTAAACATCTTTTGAGACATTAAAAGTAGTTATAGCTTTTTTATTCGTTCCAGCTTCAGGCCATTGAGGTTCCATGGCGCAATAGCGTGGCAAATATCACTGCGCTAAGCGCGAGAGGTCCGAATTCGAATTTGGGGAAACAATAAATCGTTTCGGTCAAGCAAGGCACGGAAGTCTGATCATAAATATGTCTGTAAGTAAAATCGATCAAACTGACTGAAAAGCTTTCCGTTTCCACATAAATTTCACAGAAGGAAACGGCAATTCACTTTAACCACCAAAATGCGTAAGCGCAGAGTGCGAAACGTCTTAACGATATATACATATAAAGCACTAGCTGTGTCAGCGACTTCGTCCACGTAGAATAGTTGTTTTAGGCATCCAAATTTGTTTATGCAAACCTCTACATCTTAAGATATTTTTATAAACTTAAGCTGTTACCGGTTAAGGTCGATCGCCTCCCTTCCGTTCGGCCGTTCTTGCAAGTTAATTTTAAAAGATAAACATATAGCACTTTCTTTTGATCATTTAAAGGGAAATCATTCTCTCAGACATCGGTCGTTAGCGAGCCGGCGTTCAAGTCCCGTCGTTCTTGCAAGTTCATTTTATGAGATAGACATATAGTGTCGCGGACATTCAGATCATATAAAGAGAAATCACTCATACATACATATTTTTTGGGTGTCTCGAACCGTTTTTGCAGCGTACGTATCAGAAGTCCACAGAGATTTCCCCCGTTTTGTTCACATTTCTCGCTATATCTTAGCTGCTATTAGTCACAGTGCGATGTTGTATAGCCTTCCTCGATAAATGCTCTAAATCAACTCATTAACTATTTGTCAATTCGAACCCGTACTTATCGAGATTAGCACGTTCAAACTATTTATTTACAGGAAATATTACATTTACCGTATTAGCTAGTATATTATAATAGGAGCGTACCTATAAAAAAATAATAATTAATATCTTTCAGCTAAAGATAAAGTGAAACTGCTCCATAAAAAGCCAACAAGAGATCCTATTATGGATCAGGTAGCCTCGGAGATAATACATGAAATGAGAGATTCTACCCCTACTACCATCAAATATGCATTCTACTCTCCGCCACTGCTTACTGCCAAGACGGAACGGTATACTAGGTTCGATCATCTATATAAAGGTACATACAGGGTCCACCAGGCTACGAGCAGAAGATATCCCATTCCATTACCAGAGAATAATCCATTTTGCTTTTATCACCCTGATAGCTCGCTGTGTCGGACCTTTATATAAATCTACTTTTGCATAAAGCACAGAATATAGTAAAGACCAAATTGAATTTTGATTTCTAACAGAAATAAACAAACAACTATTTTCTAACATTAGAATTAGGATATAATTTAAACAGTGAAGGTCATGGTGTTCAGTTCCATATTGTGGTTCTAGCGAATTGTAGGTAAGTTTCGAAAGCAGACCGTGGGATTCGAACTTACGGGAAGTCAACAGTCAGTTTTCTCTTTAGGAAATACTGCAATCAATGTTTGTCCGCTATGTTGAAACTCAACTAAAAAGCAATAGTAATCATTTAAATATAATATCTATTAGGTATATTATTTTATTTAACAGTAAGTTTATCAATGCACCTAGTTGTAGCCAAGTTATGTAATAAAGGAGTCGGACGAAGGGATATATAAATAAAAGTACATCGAAATTTCCATATTTTATTACATTAAGAAACCTTAATTTCGACAATATAATTCATTACTGTTCAAAATAGCATTCTTATTTCATTGAAATTTCATAATAATTATTCAGAATTAAAATTCAGTTCCCAAAAAAATGCACAAAGATAATTATCATATTCATTTAGTAATATTGAGGTAGTTATTAGTTTCAGAACTTATACCAATTACAAAAATGGCTCTAAAAATTAAAACAACAGCAAAGAAAAATTTCCGTGGTACATAACAGCTATGTATGCCTGCATATTATAAAGTCAGCGCGTCAGCTTGGGTAGTAAAATTTAAAACAAACTCTTATATTATTGTACATTGGACCTTATCGTTATGAGAAGCAACAACCGCGCCTCCCTACCGTGTCTATGTGAAAACATTTCGCCTATTACATACCAGCATTCTTTACCGCCGTGTCATAACCGATCCATCAACCTCTTCATCATCATGCATTCACGAAATAATTATTATTACACACAAAATGAAAATAATAATAATAATGTAACAGTAGAACCATTAAAACAAGAATGAAAAGTATATTAGCGACAAAAGAATGACACGATGGCGGGGATTAGGAAATAAAAGGGACGCAGGAAGGGGGGTAGGAGTGCGAATGGGCGCAGCGGGGCGGGGCGGGTGCGGCAGGTGTAGTTCAGTCTCGGGCCGTCCGCCCGCGCCCGCCACAACTTAACACTACTTCACAACGATACAATAAACTAAAACTATTTCTGCGTACGTAAAATGAGGCTTATCATCATATCTTCACGACTCCCGCTCAACCTGGAAGGAACAACGACACACCTATAATATGTACAGTGCCTTCGCGCGGTCTGTCCTCGTGCTTCTCATCTCTGCGAGGGCGAGCCACCCGCCCAGCGCAGAACAACATCGTCAAATTACTTAAAAATAAAAAACACCTCGCCGTGTATAGCAATCGGTGGTAGATTATTGGCCCACGACATTCCTCTCAATCTGATAATTAAATGTGTGACCGTTTCGGGCGTAGAAAAACGACGTAGTGTTGTGCCCAGTGTTTGCCCGTCTGTAGCGAGCGTCTCTTCAAAATAACCGACAAAATGGAATGTGTCGTGTATCATTCGGCCGATGTCGGCCCCATACAGAACGGTTAAGTACGCTTCTTTGTACTAATACAAGTTGAGAAAAACGAATACGGATCGTGCACAAATTCACCCTGGACATAGCTTTATTTTATTTATACTAATATTAAAGCTGAAGAGAAATCTTGCTTGATTGATTGTGGTTCGAATAAAAAAATTCTTTGTATATGTATGAGATTGATGTGATTTCCCTATAAAATAATGTTAGGACTAAGATAATGATTTCCCTTTAAAATAATGTTAGGACTAAGATAATGATTTGAAAGAGGTTTGTAAAAACTAATTTTGAGGCCAAAATAACTATTATACGCGGACGAAGTCGCGGCCACAGCTAGTAATTTATCTGAGGATATTAGATGTTCAATATTTATAAACCACGATTTTGAAGTCGGTCAGTGCTGTCTGTCTGTATATGTAAATGACATGACAGATCTCTTAAACAGAATAAATTTGGCATTCTTTTGAACTGACAAAATGGACAGCGTGTACTTGCTATCAATCTAACGAACCTGGGGCGTTATTGGCTAGGCTGTAGTCGTCCGACACATATTCGTTCTTCCATTTCGCTCTGGTGATAGCTAGCTTAGATACATCGATTGATGGATACACAGAGTTAACGGTCTCTGCCAGCGACTCTAGTCACTTCACTTCGGTTATCCATACAGTACTGACATTGATTTTCAAATGGTCGATCTCAATAGTTGCTGCTCTCCGAGTACAATGTGGCTAACAGCAAATCGGTATTGTAAATATTTATGCCAATTGCGAGATTACTAATTAATAATATTTGGAAGTATGTTTTGTATTGAAAGCAAGGTCGCCCACCGGCGGCAGCGGTCGAGTCTCTGGCGCGAGACAAAAACGCCACCGACTAGGCTTAACGGTGCGGGCAAGTCCTGTTCACTTCGCGGATGGCCGGTTCCATGTCGGAGCTCGCTGCCACCTAACTAATATAGACTAACTTACTTAGGTTGACAAGATCCAAACTAGACTGTGAAACGTAGTTCCACAACTTCCATATATTATTATCACATTCATAAATATAAACATCTAAGCTTCCCAATTTTGATATCATCCACTTAAATCTTAATCTCACAATATATCTCCCTTGGCACAATTATAACACAAATACTACACTCGCGTCGAAGCGGCGTCGCGCTCTCTCAAGTGGGGGGGGGGGGGTCAAGCTGCGCGCGGCGCTCGGCCGACCGCGCGTTTCTAACGCGTTTATTTCTTTTATCGCCCCATTGGCGTAGGGGAGCTGTTCCGAGGTACACGTCGAGGGCGTCTGTATTTTCGTAGCGATTTGCATGCACTATTTTTCAACGGTATTCACACTACGATGCTAATTCAGTATTCTTGAGTGACCGCATTGACTGTCGCGGAGACGCCGCGCGCGACCGCCCCGAAAACGCGACGACACAAAAACCGTTATAAAGCTAACAAAATTACAAAGAAAACGATCAACAAATGTCACTTATAAATTAATCGTACACAAGTCCTTGGCGTCCAGCAGCGGCAGACGCCCGGTCCGAGCGGCCCGTGCCTCGGCGGGCTCGCACACTCCGTAAGACATAACAGTATTCAGAATTAATCGCGGGTAATCCATTTTAAGAAAGCCTCAGTAAGCGACATCAAACAACCCACACACCATATAACTTGTGCCTAACATATTAATCTATTCATCTCGATAACAAAACAAAATACGCGTCTGTATAATTGCATTGTCTACTTAACACGTGTATAAGAACGTAATATGGTTAACTATTGCAATTTAACCGCCCCTATATTAACGGTAAGAAAACAATCATCGTAACAATTCATTAATATCTCAATGGGATTAACTGATTATATGTAAAATAATTGTATATGAAAAATATGTATATGTAAGTTGATTTGTATATTATGTATAGTCAACACGCAATAGTGCAAGTCAAATGATTAAAATATTTACTACAATTTTTAAGTTTACAGTACACCGATCAACAACGATTAACAACTCCTTGCTATTTACAAGCGCTCCCATCTTTATAATATCGTTATATAATATACGTATGTTAATTCATGAACATAATTTTTATAATATAGATATATATACGTTGTAAAGGTGTGTCCCCACCGCGGCACGATACTGATACGATCCTGCCAGTGGCGACATAGCTTTACGATATTAGAAAGACCAGTAGGGCGCGCCTGTCCCGCCGCGCAAGAGAGTCAAAACACACTCCCACACCAATACAATTCTACACTAACTATTTGTTGTTGCCTAAGTAAATGCAAAATCGCTTCACATATCAAAATGCGACATAACAACAACGTGGATAGAGGAACAATAGTTAAGGTAGCACAGTTGAATCGCCCAAAACACTTACGGTCGACGCCATTGCCTCAAGCCACAAGTTGTGGTGGTGGTGACGCCGACGCGAGTGTGAGGGTGCGGAGGACACGCGGGCCCTACTGCCGCGGGGCGCGCACAACGCAAAGAGGGGAGATGAGGGAGAGAAAGAGGGGTGGGGTATAGAGGAACAACTAGAGAAAGAGGGTGGTAGTATGATATAGCATCGCAGCGTGTCGGTGGTGTCAGCGTTTGGTGATGGTGGTGGGCCCTCGGGTTAGGTGTTTACTGTTGCTGTTGCTGTTGCTGCTGGGGGGGTGGTGGCTGCGCAGCGCGACGGTGGCGCGCTGGGGCGCTCGCCTGCGCGACCATCGCGCGGATACGACGCTGGGCGGACTGCAGAAAATACATAACACTCAGTCACTAAACAAGGCGCTCGCAAAGAGCAAACCGCGCACCTCGCCGCCAAAGCCACCCAAAGAAGTATTGGCAATATCACGTGTTTCACATGAACGTCTACTACAAAATATCATCCTTTAATGCTACTACAGCATTAAATCTTTCTACTTACAAACCTTAATATGTAACTACAACGTGCGCAAATCTATCTATAGGACCAGTCTGATTATTCAATTATGGTTTATTTGACACACAAAATTATTCTATTATAATATTGTCACTTATCATTTTATATCACATCAGTCGGGGTGCAATTATAATAGAAGTAAATATTTTGAAAAAAACAATTATGCGACAGAACAGACATTACAGTTGAGAATGAGATATGGTTGCTCAGTAAAATAAGTTACCTTGAACATTTCAAAGCAAAGCATTATTCTAGATAGTAGAGACTGGAGTAGATTTAAAAAAATAGATCTGCATCAAAATTGCACCCAATACATTATACGTATACTGCATAAGGAAAGACCTTATTTCGACATCTCTTAAGACTGTAAGGCTAGAATAAAGGCGGAACAAAGTAGCGTCCACTGTAACACATCACATATATAGCGTAAGGTTAATATTTTGTAGTAGTACACAATACAACCAACTAAATAGGCGAATTTTCTCCGGATCGCTTAGGCACATCGCAATCAATGTAAATAAATATAACGTCTGCTTATACTACTACTTAAGTATATATTATGCCTGTGTGTATATATATATATATATATATATATATATAGTAAGGAATACCTTACTAGAAAGGTATAAAACCGGCGCGCCGCTCCGACGCGGGGATTGGACGGTTGTCATTCGTCGAGGGAACAACAACTAAGTATCCGTGTTTAAGTGGGTAGATTTGAAATAACTGCGGTTTGTTTTTATTTTATTTTTATCAAGTTACCTAAATTCAGAAGTTGGATAAAGATCTCATTTCATCAAGATCAAGGAACAAGTTAATCACCCTTTCTAGTTGCGCTACCTTGATGTTTAGGTTATTTTATTACTAACAATCGGTACCGCGGAAACGCGAATGGTGCGCCAAGACTTGTGCCATAATTTTCGATGGTAAAATTCTTAATTTATACAATTTCTTCGCTTTTTGTTGTGTTGTTGAATGTTTCCAGAAGCAGCAGTGACACGTGACGGCAGAGACGCTCAGAGGCATCTCGCTGGTTCGCTGCTTGGTGGGTGCACCTACTCGTGGTACCCCTGCTGATCACCACCGGCGTTAGTCGCCACTGATGCTAGTCGTCATTTGTGTTTGTCGCACCCGGCGTTAGTAATGACGGTAATAACGACGATGTAATCCCAGAGAATCAGCAGAGCAGTGATATGAGCACACGTTACATCAATGCCGTTACCAGAAGACGAAGGTCAGAAAAGAGACCGAGCAACTCAGACTTCAGCAGAACTGCGGTTGGATTTTATTTATCAAGTTACCTAAATATATATATATATACTATAATGTATTAGGTGTGTGCATGTACTATAAGATCCCCCAGATTCGAGATCGTATCGCTCAACACTCATTCATCACACATTCAAGTAGTCACCAAGTCCGCGAGCCGTAGTAAAACAAAGACAATATAATAGGAACAAACAATATAAACATTCGCTCATGAGTATAATAAGGGAACAGGCAACTCACCTATGACGGCCAATAACGACCATGGCGGATCAGTCATACAATGTCAGTCGCTGTCAATTTCAAGTCCACGAATGTGGCGATGCTCGTTCAGCCCGCGTCAGGCGGCTGCTACAAAACGTACAAAATTATTAGGCCACAATGGGTCGCCTGTCGCATACAATACTTCGCAGCGCCAGCGGTTAACAGCCTCTTCCATCTTCGATCTTCAATAGGACTTGGTACTACTACCTACACAACCATACCATACCATACCAGACAAACCGCACGAAACGAACAACCGTCCTCACATCAAACCTGTACTACACACTACTGCCCCATTGAAAAGTGACTATGTCTATGTATTGTGAAGTGTAAATTGTATGAGGGTATATGTGGATACATAAATAATATGAATACATATTATACAGTTTTTTTTACATATATAAAGTGGAAAATACAATAAATCATGACAAGGGCACGACATAAATTTTTACCATGACTTGTACTTTTCTTGACTTTCAAATTCCAAATGTTGCCTTGTCGATTTCAGATATTATGATAGAACACCACCAAAGGGACAATTTCAAACCAGCTCTTTAGTACAAAACAAAATCTAATGCATACTGATACGCGATACGTGGTACTGTCTTGAGGCATCACCGAAATATATCTTCAAATGTTTGATTGTTTTATATTCTTAGCTACGCGCTAGTTCACGGTACACAACCCCAGCGAATAGACACGCATCACGTCAAAATTTAAGCAAGTCATCAAAAAGCGGGGCTCGGGCGGGGCCAAGTTACAATTTCAATCGCAGGGCATATACGGCAACCATACCTGTACGCTGTAGAACGGACCGACGATGTGGACGGTGGTCTCGTGGTCTTGACCGGCTGCCGCGTTCGGCGGCTGCGGCTGCTCCGGCAACTTGATCAGCGATCCGGTGACGCGCTGCAGCTCGCGCACGTTCTGCCCCCCCTTGCCAATAATCCGGCCGACCTGCGACGACGCGACTACGATCTCGACAGTCAGCCGCACGTCATCAGAACCGGACATAAATCCCTCTTCACGCATCTTCTCGAAGATCAGATACTGGGCCTGAAATTGTTAAAGTTTCAATGACACTATTTATAGGCCGTTGACAAAACAAGTCCAAAGGCTAAAAAGCTTGTTGTTTATGGTAGGAGCGTGAGTTATTCGAAAAAGGCCTTAATTAAAACTTTACAACATTAACAAACATGAAAAAAAATGCCATTCACTTACTTTCCACTGCGCTTCCGGGCTGCCCACGATAGTGACCTTCCTTTCCTGCTGAGCAGCGGCTCCAGCATTGGCGCCTTCGCCCTTGTCTTGTTCCAGCGGCGCGATCTTCACCGATGCGTTGCTGAAGCGGATTATGTTGCGAATGTGGGAGCCCTTTGTGCCGATTATAGCCCCGACTGCGTTGTTCGGGATGTACAGGTACGTTGTCTCCTGTTCAACAGAAATCTATATATCTATACAAATAAATACAATTCAAGTTGTTTACTTGTTAAACTAACTGAATACTAACTTTATAATTTAATTCAAGAAATAGAGAAAATATAGGAGTAAATAGTTTTAAAGACTGTTGCTTATCAACAAAGAAATCAATAAAATAAGAATTTTAGTATTGCTCGAAAAAGAAAACAATTCCGTATTGAATAATTTATTATTAAACTTAAAATTCTACATTACACAAAGAATAACATTTGTAGAATGTACAGCTAGCATATGGAAAAGATTCCAAAACGGTTTAACCAATTAGACAAAGGTTGTTTTAAAGTAAATTGACTACGTAGTAGTAAAAATAGTTCAATAATAATGTGATAAATCTATAGCATACATAGCAACATTTTAAATGGTTATGCAAATTGCCTCCTTATCAGCATGTGCAGTGGTGAGTCACAAATTCGCGGTAGGGTTAATATGCAAGCCATACTCGGAATAACAATATGAATCACGCTCATTTAGCGCTCGATCCAATAGATTTTTGTGTTTTATATTTCTTTGTGCATATTAATAATTCTTTCAAAAGAAGACCTCTTATAAGTATTTTAAGAATTATGTGCTTATTGTTTCTGTATAGACATTATTGTTAAAGTAGAAGCGTAATGTAATAGGGCGCACAAATTTCAGTGGAAAACTTTATATACTAGTATAGTATGAATCACTAATGGATTTGCTCTAGCGTATATAGTACAATACAACTGGCTTTAAAAACTGTATAAACTAACCTGCGAGTCACCAGCACCCTGCTGCGCACCGCCCTGGCCGCCCATGGGAGCATATATAGGCGGCGGGAAGGGGGGCGGAGCGCCGCAGTACCCGCGGGTCGACATCATCGCCATCGGATGCAGTCCAGGGAACATTATACTCTGCGGCGCCAGCACCTGCGACCAAATTCCTCATAAGAAAAAACAAATTGAAAATAAATAAGTTTCATCCTCCTATTTACAAGTATAATATCCGATGACAAATATTCGACCGTTTAGTGTCAACAAAATACTTTTAAAACCAGAAATTAACTGCATATTATGATAGTAATTTAACCTATTATACAATAAAGGCACATTATTGTTAATAAACATGAGAACCAAGTTCTTTCTCCATAGGTTAAATATGCTCTCCTTTCCCAGGCTTTTAATACGATACTTCGCTTCCAATTACATGTCACAAAGGAATTTTCTGAGAAAGTGCAGCAAAGCAGCCTTATATTGCCTTCTCAAGAAATGCTTTAGTCATAGTCTAATGCAAAACTTGCTTTAGTATTCATTTCACATACTAATTAATTTGTGAAGTAATATAATTTTTGTTATATTTTAACGGAAGTTTAAAAATTATTACTATGTTGAACTTTTACATTGGAACAAGTTATTGCCTACCTGTAAATCGTTCTCATAACTCTGCCGGAGCTTGGCAGAAATCTGGGACTCGGCCTTCGCCATATTTTCAATGGAGCCCTTCACAGTGATGATGCGTTCTAGGTTGAAACTGTTGATGTCGTTGATGGAAGAGACCGTGATTTTCGTGTCAGTCTCTTGCATGATGCGCTTGATCGTGTTTCCACCCTTGCCGATGATGCGCCCTATCAGGTTGTTGTGCGCGAGAATCTTTAGGCAAATCTCCCTGAAAAACCGACAACGAGATCAGTTGGGAAATATTTGTGATATTAGCGAATTCGGGAAAATGGCATTTTGTGTTATCTAATGTTTATCTCTGTATACTAATAAAAAAATGATCTATCAACAAACATATTTTTGATTTAAAAATCGGTTATAGACTACAATTCTAATATACTAAGGTGACACAAGATATAGCTTGATCAAAGTGTTTCTTCAAATGTATTTTTAGCAGACTGAATTAAAGATATTAAGTATTATACTATATTTCAATAATCGGGAGTAAAATCACTAAAAAAGGAGAAGGATGTAATTACATACCCCTTGTTGGTATTATTAGCCTCCTGCTGCATAACCTCCAAGATGCGCTTGCAAGCGTTGGTGCAGTTTTCCGGATTGCCATAGATCGTTATGGCCTTCTCCGACGAGCCGACGTTGTCCTTCCGATGGACATCGACCCGAGCTCGGCTCTGTTGCGTTATGAGACGAATGGTGGTGCCCTGGCGTCCAATGATGGCACCGACCATATCACTTTGGACCAAAAGCCGGAGAGGAAAGTCCGTGGGTCTAGAGCCGGCACCAGGGACTCCACCGCCGCGCCCGCCACCTCTTCCGCGCCTGCCACCTCGTGCTCCTCCGTCTGCGGGCTCCACCTTCATCCGGCTGCCTTCCAGTTCAAAGCCGTTTAAGAGATTTATCGCCCTGGAAACACAGCACATTCGCATTACTTGCAACCAAATATGGTGACTCCCAAGTCCAATCTAATGAGAAAAAACAACAGTTTCCACTCTACGACTCACTGTATACGAGTTTGTCAAGTAATCTTGTTGGGTAGAATCTATTAAATACAATGTGCAAGACGGATGCGTATTATCGTGCTATGTAACCAAGTGTCCTGGACGGCACTCGAGCGTAAACTGCATTTAAATTGTCATCTCACATTTCATATTCACGATACACCCATAATATTCAAAGGCGTTGTCTAATATGCTAGATCTGTTTACTTTCAATACCAACAATCAAGTAGCAAAATTATAATTTACAGCAAACATTTTTTTCTTGAATTCCCATGCACCTAAACTTGGTCATGACATGACATAAATCCCGTTACGTTTTACCTAAATAAAAATTACCTTCACCAACATATTAAATCATTAATATAATCACACCCCACAATCAAAGCCATGCTTGGATTAATATTCTAGACATTCAAAATAATCTTTGAATTTTACATAGGCCCAGCATTAGGGTTGATAAGTAATAAAGAGCAAACCGGTTAAGGGATCAAAAACTCACACACGAGAAATTTCCACATTATTTTCTTAAATTTCTGTGGTTAGTTTTTAATACAACACTACCATCCCTTTAACACTTTTGCACATAAAACGAAATACTTCTAGAAAGTACCAGAAGTTTAAAGGTATATTATTAGGTTTTTTATTTTTGTATGTGCTATCAAGTAGATTTAGGCCATATAACACAGCTTTAGCATTTCCTTAGAACTAAGATCAATGTGAACATAGCTAAGAAAAGTGTAGCAGGACATCACTAACCTAAGACATTTATCATGCAAGTAAAAAAGTGAATCTAGTAGTACAAATACTGAAGGATATGAGAGGAACCCATGCCTAAACAATAACAGGTCAATCCTTTACAACATATAATGTTAAGAAACTTTTACTTAATTCACAATCACTGATATACAAAATCAAAAGTAATTTGTCATGTAGGTACACTTATGAACGTCAAAATAGTTAATTTGTTTAAAACTCTTAAATTTACCGTACTACTAGTTTCTAAGTTAAGGGCGTAGAACGAACGAGAAGAACTGGCAAGAAACTCGCCGCCAGGATAAATTTGCCAAATTTTTATTTTATCCTTATTGCGTGTATTATATTGATGAAAACTGCCATTTTTTTAAATTATGTACATTTTTTTGAACAAACAAAACATTTTCCTCATCTTTCGTTTTTAAATGATCAATTTTATTGCATTTAACATTTGATGTTACAAACTTCTAATTTTCTTTTTCATTAAGCAAGAGATTATTTGTGTTAAACCACTGAACGATACCACTGGCCCAAGCATGTGGTACGCCCATTGAAACGGATGATCCTGTTGACAGATTCATTGAATCCTACCACCAACATATGACTCCCATCATTTTCAATGCTTTTCTACATATTACTGACAAACTGACATTGTGGTAGACTTTGTAAAATACTTTGATATGACACAGTAAACTAATAACAACAGTTAATAAACTTTTATTACAATCTGATAATACTTGATGCTTATTATTAAAATACAAGAAACAGTATTTTAGGCTTAAGTTATTCTATTAATTTTGATATGTTAAAATATGAATACATATTTGTTTCGTGCGGTTAGTAATGTATTAGTTAGTGGCCACAAATCGAAGTTGTAATTTAATAAATTGTACCATAGCAGTATTTAGTTGTTAAACAAGTGCATATAGAATAGTGTGGAATTCAAAAACGGGAATTTACTAAAAAGAAAGGTGATGATTAAACTTTTTAATAAGTTTTCCTCAGTGATCATTGAACACCACAAGCACAAAACCTGAAGCAAACACCCATGCAAACACGTCATGCAGCGAAACCAGGACATTACTCACTGCTGCGCCTGCTCAGGAGTTTCAAATGTGATGTACACCGCTTGGGTGTTTGCGTCGCGTACGTTCACCTTATCACAATGCTGCACGTTACCATACTGGAGCAAGAGGGGCTCGATGTTGTCGAAGCGAACGTGCAGCGGCAGCCCGCTGATCAGCACTTTGGAGGACCGGCTGTGACAAGCGAAGCGACAATTGGTAATGCATACAAATTAAATCAAAACTTCTATTTAGTAATAAAATTGTACCAAATTGCTACAATGCTTGCAAATTACAAAAATGTCTGACAAATATTCGTCAATAAATATTACAACAGGTTAGAATACAAAATGCAACCAATTTAACACAAGTCTACTCCTACACGCACATTCGCATTAATTTACTTTGGCGGTAACAAAACTTTTAACAAAAGAGGAGAGAGTGATTTTATTCCCATTGAATGGCCCGATCCATCAAAGTAAAGTAACTTCACTTAATGTAAAAACTTAGCTACCATCAAGTATGCTAGAAAAAAAGCTTAGTTGCAAAAAGATAAAACCCATTTGTACGCGTTCACTTAAGCTTTCCAAAGATGTTTCGTTAAGTGCACTGATAAAGATAAGCCATATTTTTACTACCTTTTAACAGATTTGTTATCGTTGTCTTTCTCTTACGAGATTTGTACATATATTCAGTTTTATACTTTGTTTAAACAATATAATAATTTAACTAGTGTATAAAACTTTTCACGTCCGCAATAATAACAGATACCGTCCCCCGCCACTCCGTTTTTATAATAAGAACCGTAAGATTAAAAAGTGCTAGTTCTTTCATATATTCAGTTAAGAGTATATAATATGCACATAAAGCAATGAATGACCTCGCTGAGCGCACGGACCGAGTTACCCCTCCCCCTTGCCCCTGTTCCTGATGCACTCACTACACAATTTAAATTCTAGTGCTATTACCTACACGATTTGAACGCAAATACCGACCGGGTATAACTTATAATGAATAATTTAATTGTTAGCAGAATATTATAGATTAGGATTTAACTAATTAAGCCGAAACATTGCTACGTGCCTGGTAGTGGATATTATACAGACAAAATTTGCGTTGCAAATGGACATTATAGGATCTATACTTAACCTAACGTAAGTAATAATGAGTTGAAAATAATTTAATATCTCGACTATTTAACGTTTACCTATACCTTAAAGAGCGAAATTTGTAAAAAATTGAGGAACTATACCTAACTAATAATAGGGACTATTTTTCGATTTTTTTTTAAATATAGATATTATTACCATTTTTACCCTAAAAAAAAAGACGAAGAAGAAGTTTATAAAATGCCGAGAAACATTGTAGTGCAGTGACCCCAGTACGGTTAGTGGAGTTGACGACAAAAAATAATCTATTTGATGACAATACAAGGGAAAACACCTAAAAATTATTTATTACTCGTTCAATAATTTTGCTATTTTAATAACAATAAATCGAAATAAAATTTAGGAATATACTAGTTTGTTATTAAATTACATTTTTCATTACGGTCAACATCCCTATTTTGTTTGAATCAACTGTCCACTGTGACAGCCAGTGGCGCGGGCGAGCGATATGCGACCCTAATCACAAAATGGCGGAGCCGGAGGTGACATCACCGCTGCCCGCGCGTCCCTCGCCCCGCATGCCATTCACAAGTCGCGCGTTTACGCTCCGGGCACAGATAGCATAGTTCATTTACCTATATTCTCACTATACTAAACGTTTAAATGTTTTAAGAGTTTAATTGTTTAAAAGAACATTACATTTGAACCATAATGCTTTTGCCGGAGCTGATATTATAGCGACTTCTACGTTCATATTAAAATAAGGGATGTTCATTAGCAATTCTATGCAAAAATTATCATTTCGAGTTGAGCCTTGATCCTAATTGCTAAAAAAACTATCGCCGTGAGCGGGTAGCTAAAAACCTGGTACAATAGTCGAAATACATAACGTTTTATATCTTAATTTCGCCCATTCACAATGGCTCGCGCAGAGGGGCGGAGCACTATCACCCCAACTATGCACAATGCACTGCCAACCGTGGTTGGATCATATCAGATATTTACCTGTATGCCATGCGTGTGACGAGCGGACTAGAAACCTGACATAACTGTTACTTTTCAAATAGTATTTTCTCTTGCATCCGAAACGTCGGGCCGAAGTTACAAATAATTTTCAAATAAGTTTAACTAATATATCGCGTTTTGAACAGTTGTTTTATTTAAATGTGTACTACTCGCGTAAACTATAGACAGTATAGTATTTTCTGTTAGAGGATCCTAATTCCATTCCACTCTCTCTTATGCTCTATTCTCTCTGTTGTACTTCGAAAAAAATTCCTTTCAAGCTAAAGCTGACTAAGGACATTCTCTTAAAACATAGTATAATGCCCTCTGTATTACTATTTCGCGAATTAAGAACCAGAGGACCCACACTCTAATTTATGACAAATGCAAAGTTAGCAATACCAGTTGGTAATTTTCAAATTAAGTTATTATTACTAGGTGAAAGGTCTAATTAGGCAGAGCAGTGTCAGGATCAATCAACTACCTAAACGTTCAAAGGTCACTCGACCAATCGAACCCTACAAGCATCAGTTCAGTCATCACTAATTTTATTGTTACGGCGTTTCCCACGGCCGCCGCTTAGATTTAGATAGACCGTACTAAAAGGGGGCCAACTCCCCTTAAAACGGCAGCTATTTTAAATTCTTTAAATATGCTCCAATTTTTTATAGATATTGATACTATAGTCCTAAGAACTTTGAAAAAATATTACAGAACTGTGTTTTATTGTTAATTATTACTGTTTATTTCCTTACTGAATGAATTATCTACATTTATGTAAAGATGAACATTAACAATCATCAGCAAACGAACCAAGAGCGTGGAGCATATTGATCACCTACGGGGTTGCAGAGTATTTGCGGGCGACCGTACGAGGTCTTCGAACCGCAAATAGCTCGTGCTGACCGGGCACTACAATAATTGTCGATCAATAATAACGCCGAGAGATAAGCCATTAATGTTATAATTAAAGAGGACAGGATGCCGTACACGGTTCAATGTCAGGAACGGAGCATTCAAGGCTCCAATTGTTGATTGCCTCAAAAACAGCCTCACTCTTTGACAATCTGCCTTAGATTTAACGTCGAAAAGACCCCTTTAAGTCATTTGCATAGTGGAGGCACTTGGCATGTAAAAGAAAAGTAAATAAATCTATATTGGAAGACAAATTACCTACGGACAAAACTTACAGAACAAGACAGATCTCTTACTTCTGAAGCCATGTTGTTCGTCTCAGATAAATTATTTAATTGAGAATGTTTCATTTGTTAGTTTAATTGTTAGAGTACAATTAAAGAAATCTGGCATAATAAAATAAATCTGGTTAAATCACTAAATTAACGAAATATGGGTGTAATCGTGAATTTTGTGCGCGCTTTTAGAAGGCACTACGATTTTTAAAGAGCGCGACGACGATGACTTAACATTATCGTGTAAATTTATCTTTTAATGTGATGATGGAAATTTCTAAATGTCCGAAATCCATATTTCTTTACACAAAATCCTAATAGACAAGTATATTAGTAAAACAGTGGCGCGCTCGAGCCGAGTGACTCACTGACGACGTTAAGTCGAAACTGACGCGATTAAGATATTATCCTTTCGCGAAAGAAGCCTAGACACCAAAGGGACTTTGAGATGGGGTAGGACTCGCAGGGCCCCGTCAACGCTTACTGTCTCTTGCCTCTCGCGTATTTTTGTATTTTTCAGAACTTTACAAAGTGTTTCAAAACCAAATAAGGCTTAGTGCTGCGTTTAAGTCGAGCCGAAAACGCAGCGCTCCCCATCCACAACCAGTTCTCGAAAACTTTTTGGCTTTCGACTGGAAAGTCACAATTACCCCGGCCGTGGACCGGTTTGCTGGATACAAAATGACCGCAATGTAGCGCAGCCACGCTGCACGATCGCAATTGCGTTCGGCTCGTATAAGCATTTAACGATTTTTAGATGTCATGCACGCGTTTAAGTATTATCAGAGAAATACGTTACCGGGTCACATAATGACGACGTAATGTAACGAAATAAACAACATTGTTTACGAAACTTCATATGCCGAATGAAATTTTCATTAACAATCGAGTTTCTTAACATAACATTATGTACAACAAAGAAACACTTCGGTCAATAAGAACTAAATCTACCTTTAAGACGAACTAAAAAATTTAGTAACTTAATAGTTTTGGTTCTCTTGTTGTGAAGGCCAAGACCCACTTTGGGTCGCTGCGCCAGCGGAGTAAGTAATAGTTTTGGTATTTTTAGAACTTTACAAAATAATATGACCAGCAACTGTCACTGACACAATAAGAATTAAAAAATAGACAAGGCCCAACAATAATAAAAACAAAGGCAGGTAAAAATGTACTTGGGTCTTCTGGGACACGTCTTAAAAAGCAAAACTTTTCTTTCTAATATTTTAAAACATTAAAGTTTATAAAAAGAACCTTTATTCCTAACAATAGTTATTGCTCTGGTCAGCATAATATTTAAACTATTACGGCCATAGTTAATATCCCAGGTTGTACAATAAAATTGATCGTGTGTAGACGATATTGAAGCTTCTGTGGGTGGCAGATTTATTATTATATTCGAGGACACCTGTGGTAGGACGGGTGATCAGTCCACGTTATTAGCTGACCATTTCACCCATTTCCTCCTTGCAGAGGTTTCGGGTCATCCAGCTCTCCCCGTGTTCCCTTCAAACCTTCCGGTTTGCTTGCAGAATCTTATTATTTTTTCCATCTGTAGTTCTATGATGTTTCTGTTTGACTTTTTTTTGCTCTAAAAACTAAAAAAGTCTAAACAGACAAAAAACAACCATACATAAATAATTTTTAACCAAATTATTTTTTTTTTATTTATTGTTTACTTTTATGGCTTACTCCTATTTTTGTAAAAATACCATTCTCGCTTACACACTAACGGAATGTAATTTCTTTAATTTCAATAAGTACGAAAAAATAAATTTTAAAATGGCTCTCTTTCAGAGGGACGAGGTCTAACACCTCGTCCCGTATTATAGTATTTTATCGTTAAAATTTGACGTATAACACGTTGGTATAGTATCTGTAGTCAGATTCCTAACACATTGTATATTAGTATAGATAGATATTAAATCTAAAAATCTGTTAGTTAAAATTATCTAATTTAATTAACTCTTACAAGGAATACTGTAAACAAAATTGTTAGCCGTATCTTTTATTATAAGCAATTGCTTTTTCATTAAGCACTAATTAGTCATTAGCTAACGGGATCCATCCTGTCTTAATTTGTTATGAAGACCCCATCGATACAATAACCAATAGAAAAGAAATAATATTATATGTCAACTAACCACCACTTAGCGATGCATATTAATATTTAAAAATAGTATTTCATAACATAGTGTACTTGGGTATACTATGTTAAAGGTAAAAATGTAATCTAGTAAAATTAAATGTTCCAACTGTTGAAATTTTTAAATAATTGTAAATTATGAAAAATAAACCAACTCAAATAGCCTGATAATTTAAGTACGCATTATCCGTCAAGTGATTTTAAGTCACACAAATAATTAATTGTCTGTACGTAAAATAATTATTAAAATAAAACTGAGCGTGAAAAAATGTTTGTAGATTTTAATTTTGGAACTTCTAAGCGTCTGTTAAATTGTGTCGCAGTCACTGTCCACATATGATGACGCGGCCAAAAGCTAGTTAAATGAAAGAAAGTACCATTAACGTACATTTTTACAAGTCAAGCCAAGCCAAGCCAAGACATAGGTTTTTCTTACGAGTGTTATAGGATGTCGACCCCGATTACGAACGTGTAATGTTTCACTTAGTAACATTCAGGCTAGCTATTAAAAGGCAAACATTATTTGCATTTGAATTTCTAAAAATACACTTCCAGCTACAACCGCATACAACTAGTGCATATCGCAGCAACCAAATCGAATTGTGTTTCTATGACAACTATTGTTTTCAATAATTTATCGGATTTAAGACGTCAATGTAAATGATGCAAATAAGGTTCGCTATCGTAAAAGAAACTTTCCGAGGTCCAAAAAGTAAGTTTACATTTAAATTTTATTTCAATCGACTGTGTGACATTTGCCAATTTATCATAATAACTTAACTTCGGCAAGGCGACCCGTTAACGAGAAGTTTTCTTATGCTTAATGAAGTTTTTTCTTTCTGCAGGCTCTACCACAACTCGAAAGCCGGTTCTCTGTTAATAAGTTCGAGGAGCATGCCTTCTACACAGCGCGAAGTGTGCCACTACTATCCATTCAACGCATTTTACTATGCCCTAACATTGTCTTTCCTTTCATGAACGTGGGTTATCGATCGCCTTCCACGTACGTAGAGCACGAACAAAAAATGAACGTAACTACTCAATGTCACGCGTCGCGCGGAACTATCGCCTCTATTACGTTGGCATAAGTCACTATGTGTGAACTAGACTATTAAATAATAATTATTATCAATAGAGTCAATGGCGATAATATCGCCCCGCTATGTAGTGGTGTGACTATCAGTTGTACATTTATTCCACATCTCACGCATACGCATTTTTATCAACAGACGTTTGGCAGTTGGCGCAATGACTCAGTAAGTCGCGTCGTCGCCGGCGCCGCCATTTTATTTCACGCACCACGTGCTCGTGTGCAATTCACTCGACAAACGTCAAACTACAACAGACTAACGATTCGAACGCGTTCTAGAAATGGTCCGCTGATAGTAAACATTTACATAAAAAGTGTAAAGAATACAGCAGGCTATGGTAATTACCTTCGATATTTCTGTCTTTCCATGTTGTCCATGGTATTTGGTTTTTGGCACTAGCGTGGTCACAGAGACTAAGTTATTGACACACGCGCAACTAAGAATAATATACTAAGTGTGTGGAGCGAGTGGCGGCGATCCACCGTAAGCGACACAGTTTGACTGGGCGTGCGACGGCTGTATGGGGGGAATGGGGGGAGGATGTCGGTCGTAATGTCGTTAGCGCGGTCGCGGGGCAGGGCCGACACTACTTGCATTGCAGCGTGATCGCGCCGGTTCGTATGTACGCTGATAAAACCCAGCCACAATCCATTCACCCCGCGACCCATACGCTATCCTCAACGCTCGGGAGTTATTGAGCCAAGTCGACGTATCTTACAGTCACAATGCAAGCTCTTTTATTATGTACCCCAAATTACATAAGCAAATAGTTCAAAACACACACCATTTCACTCACAATCCTTTACGTTATATAACACATAGTTACATCGCCATTGCATTAACCCTAAATAAATATTTCTTGACAAGGGGCTATTTAGACAGGACAATAAGAAAACGATTTCATGGTCAAACGACATTTGGCCGAGGGAGAGCCCCCAGCGAGAATAAGACACAAAGAGAAGACTCCACAATCAGTCCATTCATGTTAAACAAGCTTCACGGGAACATTAGAATATAGACGAAAAAAAGTTATCATATAATCCCTCGCTGAAAGCGTTTCATTTATTATTACAAGTTACTTTACAACTTATTTTTACTTGGGGGTTTTCTGAAGCTTTTAATAACACGCCGCGAAAAACAAACTACTTTAATCACGCAGGTCTATCTTAACGTATGTATTTTAAATTATATAATTTAATTTACCAATGTCTTGTACGAATAATAAGCGAAAAATAAAACAATTTGCATTTTAGCTTACGAAAAGATGGGAGTGGAAAATGTGACATAATAATTGGTCGCATGCGAATCTATGCTACGAAATCTTTTAACAGGTGCGCAAGATAACAGGAGATGCGCGCGGTATTAAAAAAGCCAGCACGCGCGGCGATGTGCAACAAAGCTGCAGAACGCACCTGCAAATTCTCGCGCCACTAGATAGCGATATAATTACGAGATATATTAATATTATTTCTTTGGTCAAGTTAGTCTTTAATAACATTTCATTATGGTCGCAGATAAAACCTACCTGTATCATCACTGAAAATATCAATAATAGTTATGAATTTTTATGTTTTTCAAACAAGGCAAAAAAGTTATTAATAGTAGTACTGTATATACAGTACTACTGGATTTGTGTACGAACATAAGTCGATACAAAAGTTCATAGGTACTTGACATTTTAAAGTCACAAACAAGTCTAGTGGCGGAATAAGATTTTCATTTCGGTAACATGAAAGGAAATTTGGCAGTTGTATTTTTTTGAGGATTCCAGGGATCGCAAAATGAACGCGGCTGTTTGTGAACATACATGAATGTGTGTAAGAGTACGTGAAGCGCACTCGACTCGTTACGAGCCGAAAGAAGTCTTGATCAGGGAAAAAGGGTCGCATCCGGCCGCTACAGTCCTCCGGACAAAAAACGCCCGATTTCATTCGTATGAAGAGTATGTAGAGAAGGGCACAAAAGCTGTGTGCAATCTGGCGAGTGATGAGCCGCGGTGTGAGGTAGGCAGGCGATCATGTCACGTGCGCACAGACCACCTGTCGGCAGGTGCAAAACAATATATTCCAAACAAAAACGATATTTCGCATTTCTTTCTCCTCGCTTAACCTGCAAATAACGCGCATAAAAAATTTGACTCTAAGTAACGCTTATTTTTTTTCTACTGAAAATGCCAAAATCGAGTACGCACAGGCCAACGCCAAAAAACGATAGGCGAAGTTATTGGCGAATGTATACGCCATCACAATCTCTCGGCCAAGATCTTTGCCACAATGTTCGCCAATATCTTCGCCATCGTGTAGAGCCGCCTTTATATTATATTAGAACGTGCAGCCAAAAGCACTAAAAAACCAAGCTGCAAATCTCTCGAAGGAAGGAAATTACATCTATGGGTTGTATGTTAATTAACATCTATTAATAGCAGAGTTAACAACGCGTGCTATTTTCCACTAAGTGGAAAATGTGTTGCGCAAGTTCGTTGACCCCTAAATGTTTTAAGAGAGATTGCTACCCTGGCTCTTAGTAGTTCAGTCAGTCAGCATGTATCATACATACCTATATTAATTTTGACCGAAGCCAAACAACTAAAGTATAAGAAAAATACCCAATAAAGTTTTTACTGGGTATTTTACTTCATATAGCGCCAAGTCAACATAAGTATAGAAATTAACGCTATCGGCTGCTGCGGTTGGAAAGTGGCCTACCAAATTCAAGTGTCTAAATCGGAGCCAGCTTGGCCTGTGTCAAGGTCAATAGAAATAGAAATGAGCACTGACCCGGGAAATTTGTTGTAACATCCAACCTCAGCGTCCGTATAGGAGTTTCGAAAGCGACTAAGTTGTACCAGTTTTGCAGGTAAATAAAAGAGACACTGACTAGATAAAAAAAGATACGTTTCATTGTTCAAAATTATTTAGTATTGTTAGACTTGTCTTGTCCTGCCGATTTATTATGTTCAGGATTTAACAGCAGCAGTTATGGAAGAAATTACCGAGATTCGGCCCATTATATTATATTCGTCTTCGATCAAATCCAAACTTGACTACAACCGCATCCCTAACAAAAATAAAAAAGTCTAGTAATTTGTAATCCAATTAAGATTTAATAATAGTAAAGTAATGAGTCCGTCAATTTACTGCCTGTCTTCGTGTGCCAATAATACGAGGCTCTAACGGAGTCTTTAGAAAATCTAAAGTGGTCGAAGTAGCAACTTTTTTCATAGAACCAATGAGAAAAGCACTATGCAAACTTTTTCGTCGAATTGCACGAGGAAAACAAGTGTTACTGCAGCGCACTCTGCAATAGCTGCTTTTCGATCCTCCAAAACTTCACTTTTTTCGCACGCTACGAACTCCCTTCACTTTAGTTGTCAACTGCTCGAAAGGATAAACCTACAGTTAATCCAACTTTCGTCTCTATAAACCATGTTAAGACAAACAGAATTTGAGTCACCTCCGATAAATATTCCATGCATTAATAAAAGACCCCAATCGACGGAGTTTTAGAAACTCGGTCAAGTTATGAGGTATCCACCGGACACAACCGGACCGTTTATGGAATATTTAATGCACTTAATTAACTCCTAACAATCTCCAAGCTTGCCCGGATCTTCTGATAGGTCACTCTCTTTTGGCCAAGGCCGTCCCTCACGCACATCATCGATGACATTAGTGCAACCCTGTTGAACTCAGTAAACCAATTTACAAACAGTAGCACAAGGCTGGGTTTCATCGGGCTAGGCCAATTCATAGTCTATCGTAATTTTCTCAATGACTAAGATGACTGGTCCCGAGTTCAAAAAATCAATTTACAATTTTTTACTTTATCTTGAAACACTGCATATTAAATAGGAGTACGGATAAAAGGTCTGCGCAGTGTAACAAGTCTCTCTTTAATCTATGGATTTCCAAACGCAGTTTTGTTATATGGGTGAAGACGTGGTATTCTTCTTTCCAGCTTAAGTAAAGACTCATCTGTCCGTTGTAAAAAAAAAACGGTCAAAGTCGCGGGGACAGCTAATAAATAAATTTGAACATACTCCTCAGTTGTCGTTGCGAATAGACGTGTCTTTGGTTATTCTATATAAGTGTCGATCAAAATTAAACCTTCTGTCGGAAGCCTACGGTAATTCTTAACTTGCGCGGTGAATAAGTTTTATGACATTTTAGAATCAGAGTTGTACCACTGTAAGTGAATCAGTTGTTTAAAGGTGCGTACACATAGCGCTGTTTACGGCATCATGAGTGTTACACATTCGCCAAATAAGAGGCAGAGCGGTTCACAGCCTAACTTGTCTACAATGGAGGACTCCAATAATCAACAACTTGCAACTCGTAAAAGAAAACAACGTGAGTGCAATTTTGAATTTCATGAAGAAATTTCGATGTTTCGAAAAGAAATTAATGAAAGACTACAAAATTTCCTACAAACTCAAAACGATATTATGAATAAAATTCCACTGATGTCTCCGACATAAAAAATGAATTGAAGATCCTGAAAAATACTACTGATTTGTTATCTACAGAGCAAACAAAAATTAAAAACGAACTAGAAAACATTAAAGAAAAACAAGTAGAAGCGAAACAAAAAATAAATAACTTAGAAAGAAATATCGATGAAATCACAAACAACAAAAGTAAACATTCAGATAGCATGTTATGTGAGGATATACTCCAAGAATTACAAGAGCGAAAACAGAGATCTAACAATGTTTTCATTATCGGCCTACCCGAAGCGAAAGGTGAAAATTCTAAGGAACGCTATGACAAAGACTTAGTTGATATTATAAAATATATTAATGCTTTTAATCCACTTAATTCAAATCCAGTAAAATACAACGACTTGGAAAATTCGATTCAGATAAAACCCGGCCTGTCAAAGTTTTCCTGACCTCGCCAGCTATAGTAAAAGATATCCTACGTAACAAACCTAAAGACAAGACAAATTCTATCAAGATATATTCTGATCAAACCCCTCTACAAGCTAACTATTTTAAGAAACTGAAGGAAGAATTGAAACGTCGAAAGAATGAAGGCGAGACAGCTATGTATAAAATATGTTAAAAGTGTTCCTAAAATTATTAAAAGTAATACAAACTAATCGGAGTGAAGACAACTAAATCAATAAACAGCAGCAACAATAAAGTTAATCATCAAGTCATAAACAGCTACTTAGATATAAAAACGCATGCTAAAACTCGTAAAATTCCTATACGCAAACGTACGAAGCTTGGTAAAACCAGGGAAATTTGATGAACTTAAATGTATTCTGGCAACACTAAACGCACAAGTGATTGCTCTAACAGAAACGTGGATTAAGTCGAAATCGGAGGCTCAATGCCTACACATACCAAACTACACTCATTTTTACAATTTCCGTCAGAATAATAGAGGAGGTGGTGCATCTATATATGTCCATAATGATCTGAAACCTGAACTAATAGAAGAAAAATCTGATGATGATAATCATTTTGTTTGGATTCACATCAAAAAATTTTGTTTAGATATTGGAACTATTTACAAACCTGAAAGATCGAATACTAAAAGATTTCTAGAAACCTTATCAACTTACCTTCACAAAAGAAAAAGAGTATTACTATTTGGAGATTTTAACTATGACCGTCTTAATATTAATAATAACACAATCTTTATAGAGAAACTGTAAAAGCTAATGGATACACATTTTTGAATAAACTAAAAACCCAATTCTGTACCAGAGAAACAGCTACCTCCAAAACTATATTGGACCATGTTATAACAAATATACAAGACTGACTACAATATTTTCTTAATTAACTCCTCTCTTTCTGACCATAAACAAATTTATGTAGAAATGAAGAATACCAAAATACCCCGCCTAAAGAAAATAGTATATACAGCAATTAATTATCAAGAATTATTTACACATCTTGGACAAATATCAGAAATTATAGAAGACTATGATGAACTAATAGAACTAATTACTAATGCTATTAATAAAAGTAAAACAAATAAATACAAGAAATTAAATCACCTATCAAATGATTGGATTGATAAAAATACTATCGACATTAATAATAAAAGAAATGAATTATGGAAGGAAACAAAAAGAAAACCAGATAACACAGAAGTAAAACATAAATTCAAAAAGGAAAGAAACAAAGTATATCAACACATTCAAAAGAAGAAACGTAACTATTATCTAAATTTATTTGAAAAATGTAAACAAAAACCTTTAAAAATGTGGCAATTAATTAATGACTTAACGAATAGAAGTAATAGCTCCCAGTCTGAGACTATAACCAAATTAAGGACCAGTTCTGGATTGATAATTACTGACACAAATGAGATCTGTGCAGACTTGAATACTTTCTTTTCAAATGTTGGATTGAACTTAGCTAATGAAATTATTAAGCAAAATCCCCACAATTTATTAAACTTTCATGACTCACACAATCCACACACTTTAGCACAGTTTTCTCCAGTTACTCCTGAAGAAGTAACAAAAATAATAAATAACCTTAAAACTAATTGTAGTATGGGAATTGATCAAATTAGTGCTAAAACTATCAAAAATATAAAAAATGTTATTTTAATCCCCTTAACTAAATGCATAAACAAAAATCTAGAAAGTGGTACTTTCCCAGATTCTCTAAAAGCTGCCAAAGTAACGCCAATACATAAAAGTGGATGTAAAATTGAACCTAATAATTCTATAATTAAATGGGTCTATACCCATTTCAGTATTGCCAGTTTTATCTAAAATATATGAAAAAATTATACATACAAGACTGAGTGAATATTTGTGTATTATCTTAACGACAATCAATATGGATTCAGAAACAAAACTAATACTCTTGCAGCTACTATTGATCTAGTTACAGAAATAAAAACTAATATTGATAAGAAACACGTTGTACTGGGAGTATTTATAGACTTAAAAAAGGCGTTTGACACAGTGAGCCATAATTTACTAATTCAAAAACTAGAAACTGAGGTTGGTTTAAAAGATAAAGCACTAAGTATTCTAAAATCCTATCTTACAAATAGAACTCAGTTTGTAAAAATGAGCGATTGTTTAAGCAGCTTAACTGGTGTCAATTTTGGTGTTCCACAAGGGACAATATTGGGTCCATTACTGTTTCTAATTTACATTAACAGCGTTAATAAAATAGGCCTAAAGGGAAGAGTCAGTCAGTCGAGCTCGTTTTATTTTAATCACAACATAGCAACGTCTATAAAAGAAGCTCAAGCTAACTTAACTAACGTAACTTGCTGACAATCAACACTTCTAAAACTAATTATATCATTATATCTGCAAAGAATAAAAAAATTCCACACCATGCTCCACTACAAATCAATGGAGACATACTAAATAAAGTCTGTCACGAAAAATATCTAGGTCTAATTTTAGACAACCATTTAACATGGTCACCCCATATTGACAAACTACGGTCAAAACTTCTCTCTTTAGCAGGATCTCTGCGCAAAATTGCAAAATTACTTACACATAAAGTAAAATTTATTATATACAATTCATTAGTCAAATCAGACTTAGAATATCTTATAGAAGTCTGGGGTTCCACCAGCAAAACAAATCTAAACGCAGTTCAAGTTCTCCAAAACAGAATCTTAAAATCTTTATTTGAATTAAATTATTTTACACCCTCTGAAAAAGTTTATACCGGAATCAAAGTAATGACAGTAATCCAAATATATCGCTATAATACAATACTTCTCATTCATAAAATACCACACAAACACACTCCCAAATAACAATTTCCAAAAATTGCTCTAATCGCTCACTTAGAGGATCCAGGCAATTCAATATTATCCTACCAAAACCACGTACAAATTACGGGGAAAAAAATATTTTTTACGAAGGGGTTAAACTTTATAATTCGTTGCCAAAGTCCATAAAAGACATCAGTAACTTTGAAAAGCCACATTTTAAAAGGTCCTAAATTTTTATATTATTTTATGTTATATTTTATAAACGTGTATATTTCTATTAAAAACAAAAATTTTAAAACATTGTTAAGTTTATGTAAAATATTGTGGTAAAAATCGCATCATGTAAGCACACCTTAAAATTAATTACCTGATCGTAAAAACACATCGTCTACAATTCACAACTCAAATTGTCTAACCCTCGTATATTTAAAAGTTTACTTTATGTTATTTAAAACTCGCAAAGCACTGAACTGTAAGTATTTTATATAATAAGCTATGTATATTCTCATAAGTGATATAATCTTCGAGAATAAATTCTTTAAACATAAATAAATTTGTTCCGATGAAATTCACAAGCGCACCTAATATATTCTATTTATTGCAATTACAACGTCTAAGCAAATTACATGAATGAAATAAGTATTAGAATATAATATATTTCAAATATTTAGATAAAAAAATATGGGTTCATACCTATATCAACATTGGAAGTAGTTTTCCATAAGTGCATTTATTTAGTTTGAACAACTAGTTCAATAGTACAAGAGATTGATAAACTACGATTGAAACCTATAGTGTATTTTTTGTCAATAAACACAATTTACATAAAAATCGTGATTGTCTCACAAGATTTACATCGTTTTACACTAAAATGTACTTTAAGAGACACTAAATTACAATAAACTAATGAAACTACCCCAAATTAACTTAATAAAACCACAATTTTATGCTAAATTCACAAAAATTCATTTACGTAAATGTAAGCACGGTCAACGACAATAGAAGGGTAGAAAGAAGTCCCACTCATGCACGATCGCTAAAAAGCAATACAAAGCGTTTAGTTAAATAATGACAAATAATTTAAAAAAAGGTAGTTATAAAAGTGATCTCAAAATATTGAGGTGGTCTGGTCCATATATAATCTGTGTTTCTTTATCCCCGTGACATGTGTGGCATCAACTTACTTTATAAAATGTATTAAAAGATTTCTCTATCGTTTAAAATCCGCCATATTGCTTTGTTCGCCAAGTTTGAAAGAGGATAACATCAATAACTAGTAGGGCGAAGATTCATCTTTGTTTTAAGCCGGGTTTAAAACAGAAGGGATATGAGTTGTGGATTAAGAAGATCCGATCCTAACAAAGCTAAAACTGACGAGAATCTGATAAGCCCAGGAAGCAAAATCAATGAGGAATAGTAATTTCAGCAGCACACATAGATACAATAATAGTATATACTTTTTTCTTTTCAAAATTTTAAAAATTGTTTAGATTCGTGAAAAAAAAATGTTTGTGTGTCTGACCGTGATCAAATGCCTTATGGAAGCTTATAACACATCGGTGGTCTAACTGCTTAACATCTATCCAACTAAATTGAAACCACACAAAAAACCTGCACTAACAATTTTGCAGGTATAGGGGTAGAATTGCTATTGGCCAATATTCTTTGAATAACTTTAATGGAACTTTTGAAATTAGCGAGTCACCATAGAATAACTCCAAGCCAACCGGGTACAGACGGCAGACCTTACATAAATTGTATCTATAACAGACGCCATCCGGCACGTTCACTACAATCGTAATGTAAATATAACATTCTGCTTTGACGTCATATTTGTAGAGACATTAATTATAATTATAGCCAACGCGGCGGGGTCCAAAGCAACAAAATAATTCCACTATTTATCAGCAAACGTAGTTTTATATATAATATATATGCATATTTTAGTTTTAGCATAAGCATGGAAATTTTAAAAGGCCATGATGTACAAATTTGGAATTACACCCAAATGAAACGTGTAGTTTTTCTGAAAAAAATAAAATATAACTTCAATAAGACAATCTACATTTAATTTACAAATAAAAAAAACACGTCGGTACTTAGTGTTTTTACTGATATATTCTGATATAATTTCTAGAAAGGAAGTTTCTTCATGAAATAGAACTGCGTTTAAATAATTTTTCATATACCATACTTACCATAGACCATATTTCTTCCACGATTTCGTTCGCGTAGATTAAATAGTTATTTAAGTTATCGAAATTTATTTTTGCAAATCGCGTCTTTATAAATTATGGCAGTCTTCAGTAGGAATAATTCTTTCATTTAGGTATATTTTTGGTATTCAGTTTTCGCAGTGCACACGCAACGAAACCCACAAGGATGAAACCAATTTTAGCCGCTATTTCCAGTTTCTTCGCTCCTAATGGTTGTGATGTTTTATAGCCTTTAGCCTTCCTCGATAAATGTTCTAACCAACTAAATATATTTTTTTAATTAAAACTATTAGTTTCTAATATAAGCGCGCATTCTAACAAACAAACAAACCTTCAGCTTTACATTATTAGTAGGGTAAACTTGCCAGTTCCCGTCTATTGTCTAATTCGCATTAATTTTGCGGATTTTAGTTTGAAATTAGCATATTAACACCAATCAAAAAGCAGAATAATTACCGCTAATACGTCAACGAATCAAACTCATAAAAACAATATTAGCCTCGGTTGTTCAAAATGGCAGCGATTATTAAATAAAATAATAGTGAAAACTTAGTTAATCTTAAAATGCATAATGTATTAATCACATTACAGAAGTTGTACATAGAAATAAGTCCTGGAACTGCACTAAATGGACGCGAACTGGCGAAAATGCGAAATGACCCTATAGATACAACACAAGTGAACGAAACAATGAGGTTACAACCAATGTTGAAATAAAACGACATCAATTATACCGTTTGCAAATCGCTTATGGATAATAATTCTCGATGTACAAGGCCTAGCCTTCAAGAGCCGTAAAAAAACTAAAGCTTATTCGATCATACGAACCTACTCGACAAAGAAAAGATCAAGAGTAACAAAACCTCCCCTTGATTCTCAGAAAAACAACTCCGGCACGAGGGGAGAGAATTTGGGAAGCCAAACAAGTACCCCCCGCTTGAGCTATTATTATATAACAAACCGCATTCCAAAACGCACATAGCTTTCAGAGCCTGTCCTGCGGCCTTCGACAACTCATAATCAGTTTAGAATTGCTTCGGATTTTTGATCACTAATCAATAAAAATATCAGACGAATATTATATAGCATACCTATATTTGTTTTTCAAAATTTCTGGTTTTAGGGGCAAAAGTTGAGGGACACTTTTTAGATTTAATGGACAATTATTTAACATTAAATGTCAAAAGAATAAGAAATTAAATAAGTCAGAATTTCTCTAAGGCAGAGAAAGAGCACAATGAACAACACTAAAAAATATGTTTTCTTAGCTACGTCCTGTTACAACCTACTAGAATATGCTCTAGTAGGTTGTAACAGGACGTAATTCTTGAAACCGAAGACGGAAAAGTCAAACGGTACCTGCCGCAATATAGCAAATAGATATTAAACAACAAGAAACTAATACTAAACCAAAAATAAACTAAGATAAAGGTTTCATCTAGTACAAAATTTTTACTCTACGTGAGGTTTAGTATAGCGTCATTCTCTCTTTACTAAAAAATTAAAATTAAAGTCAAATTATTAGAATATTCCATGGAAGTGAAGAAAGAAAAAATACCGAATCGCAAATTTTTTATTTTAATTCTTAAACAATAATTAATCCATTCGATTTAAAACTTAAAAGCAATCAGTCGGCCATGTTGAATATAGTATGACGTCAGCGTGTGAAGTTGACAGTTTATTTTTCCAGAGTTACAAGTTATAGGTAGTATATATTATATAGGTAAACCTCTATATTTTCCGTCTTACGTTCCGAACCAAGTAAAACCCCAATGTTTTGAAAAAATCCAAAAAACAAGTTTTGTATGATATAAATGTGTTTCAATTTACAAAACTAAATTTAACTTTAACGCACGTAATAAAAAAAAATCCTACATATCGTTAAACACTTCACAACTAAATAAATAAGATGGATATTTAAATCAAGAATAAAGCCTATTTATCTGCAATATTAAAAAGGTCTAGGATTGGGTAGAAACTTCGTAAAAATGTTCCATACCGGCCGGCGGTAGTAAGGTTTTTAAAGATAAATTCGGGCCGGATGTCTTAAATAATGAACGATTGGCATCCCGCGTCGTGTTGCGCGACAAGACGATGTGCGCGAGCGAGACGCACGAAAAAAACCGTAATGATCTAAGGAGCTCGAGGGAAACGATTCGCCTTGATTGTTAAAATATAGTGAACCTATTTTAATATTTATCATTAAAATATTTCGGAAGGGACACTTAGAAGGGGCCATAAGTAAATGGGAAAATGTTAATAAATAAACAGGGTGCGTGCAGGTTTATACCTCAAGTAGACATACTATGTATGTTAGGTTAAATGGCCTATAGATCTTGGCCGCGTAAACATTACGTATAAGTTACATAGCAATAATTTAAAATCCGCACCTGTCTTGGTCATCTTGCTCGTACATTTGATCATGTTCATCCTGCGAAAGGCTCAACTCGCCAAACTGTTGGTCAACAGAGTTAGACATTTCACTTAAAACACTGTTTCACAGATAATATTTATTTACTTAAATGCGAGTTAGTTCATAACACGGAGCAGCAGTGAAGTGGTGGAGGGCTTAGCCCGGACTGAACTGTAATGGCGTTTGTTGGGTTGAGGTACAACGACCGGTGCGCACACGTGCTCGTTAACAGATGTTTGGGTTTATTTTTGTATTACATAATAATGGGAAGCGGGCAAAGGCACAGAAACGGCGTGCTTTGGCTCCGGGCACGTGTGCGCCGCTCTATTCGTTTAACAAACTGATTGACGTGCGTGACGCAGCGGGCGCCGAGCTGAAGTCAGCGTCGTCTACCGATCAGACTACTCTCGTCGAGACGAGAGAACGCGCACACTGGGCGTGTCTCGCGCGGGGCCCGCGGGGAGCTCACCGCGTCCTAGTGAGGTAACCGTGTCGATGACTTTTCACGATAGCCTAGCCAAAGCGAGCGATTCTTAAAATCAGAAATTATAGCAATCTTACGACTACAGAATTGAAAACTACAATGAAAAGTTGAAAATAATAATTAATACAAAACCCTTTATAGCTATGTAGCTAGTAAGTGCTACATAGCTATAAGTCTATTAGAAAATGTACTGGAAGATAGAAGGATACTTCATGATTCATCTATCAAATTATCTTTGGTGCAAAATCGTCTGATAATACTACTTATAAATAGGCCGTAATGTACATGCTCCAAAACATGGACATTTTCTTGAATAGGTTCATCATAATTACGTTTTTAACCTAACATGGTACCCATTTCAAGTAAAACTAGCCGTCCTTCAAATGGGATCTAATATGACGTGGCCAAGCATGGTGGTGTTGGACAGGCATGGGATCCCATGTTCTCTTCATTTGAGTGTACCATCACTTGACATACAATGCAGCATTATTTTTCGTTTTTATATTACAAATGTTTTTTTTATCCATGTTACAACAGCTCATTAGATACAAGTTGTTGCGCCACGTCGAACTAAAATACTAAGCAAGCAATAGGCATCGAAATTTGAATGTTCGGCAACATCTGCTTCATTTTTAATAAGCAAAGTCAGGGTTCAACTTCAGGACTAAAAACACTAGACTTAAAAAAAATTACCCTAGAAAACACACAATCAAAATATTTAATAGACATGAGATTCGTTACGATATTGAAATTTTATATTTAGAAAGAACGTAATAGTTAGTAACTTTATTACAATTATTTCTTGAGCAGTTCCTTAACATTGAACAGCATGTTAAATGTAAATCGACAGCTTCAAACGTACGCTCCCTCGCTTCGCTCTTTTTACTGAGGCTATAACTGAATGAAAATATAGTTTATACGGATCTTAGAAAAGCTTTGAATCGCATCTTCCTTCAAATACTTTTACAAAAACTAAGTAATTCTGGTATATTCAACATTTTCTACGAACGGATTAAATGCCATGTATCAAACCGCATTTTTTGCAGTGTAGTCACCGGACTCTCTTCTAAAAAAGAAATGGTGTACCCCGCAGGGCCGCCATTTGGGACCTATTTTATTTAATATTTTTATTATAATCTATATTTATACATAGGTAATTTTATATAGATTATAGAATCACCTGAGCCGTATTTGTATGCAGACGGTCTGAAAATTTTAATAATTGTTAAGTTGGTCAGCTGATAACGTGGACTGATCACCCGTCCTACCACAGGTGTCCCCGAATGAAAATAATAAATAATTCCATGTTGCTTCAATCTGATTTAAATAGGGTACTACAGTAACGGAATGAAGTTGAATTTAAAAAAATGTTATGTTATTGGATATTGCAGGGATATAATTATATATCGTTACCACATTGTACATGTCATGTCATTTCCTTCAATGTAATTACATTGAAGGAAAAGGAGCAATACAGGACTTAGTTTGTGATGGAATGTGACACCATCATAAACAGACTATTAATTTTTTTAAGCCCGTTTAGATAACATTTTATTCAATAAACTTAGTTCGTATAATAGTATTTTAGAATGTCGCCAGGTTTTATGACGACCACATAATTTAACACTGTCTTACGTTGAGAAAGAATTTAAAAACGATTATTGTGGCATTTAACATTTTCTAGTAGAAAATTGTAAAGAGTATCATTATAGGAAACGATGGGATGGGATATTTTAATATTACAGGACACGATTCTAGACACACGTCGAAAAATTTTAGACTAACGTTTAAAAATTTTAGACTAGTGTCGTAAAATGTTACATTAACTTACTTTTTCTATTGAAAATACCTAAAAATTAAAATATTGTCCCCAATTAATTCCGTGTTTTACTTGGATACACAAGAAAGCCGATTCCCTATCAACCTTCCTTCATAGAAAAACTTATTTTGAAATTCTCATGAGAATCACGGTGTGGTCCGACCACTGTTTAAAAGGTAATTAAATTGTCTTAATACTATCGATAAGTAAGCGGATCACGGGTAAACACTATCGAGACCCGTGAATAATATCGTTATTGAAAACGGAAAACGCGGCGCCCCGCGCCCAAGTGTTCCACGGTGTACGCCGGGGCCCGCGGAGGGCGGTCGCCCGACACCGCCTACTTCGTCCGGTACAGGCGTCACCCACTTTGTGTCCCGCTTCGTTCTTCAAACGAAAAGGCGACCGGGGCGCGCTTATCTCCGTTCCTACTACCTTCATTGAGCCCTTCGGTACCCGTGATACATCGCTAACGATAAAACAGTTGTGAGGCATCAGCAGATATACAGGGTAACCTCCAAGCTCCAAGAGTCATTGTCTAACAATTACAATAAATATTGACATTCCTTTAGTTGTGGCTTTAAATATTCAGTGGAGCGAAGAACCGCTCGCACCGAGCGAAAGCTGGCGACTGCCAACGGCGAACGGACGTCGAAAACAACGTCGTCGTGCAATGTTACGTGTGAGGTGTGATTCACTGCTCCCACCATCGCGACAAAGATATTAATAATTAAAGTGCTGTTTTACTAAAGAGCTGGTGCAGACAAAGCCAATGAATAATATTTCACTAGACACTATACCTAGCTTGAGTCATTGCGATAACTGGCTACCCCCGGCCCCAGGGGGTTGCCACTTGCCAGTAATTGCAACAACGTATTACGTATGATAAAAAGAATAGTTTAGATGGCAACGTCCATGCCCTGGTCAGCATAAGACATGAGTGGCTCTATGACGCCTTTAAACATTTTTTTTTTATAAAACAAGCATCTATGAATGCATATGCATAATGCATAATGATGCAACCATACATTGATGTTTTTGATTTTAAAAGTAGTAGATCCCATCTGTAGCTAGGTATAATCAGATGTTTTTTTATAAACCTGCTCCGCAACTAGGTAGGTAGGTACCTGCAAGGCAGATTTTATTGATATTTTGCAAATAGGCAACCCATCAAGCGGTATTCTATTTTTAAAAAATGTGATAATTCTGGCGGCATTTTGTATAATAATGCTTCGTCATCGGCCATGGACTAAACCTCCAGCCTTAACCACTTAACCGTAGAGACTTGAAGGGATTTTGGACTTGAGGGTGGAAAAAACCTTGGTGGAATATGGAAGGGCATTCTTGTAAATTAGAAAGGTTAAAGAAAAATAAGCGATCAATTAATAGGTATTCTTTTCTAATCAGTGCGTTTATGTAATGGCACCGATTTAAGAGCCAAATAATAAATTCTAAACCAGTACAAACTCACAGGGTCCTTAATCCGAAAATTAAAGGGCTTTTTAAATAACACTAAACCAGTTTGGCGAGTTCCTTTAGAAAAAAGACCGCCAACTTTGATCCAGTGAATAAAAATGTCAAAATCGTCTAACATCTCAAAATGGCCCGACCTTGAACGGAGCGATGTCTAAAGACGTGAGGATTAGGCCACAGTCTACATAATGTGCAGTATACCTACAGACTATAGAAGGGAATTGCACAGCACTGTGCTCCAAATTTCAGATTGACGGTAAAAATTAACTTTCAGAGGCACAACGGATTAAGAGGTATTACGATTATGTAAGATAGTAGTATTGTCGGACCTAAAAAGTAGACTAGTTAAATGTTTGACTTTCGTAAGCCAAGAAAAAAAAGTACAACTTTATTCATAATGGTAAAAACAAATTGTTGCCTTCCAAGCATACTATTAATAATTAATTTTCTTCTATATTAATAGGTTTTAATTATATATTTATCGTACTCAAAAATAAAGTAGGTATATTTTATTTGTAGAAATTTGCCTTATGGCAACGACTGCGACAAAAGTTCAATACGCTTACATTTTGAAAATTTTGGTTCATCATTTTTAACAAGACTTGTTCTCTTTACACTTAATAAATATTTATTATAGTAGTTAATAATTCTTACATAATACGTATTCTTTGTAGTCTTCAAAACTGGCAAATAATGCTTAAACATAATTAGTGTATTATGTACTTTATACCTGAGGAAAGGAACTATACAAGATAAACCTTTAAATATTCTGTGGGGTTCGCAGTAGGCTTATCTACGACTGTCGTAAAAGGAATGGTATTTGTATTTAGGCTCATAAAACTTAAGGCTTTGTTTTATGTTTGGTTATGAAACAATGGGGTAAATACGAAGAACTATTCTAGCTTCTTTGACAGTCTCTTGCTATGTTTTTATTTTCAATGTGGGCGCGGAAACAAAAGATATAAAAATATATTTTAATTGCCTGCAGGGGAAAAGGTGTGAAGAATAACTTAAGAAAACCCGTCGTTGGATAGTTATTGGATATTATTTACATTATTAAATATAATACACCAAAAATAATAGAACATTCTAGTGCGGCGCGCTAGGGTTGGCGCCGTCAGCCGAATGAATGTTTAATAATAATAAAAATTCGACAAGCGGTGAGCAAACAAGCGTGAAGCTCTCAGATTCCCGCGCCCGGAACGCCTTTACAAATAATATTCTAATGACGCTTTCACAGTGCGGATGTAATAATAATTGCGCCGTTACGTACGTTACAACCCCATTACAATCATTTGTATCAATCTGGGAGCAGCCGCCAGGTACACGGCATTCGGGTGCCCTCCGCCATTCAAGTGACAACAGTTGACAACAAAGCCGAGCCTGCAAACGATATATCAAGGCGATTCCGCACTAATGACACGTGCTCACACATGCAACAAGCGAATCCATTAAAAACAACTCTGGACCCCAAGACTCGGCTCGCAATAGCATTAATAGCGATTCTATAATTCGCGTGTGCTAATTTTGTGTTCTTAAATATTCGGAAGACATACAGACACACAATCGCCTCGGTTGCTAACTACATACTACAGCAAAATTAAATTCAATCACTACAGTTCGCAGGTAAGGGTCAACTTGAAGCAACTCGACGGGTGCAGCGTATGCAACAGCGAGGTGCTGTCACGGAAATCTTAGTACGTGGCGCACTGTGGAGGGTGAGGCGAGCTGGGCGGAGTGCAAGTGGCCACCGCAGTTGCAAATGCAACTGCGCGCGCCTGCATCCAACCAATCCGCATGGGCGGCCCTACCCGCCTAGCCCACACCTAGGACACCTAATGGCTACGTAAAGTGCGATGACCCCTGACCCGGTCAACGCGGAAACTTTTCACTCTGACGTCCTTTGTCAGAGGTTCAGCCCGCGTTTACAGCGACCTATGTTGCAAATTTGATCAGTTGAGTGCTGTAGTAGCGAGAACGCGGCAATTTCATAGACATGGAATCGAATATAAAATTACGTGTCAAACACTAGAATTATTTAAGATTTTAAGACACAGGATTTTATGACGAACGGGCTCATTTTCTAAGGCTAGGGGTGTGTCGCGAAATGTGATATCTATACTATCTGACGAACAATTTATCTCGAGATATACAACTGTGTTAAAATATATTTCCATTAACTTAAATAATATTATATAAATAATCCTGTGCTATCAAAAAAATAAATTTTATGTTTACTCATGTACCTACCGGTATAAACAACTTATACTTAAACTTATAAACAACTTTGTCTTCTAAAGGAGATATAGTTGTTAAATGTGTATTTGAAAATGGACTCTATAACTATAGCATAGAGTTGAAATTGTATGGTTTATAATGGTCATTCGGGTAGTGCGCTAATTGAAAAGGGGTGCAACAAGTTTCTCCTAGCCAAGGACTATTGGAAGCTGTCATCTCCAGATGTAATCATGTAACTTAGACTGAGCCAGAGCTAAGCATTGGCTTTGTTTTGTTCATTTGTAATTGTTTTATAATTAAGCAAGTAGAATTAAATATGGTGAATCAAAGCTTCATGCTTTTATTTCTATTGAATTCCTCAAAATAAACTTAATTTAATTTTTCTTTTCAATTGAAATATCGTTCCGCGCTGTTTGCTATACAAATTAAGTTATGTCATTATAGTTTTCGAATATAATATTAATACATACTTCATGTTATTGTTAAATTGGAAATGTTAAGAGTAAAATTATGTGTATCCGGTCTCTTGCTCAATGCTCGATACGTCGGGCGTCGGGCCGTAATTAAAATAATGATCTAATAAGTTTAACTAATATAAACTGCATTTTAAATCGTTGAAGTGTTTTATTTCAAAAACGAAAAGCTATAATTGATTTTTAGAGACCCTCTAAAGAGTGGAAACATTCTAATTCATTTATTCCTAAGTAAAGAAATGTAACACAATTACTATAACCTTTTTAACCGACTTAAAATAATAAGAGGCACAGAATCAGATATTTTTTAAATACTGTTATTGTTTTGCACTTGCAACATATTTCATAATATTAAGTGTACTATTTATACTTTGCGCGAGTTTCAAATTATAATATGTATAACAAAATATGTACGTATTCGTTCGATTTTTTTAGTTAATTTTAAATCGGTAAAAATATAATATGTAGTAAAAATTAAGAAAATGAAAACAGATTTTCCCAGAAGAAAAACCGCGATTTTCATATGATCGAAAATAGTAATACTTCACCAGCCACTTGAAATTACTTTTTTATGTACCTACTTAGTCAATAGTTCTGAACCCCTTAGGTTTTTAGGTATGCACTGCTTTATCGATAGATTTGCAACTGGAGCGAGCTCGTTACACCGTCACCAAACACCACCAACCCTAGCCGGTAAGACGAGAGGCGTTATGGGGGTAATTTTTATTACAATTATTACACATCAGTGTAATGGGCAGATCTCGTTACCGGTGTGCCACAGTACTGACCACCCACGCCGTTAGTAGGTACCTCAACGTAATGCATTTGTTGTGGCTTAAGGCACGCGCTGGCGTCTTACTCTTCTTTTAACTGTTATATTTAAATTACATTTATTATCCGATTTAAACAATACATGTACTCGTATATTTTTGTAGTATAACATTGCTTTTTTTAAATTTTAAAGTGATACTATCTGTTTCTGATCTCTACGTTCTGTCTATCCCTATATATACCGTACATATTATTTTCTTAGTTTGACGTGATCCTTCCTAATACTAGTTCTTGTCTAAGAATCAGAGCGATAAATTCAATTTCTTTCTTCGCCGAAATGTGAACAAAAAAATCGATCACAACTAAGTTCGCCAAACTCAACGATAGAGTTACACATTAGACCGACCGCGCACTTTTGAAACCCCGTTTCCCATATGGGGCATAGGCCAAATAAATTTCGTGTCGCTGATTGATTTTATGTACTTGTAAGTAGGTCATCAGTCTTTTGCTCTCCGCCCAATCGAAACAATTTATTGTACCTCCAGGATTCGCAATATGACGTCCCATCTTCGGCTGTGTAGGAGCAACGCGAATCGATGCGGGTCGCGTGGCAGCCGCGTGCCGTACTCTATTGAGGCGGGCAAACTTTCTTTCGCCGCTCGCTTTCTCTCGTAGTGCACCCTTAGTGATTGAATTATTGCGGAGGCTTTGTGCATCGCCCTTTACGACTTGCACGCGCTCTCCGCTTAATGACTACGTGACCGACTCAAAGTTATTAGTCAAATACACGTTCCGAGCGCGTATCATTTACAGCTAAACACTTACGAACGAAATCAACATTTCTTAGTCACTACGGGTTACATAAATATATTTGGCGATATACCTAAAACCTTTACTTAACACCCCTTAAAGCTTATTAGTTGATTATTTGAAGCATTTTCTACGATAATTTGAAGGCTTACTCACAAAGTGGCTAAAATATAACTAGTTATCATATTAAGCTTTGTTATTTCCACCCTTAACCTCACTGAAGATAAACGGATCTCTCACTTAGCATACTATCGCTGCTAAAATCTAGACACGTGGTGCCAAACCATCTGTCTGGCACAAATCAAGTACCTCACCCGAGATAAAGCTTACAGTACTTCCAACTAGTTCGACGAACGCGTTGATTGAAGCGATATTCAAATCTTTTGACACATGCTACGGGCAGCGGATGTTAGTCGCGACCTATTTACATTTTCGATACGACAATCGCGATTGACATGACGCCATCGCTGCCCCATTTTCGCGGGGACAATAGAAGGGAAATATTCTAATCGGAGAGGAACACAGGTTAGCTAGCGGTAAACGCGTGGATATTTTATCAGCCAGTTTCCGATGAATAAATCGTCGTTTCGAGTAGTGACCCGTGTATGAGTTAAATGAATATATCTAGAGCTGGAAGCAGCTATTGTTAAATGCTAGACAGCGTATTGAGAAGACCAAACAATGTGGCTGAAACAGCTTGCATCCAAGTAAAATCGTGATCGACTTCAGATCTCTATTGTTAAAAATCACACAAGAAGTGGCAAGATGGAAGTGGAAGATGAATTTGGTTCAATAAAGTGCGGATAGCCAGAAAACCAACAACAATACCTTTACTACGAAATTATATATGAACGTACAATTCATAAAGAACACACCGGCTAGTTCAAAAACATTGTTTATAGCCAGAATGTTTACAACTATGCGCACACGCCACGGAGTCAACGAACGCAGAGGAAATGATCGTCTAGACCGCGCCACTTGCTGCAATAAGGCAAAACATCGCCCGCGTTTTAAATCCGTGCCCAACGGAATTAATTCAAGTGCGAAAAACCACATGTTTATCGGAATTTAATAAAAAAGGGTATCTAATGTATGCATGTTGCCCAGTTGTCCTGATGGAAGTAAACTTTATAACAGTCGGGAAAGTACATATGACGTTAGATATCATGTAATGTTTGCATGGAGCCAAGTGGCGAACCCTTTCCTTACATAATATGTGCTTAACCTATTTCTGTGCATAGCCCGCCATTTTGTTAGGCAGCCCGCGCATTGAGCATGCTTTTCGGAACAACTCAACTTTCGATTATTATTAAAGTTTGTTTGCCAATCTATTACGAATTGCGATTAAACTTATTGTTTTTTTTTATATTTCTGTATCTAAATTTTATTGGCTTTCTGATATCCATTTTGTCGACTTATTGTATTAGCTGAAAGTTTTTCATACTTCTTTTTTTTAAAGGTGAAAACGCTGTTTGTCAGAGTAATAATAATTTAAACATCCATACCAAACACGCGCGGACCCCCCGCAATCCTCATATATTTTAGGTTTTCTAAGTAAACAAAATTGTCAATGATTTTCTGTTTTATTAAAAACAATTATAAATATTACGCAAAAAAAGAGCACCCGGTCTGGACCACATGAGTCGAAGTGAGAAAATGCTTAACTATTTGTTTATCTTATTATTAATTAATTTTAAATGAATGTTTAAACCTACCATAATAAACCCTTAGTATAGATGTAGGTGTAGAGTTCTAAGTGTCCATTTCCAATAAAAGCTTCTGGTCAGACAACAATGGATGCGCGCAAGGCTTACAGTCAAAACAATGTTAAGCGATTAAAATTTCATAACCAGTGTCAATATTTAACCTTTGCAGACAGCTTCCTATGAAGGGGATTATGTGTCTATCTAGCAAAGCACGAACCCACGAGCCCATTTCCGGCTTGCGAAAAAGATTAAGAGGAAAGATTTGTATTGTGCGACGAGTGTGTATTTATGTAATGAGTTAGCTCAAAAATTACATTACTGATACTGAAAAAATTCACCCTTAGTAACAGTGCAGGCTATAAAAATTGCTAGAAAACATTAGAGACTTTCCCTAAAATTTTAATAGCCTAAACTTTAGTGTTAGGTAATGCAATCAAATTTAAAATCAAAGCATTGAAACTATACTAATATTATAAAGCTGCAGAGTTTGTTTCAACGCGCTAATTACAGGAACTGCAGTTGAATTGAAATATAATTAGATAGAAGCGAAGAAATATGTAAGTAGTAGAAATATGAAAAATAAATTAGATAATTAATCAATATTTGCGTGAGCTGCGAAATCGGTTCTAGATACCCAAAAATATGTATGATTGATTGCTCTTTAAATGATCTAAAAGATTACCCATTCACGGGCACAGTTAATGATATAACAAGGCTATGTTTTACAATAATAAAAACTAAAGATCGACTCAATCAATAGAACCCAACAACCTTGACTAAAATTGATGGCGTTTTCGTAAATTTTCGGCATTCCTAGCAGCCGTTTAAGATACAGACGAAGTCCATCATAATTTAGAAAAATATTGGACCCGCTGTGGGTATTGAACCCACGACCCGTCAATTATTGGCCATACATTGCTACTATTACACCAACAAGTCAATCGAACAATAACTTCATTCATTGAAAATGGCAAAGTCAAGATTTTCTTAATTTATTATTTTGATGGGAAAATCAAGAAGAATATCTTTTTCAACATACTAAAAGGAAAAACCTAGCGTTGGCACCTAAACACCGTAACAGTGGCGATACATATTTTGATACGTACGATGAGATATTTCATAAATAAAGCAGAAGCCCGACGAGCGAGTCCACTCGAAGGCCTAACCTAATCAGGCGGAACTTTCAAAATAGCGCTCCGTCCGGGCTTAATAAAAACTCAGACATTCCCCTAACATTTCTCCAGGCAACCTCATCAAAACTCGAGCAACGAGATTGCCGTACAAATTGACAACATGGCCGTCTTAAAATATGGGAGTTCAGACTGGAGTTAGAATTACGAAAAACGTATCTTTCAGATGACGCTCAGCAATTACACACACACACACACAGATAAAAGCTATAGCTAAATGCATACACCTCGAAACACATTGAATGTAATACAAGCAAACCTCCCTAGTACTGAAATGAATATAATCAAATGGCTGAATTGCAAATTTTAATAGAGCTGAGCTTATTATAATATGTATATATCTCTCTTTAGGAAGAGAAAATTTTCTATATCAAAACTTTATCTAGCAATCACAATAAATACTAATCTCAATGAAACTGTTTAAAAGGCGAAATGTATTAAACTAATAAAAATATGTAACTAAAAATGAAACTAAAATTACTTCGTGTTGTAAATAGTTTTTTCATTTGTATTTATTTTTGTGTTAAATTGTTAAATACGGTTGCCAGATTGATTGTGTTATTTAAATGTGTACACTCGCGTAAACTACAGACATTGCTTCATAAATAAATATCTATTAAAACCATTTGTCACGAAGCCAATTTACAGCACCCGATGTAAGTACGAAGCGAATTTGTACTTTCATTTGGTACGAGATGTGTAAAGTCCAAATAAAGCTTTCTAACTCGTAATAGAACGGTCGGACGCAGCTAATTGAAAACGGGCCATTCAGTAACAGCGTTAAAAGGATAACAACTGGAAACCAACTATGGTGGAGCCTAGTTCCGCACGCGCGCCTCTACACTTTGGGGCTCAAGGTATTTGGTCCCCAAGTGATTTTACTAAGCAAACCGACTAAACATAGTCAAGGAGCAAAACGGGGCCACATGGTGGCGTGGCTCATGCGCGTTGTTCAAATCGATCGTGAAGGGCATTTCAATGCATGCTCGCCATCACTAGAAAGAATTAGCCTAAACTCGACCACTAATCAAATTAAAGGATCGGAGGTAAAGTCTGCTACGGAAAACGACTTCAACAATGTTTTGAAACTGTATACCTATATATTAGCTGACGTCCTAAACAAATTTTATTGCGAAAAGATATTTTTTTGTTGAATTAATGACGACTCAACTTTAAATGTATGTAATAACAATTAGCATAGTCCGAAGTCTAAAAAACTAAATTTGTAAATAGCTTCTTAATTATTTTTTCTGTAAAGTTTTTTTACATAAACAGGTAATATTTTTGAATTATTATTTTTTTCGTTAGAATTGCTCAATTACCTTATGTAATTTGATGAGACTCAAACCTTGACCATCTTTATAAAAAGCAGTTACTTTACTATAATTAGTGATGACGATTTTTCAACCGAATTCTATTCATCTCTATACTTAAAAAAAGTCTAAAATTATTACAATTAGTAGCATTGCTAGGACGAATAAAATTGGATATTCTTTAAAAAATATTTTTGGATATTTTAGTAATGGATTGATTTTTCTTTCCAGGGGATATTTTTTTTCTCTATAAAAAGACGACAGACAAGCATGTGTTATTAGTTGACGGAATTAATAAAACCCCGAAAATTAGAACATTTTTTAACTTTGCAAAATTATTATACTAAGTTTTTCGGTTTTGAAAATGGACGTAAAAGTGCGGAACGCTATAAAAGCCGCTATTTTACGTTATCTGTGGCGCCGCCGCACCTAAATCTATTTTGAAGAGCAAGGAAAATGTAGCTTGTACGTTGATAAACTAATCAAGCTCGCGCGAGCAGACCGATAAACAGTAGTCGGGGAATATCCTAGAAGCAAGCCGCATGTAGAAGGCGTTTGCTTTTGAGCATTATTCAACGATGACTCATGAATATTTTTCATCTCACTATGTCTGTCAGTGTTACCCTGCGTGCAAAATTTACCGCTATCTTCGATTAGTGGGATAAAAAATGTAGCGTTCGAATGCAAAGCTAGTTTGGAACACTTGCCGAGTTCGACATTCCACAATTAATCAGCAGTGCAATAACGTGTCGTCTACTATGCCGTCGATACAAATACTCGCGCAATAAAACTTTGCAGCCTCGCTTAGCGAATAACTTCTGTCACAGGTGGCGTCACCAATGGTGCGCGCGTACAGCTTAAAGCTGGGTGGTGGTTGTGCACCTCCACCTCGCCGTGGCCCGATAAAGTTAGCGCCGCGATAGCGTCCCCAATGACGTAATTTTCTGTTTCGTGGGAATGCTCGCGCGGAATGTGGACGCCGGGCTGAAAGCGCTCACCTGTCCTCGTAGGTGGGGGATGCGTCGCCCGAGGGGCTCTGGGACGTGTCACCATCCATTTTCGGGGGGTTCGGTTAGTCGGAACTCGGGTTAAGGACCGCGAAAAGCGCGCGCCGGCTACGGGTGCGGCCGAGTGGTGATATCGTAAGCTCGCAGTGCGATCACTCGTACTGACTGCCGTTTGCCGGCAGTCGGCAAACCGCGCGCGATCGCCGAGCGAGGTGAGGGGGTGTGGGGGGCGGCGTCGGGCGTGGGAATGCGGCCCCCCGCTCGCACCGCGCGTAGCCTGGCAACGGGCCGCACGTGGCCAGAGCACACTACGATGTGGCAAAGGCAGAACCAGAACCTACGACACTAGACGACCGCTCCAAAAATCCTCATCTTTTACACAGGTGGCATCTGCTGGGCAATCACGATAACCGCCTATATATATCAATATCCGCTTCGAGGGGCAGCCAGTTTGTGTTTGTCCTACTGTGCCGCTCCCATGCCGCAATAATTAGAGTTTGATGCAAGCTATGATTAAAACTGACCTAAAGCGATCAATTCCATTCCAAAAAGAAAATTATCCATGATGTTTTCCGTGGCTCATTTTATTTACTCCACCTATTCCTGGTAGTTGCGAATCCACGGATTTATAATTCTTTACTTGTTTAAGCATAAAGCATCCTCGCTCCTTGAGGAAAAACATTTTTCCCGTTAAAAATTTACGCCTTCACTGAATCGACTAACCGTTGTAAGTAGATTATTTCCAATCGTATCAATCAGGCGTATTTCAACAAGTAGAGACACAAAATAATTCTTCGTTCGTCTTGTCCTATGAAAGAGAACAATTGAAAACATTTTTTTTCCCACTTACTTGAAAAAAATGCCACCTGATATTGTATCGCATAAAAATGCTGAAACAAAAACAATACGCCAGATTATACAATAACGCGTCTGTATTTTGATTTTGTAATAATATGAGGCCGCTAGAGACTTATTATTATTATTATTATTAGAGTTCTTTTTATCTTCTTAGTCTTAAATGTTAATCTACAAGTGCAGTGTCTGGAAATTGTTAACATAATTGCTTTACAAAGTTAATTGCGCATTTTTACTTTCCTCTTTATTGAAAATTGTATTTTTGTTATTAGGCCACTCTGTCTCTAGCAGCCTCATATATAGGTCTAATAATACATATATCTCATAATAAAAGAAGCTCATCTGCACCTCGCGTGTCAGCATGTGATTTATTGTTACCAAGTTTTTAACAACTTCACTACTGTACTAAGTATTGTGACTACTAACACTTCTACTCTAACTAATAGAATAAATCTCGAATGTTAATTAGTATTAATGATAAGATATTTAAAGTGTATTAATGATAGGGCAAAAAAATGTTCGACAATGTACTACTACTACAATACTAGCGGCCCTGTCCCGGCTTCGCACGGGGAGACATAAATAAGTAGAGATATTAAAATTATAAGCATGCTAATTAAAACGACCATGAATTACTAAATTAGAAAAAAAAACGTATTTCGCGTCCTAGCTGTTAACGACCTTTGTCTATCACGCTGTTTCAGGAGCCGCTGCGAGCGTTCAGTGTTAGAGTCCCATGCACGCGGTTCGCGAATTCCTAGCTCTATTTCCTTCAAGTCGCTGAGACGAACTTGCATTTTGTTCTGCAAAACGAACCTGAACATTTGACGATAGATTCTCTGAGTTACGATTGGGACGCGTACACTATTATATATATAAACTAATAATAATACAAAAGAAAATATTCAAGTTCAAAGCGATAGTTCTGAAAAGAACTTTGACAAACATTATGCAAAGTGTGATTCCTAATACTAAAACTAAGTAAGCTCTGAAAAGAACTTTTTAAGTGAATCATAAAAATGTAAAAAAAAATTGAAATATTCAATGTCGGTCGCGCCCACTGCGTAAGGAGCCCACTGCCCCTCTATCGTCGAATTAAATAAGAGAAGAAGAAGCACAGGACACGTTGTGCGCGAGATGAAGCCGCCCGTGTACCCGAGCGCCTGCTGCCGCTACAAGGAACGTCGGGGTGTTGAACAGTGCATGCCCATACAACATCCCCCTCACCCGAAAGCGTGCAGTACGTCGGTGCGCGAGACGAAGCCGCCGACGTCACCACCGGCCTGACGCTGCTTTCATTAGCAGCATACCTATCGACAGGCTCGTAGCAACGAGTGCTTCTTTCGCTTTTTGGGAATAGGAGTGAGAGTGGGAGTGGGAGTGAGAGTGAGTGTAGGAATGAGAGTGGGAGTGAGTAAGAGTGAGAGTGAGTGTAGGAATGAGAGTGGGAATAGAGTGGAGTGGGACATGAGAGGGGAGTTAGAGAGGAGTGATGTGAGGTGAGAGTGTTGCTGCAAAGTAGCACTTACAACATAGATAGGTTGCCTTAAATGCGCCCTTACAAAAATTAATAAACATTCTAAATAATCAAAAATTCCACGTGGACTAAGTCGCGGGCACAGCTAGTAACATAAATTAAATTTCACGGCTTTTCATCTGCGGGCGGTGGTTCGTGACCCGGACGGTAATCGATATTCTTGCCGCCCATTTAATATCCAGATTTCCGGACAAAATTCAACATGTTTTAGACAAATTTTAAATAAATATTTGTCTTCATTATAGAGCCTAATAGAGAAACGTAGGAGGCAGGTATGTACTATGTACAGCCGACTAATGTTTGTGAAGTAACTCGATCTTCTGACGTGCACAAAGAACATTAATTACCTTTGTACTTTGTTTCACTACGATGAAAAAAATGTTTGCAAAGAAAATGTTTAAAAATGCTAGAATAAACTGTGTCTTTAAGCAACTGGCGTTAGGTGAGCGAGGTACATTCTCTGCTTTTGCCTCACCCCCATAGGAGGTTCAAGACTTTGTAAGCTGATGACATTAATAACCACCTCATCTTAATTAAAACTAGGAGTTACCACTGCTTGAATATTTGTAATACATTTATGATGCTGATTTACGGTACACTAGCTTTTGACCCAAATAAATATTTCAACGCGATCTCGAAAAATTGACTATGAATTAGACGAGGTTAACGTATTATGGCGGTAGAAGCGACAAATCTGTGCTATAAAAAAATCTAAAGGTGCATGACCGAGGTATTTTTATATAAAAAGACAATATTTATTGACAAGTCGGCAACAAACTTTTATTAGCCCTTTTGTTAACATTATTATGTCGATACAACTCAAGTGCATTAATGTATTCTTAACAAATACGTAATTGCTAAGAATACGTTAATAACGGCTAAGTTTGATTACCCTGAAAATGGTTCTTACGAGTTAATTTAAAAGATATGCGGTATATAAGACATCTTTAAAACTGTATTTTTAGTTTTTACTATATTTTTACATCTTTTAAAGAGGAATTATTTTTTCCATACATATTTTGTTTTCCTCAAAGAATACTAATTTCCCCAGTCTTTCCATAATTTCAACTGTTTTTTTCTAACCAATAGTTCCTGGTATTATCGTTTAAACAAATTTTCCAGTTTTATAATATTAGTCTAGATGCAGTATAGAAGATAGATCGCAAGTTTGTCTACAATGTTAGTGGTTATATTATCAAAAACCGGGAAGTCATGTCTAGGCACAGTGAAAAATAGATCAAAGCATATCGCTGGGCCAACGAGCGTAAACGTGCGAGCTTAAGCGAATATTAAGCCGGTGCGCCAAAGACTGCCCGATGGCTTGGCGAAGCGGCGAAGTGTCCCTTGCAAATAAACGAGGTTCGGACCCGCCGAGCGATAAGCATATTAGCGCCAGCTATATATAGCTTCCAGGGGGACGCGATTAATTGGAGTTTTGTGGCAATTGGTGTTCAGGGATCAAAATTAACTAGGCCGCCAATTGAACAGTATTTTCGCTGGAATAAAATCCACCTATCATGTTTCACACAATATTCATTTAACGGGGCGAGCTTAATCTGTCAATATGCTTGTATATATTGACAGATTAAGCTCGATAAATACTGTCAGTAGTTTACGCGAGTAGTCCACATTTAAATAAAACACTAAAACCGCGTTTAAACGGCGATATATATTAGTTAAACTTCTTTGAAAATTATTACATCGTGACCGTAGTTCAAATAACATTTGTCGTTGTGTGTGTGTGTGTGTTTTTTTTTTTTAAACCGTTACAGTATTTTATTTAAAAACATATAATTTATTATTTCTGGTGCAATATGCTGTATTTTTTTCATAAAATTCGCACCGAAGCTGCATTGGGCACCTCCATAATTTGTGTTATAAATACATAAATACTAGAAGCCCTTTCAGCAGCTTATTGAATTACAAGAATTCTTAAAGGACGCGCTCAGACAACGTTATGGATATTCAAGAACACTCAATAACAAAATTCTTCCAACTGGGATAGAGTTTCTTAGGAACAATTTATATAAGAAACAGTAGAGTATGCTTAGCAATATTAGACTACTAGCAACAGACTCCCCTTTGTACAAAGTATAACTCTATACAACAGTTGCAAACGCTCTTTCTAGCGTAGCTTTAAGACATGCTTCATGCCATATTTAAATCTAAACTATCGCAGGGCAAAAGAAATTGAGTTAAGTTTTAAGAGATTATCTCTATGTTATATAATCGCTAAGAACTATTCAACAAGTTGCCAAGTATGAACACACGTAAATTAAAAAGCGCCATATGCTATTTCTAATAGGTGACGATACAAATTTTTTTCTTTTCAAACCACCACAAACCCTATTTTACAAACAAACCAAACACCTAACAAGAAAGAATACTCAAACTCTTCGTCTTGCACTAGACTTACGCTATTTCACTAGTAGTTAGGTGTAACATTGTTATATATACCTTAAATTCTAAACAAAAAACTTATCAAAGTATATGAAAAACTATCTTCACTAATACCATAAACATAGCAAAAAATTATTAAAATCAAACTGAGTCACATATTATTTTTAACCATCCACTTTATAATGGCATAAAGGTTTTTACTTACTTCTCAAAAAATTTGCCCTTTCGAAGTACATGTTTATACACGCGCCGGCGGCTTCTTTTGAATCTAAAAATCTTCCCCACCCAAATATAACATTGACACTATTTGATTGCGCCATAGGGGTGTATACTCATGCAAAATAATTCGAATTTTTTTACACCTTTATATTATTGTTTGATTTGCGGCGGCATCCTTATCATAAGCCGGCACTCGAGGCGGCCGGTAGAAAGCAAGGAAACTACTATAAACAAAGGAATTATTTTAATTCCAGTCATTTCCAATTGAGTTGCTTCGAGCCTAACTTAATAATTGTTTTTACTAATTTCGTTGTTTTCTAAAAACTATCCTTACATTAATATGATACAAATTCAAATTATTCATCGATAAGTTGAGTTTTACAAATTAAGCTTATAAATCATAAATGTTTATTAAGAAAATTACTTCATGGAAAATTATAGAAGTTATTTTTCGAATTTCTTATTAAATCTTCAGTTATTTATTAATCTACTGATCTTTACTATGCTTATTCATTCAATATATTGTTCCAATTCTAATACGTTTTTCTAGGATTTAAAGTAAACTTTAATAAATAGTAATAACTAATAGGTAATTCAAACTGCAAACTCTTGCTCAAACCAAACCAACCAAACTGGAGCGCAAACCAAACCAAACCAAACGTTATTGGCCAAACCAAACCAAACTGGCTAAGTCTGTCTTGTTCTTGCGTTTGGGCAACACTAACTAAAACAAACTTAGCAAAAAACGTACGTGCATACCGCAAGGGACATTTCGTACGTCAATTTCATTGCTAATTTTCTTATATTAGTCCCACGCAGGACAAGTATTTCGAAAAAACCTTAAAGCAGACTTAGATTTAGATTTCCTATTTAATCTGATAATCCAGACGGATGAGATTCAACTAAATATTGACGTTATTTACTCTTTATTAGTATTATATTTTTACTATGTCACTTTTTCACTCAACAGTTTGCAAAAATAATACCATTTTGCCTATATTAAGCTGAACCGAGTTTAGCTAGATAAATAGAAGTGTTGTTATTGTTTCAAGTGTTGTGACGATGCCTTAAATACTTGAATATTTGTCCCGCTTCTGTAGGAAATGCGTAAATAAGCTGATATCGAAGTATCTTGCAAATTAAGAAATGGTGCGTAATTTATAAATAATTGAGGCCGCTAGAGTAGCCTAACTGCAATTTTATGACTTGACTTATTAATATTTTTGTTGTCTAAAAATGTTAATCTAAACATTTCTGACACAAATAATAGTACAAATTCATTTTCACCTAGGTTAATTGCGCATTTTCGTTTTATTCCTTATTCCGCTCAACAGTTATTTAAAAAAGAATCAAAATATTATGTACACCTGAATACATAAGCTATGTTATATGGGGAATCTAGAAATATGACAATAGGTAAAGTTTATTTTCTTTTCAATGTTGTGTTATCTGTGCACTAACGTTTTGACAGGTACCGCGTCCCAATAAGATGGCTACTCAATTTTCCGCAAATAACCACTAAGCCAAGTCCTTAGTATTTTTAATAGAACATACGTGACATTTACTAAAAGCAGAAATAACACTACAAAATTTGCATCATTAGACCATCTTATTGATAACAAGCAATAACTTAGTAATAGATGAAAATAAAATCCTCTTGCACATTCCTTGAAGCACTAATGCCCTCTAACGAATCTATAGCGAGCTAGATTCAACCCCTTTGCCTATTTCCCATTAGTGCGTAGAATCATCAAAGTGGGCGGAGCGCTAGGCGGCATCGGCCCTGGAAACTAGGCTAAGTCTCATTCGTCATTCAGCCCCCAGCAAATAGTGCTATAACACTAGCCTGCACCACGGAGACGTGTAACGTAGGGCGCCATTTAATATGGACATTTTATATTGAACTATATTTTACAGACTCGTTGGTCCAGCGGTTAAGAGTGAGGATTAATGGAATACCATTACATTCAGTGTGTCATGGAACAGATTTCTGTGACAAATATAGTTGATTTGAAATCTGTGCTCTGCCCGAAAACAATTTATTGATTCTCGGGATTCGAACTCAGTACATCTGGTACTTAATGCGACTGTGATATCCAGATAGATTTCACCAGCTATAAATTTTAATTAGGTTTTTTAAATTTGTAACCTAACTTTATCTGTTTTAATTTGTAATTTTTAGTCATGTTTATTTTTATCCTTACTTAATATATTTAGAATAAGTTATGCATACCATAAGTTACATACATAAACAGTAACAATTATTATTGAAAATAGATGTAAGTTTAATTATGTACGTAGTTGGTAAGCCTTGTATAAATGTGTTAACAAGTATTAGATTCGATATCTGAACATAATGTAGTTTAGAAAAATGTTCACTACTGCAACTAATACTGCTAAAGTACTAGAAAAGGTTTGTTTTTTATTCCTATTTTAATGTTATTTACACCATCGCTAAGTGGGCTGACGTTTACTATAGAAACACGTAGCTTTACCCTTTGAAACAAAACAGTGCCTTTAAACGCGTCCACGTTGGCGCACTGTAAATGACGTCACGATTCAAGTGACTTTACAGATTACACAAAAGCTGGAAGGGGAGATGATAAACGATTAAAAAACTGTGTGAATGGGGCTCTAGACACAAAGGGAATTGGCCCAGCGCCCCTATAAACACGTCGCATTTTCGTGTAATATGGTAGGCGGTAAAGTTATTGCTTTCGAATGTATCAACTTCAATTTATTGTAACGTGAAGTTCCTTTTGCCTTCGTTTCAATGTTCTGGACGTTCTTGGCACATAGAACACGTTAAAAAAACGCAACCTAAATACCCAAAAACGGCACAAAAAAGCAAACAAATATGTCAAAACAGATGGCGTTGGCGTACCGTACTCGGTTTAGAAATTAAGGACGCCCGACATCTTTAAAAAGTTACCTTATGTAATTTGTAAGCTGTTGAATGTTTTTTTTTTCATTAAAATTCAAATAAACGAATAATTTAGTAACCAGTAAAGATTAAGACAGCTTAATTTAAGAAAGAATACAAATACACTTAAATAAGATTTTACACTAATATTTTAAACTTTCATGACAATAAATACACAAAAGGCTTCATTCGATACGTTATTATGTATATTCGAGTAAAACGAGATGAATAGAATTATGTATTAGGACGAAAGCATCTGTTCGCAAAAAGGGCAGAGCACAAAGCTACGGCCGTTAAGCCCTCGACATAACGGTTTATTCAGATAATTAAAGTTACTGAGGATTTTTAATCATATGTTTAATCTGAACCGTTCTCTTGGACCTCGAATTCCTTACTTAAAATAGTCTGGATGCTCTGCTTAGTAGTTACCGTAACGTTGAAGCCAAGAACGTTTTATTTCAAATTATTACAAAAGCTAATTGATATAAAAATGTAAAAAGACCAAAAAAATATTTCATATAATATCAAAACCTTAAGAGGAAAAGCTTTTATGAAAAATAAACAATTTAGATAGTATTAATACAAAGCAAACAATTCTCACTAAAGCTGCAAACTTGAAGGGTGATTAGTGTTTCTTAGAAGCAAAGTCTTAATTCTTAAGCCTATTAAGAAATTGAAAATATATTTACGTTATTAGTACCTCATTGAACGTCTTGTCGACAATTTGCTAAGTAAAGACCCAAGTGAGGATTTTTTCATAGCAAATAAATTCAATTGTAGCTTTCGTAAAAAAATATTTTTTGTTGAATTAATTTAAACAATATATAATCTCAAAATACAGTTTGGTAGCAGATACACAGAACAGGGAAGTTTTAGTATTGGATTATGTTTTGCGTCTTTGGATTGTGGCCCCTATACATTTTTTGAAATTTTTCCACATTTTAAAACTAATGCACGAATCTTTTTGGACTTATTTAATAAAGAGGTGTATATATTTTATCTTGCCTCATTAAAATCGGATACTATTCAAAAAAGTGATAGTTGTGTCTATGCCTATGCAGAAGAAATCACGGGCATATTAAATAATGAGATCTTATTATAACCGTGTATGTCAAAAGAAAATATCGCACAAACACTAGTGTGTTAGTTCTACGATAATTGCACGAGATAATCATTGGTTATCCCAATTTTTATAGGAGCAGTCAAATAACACCACTTAATTGGGCTTCAGAATATTGGAAGAGATAAGAGCTATTAGCACAGTTATAAGCGTACCCAACAGTACCCGACAGTATTTTTTGAGACGATGTGGACAAAATACATAGTTTCTTACCTATTCTTTGAATATTTCCCACAACTGGGACTCCGCTCTATAATGGTATAGTTGAAATCCAGTATCAGTTCATAAATAGTAAGTTAAATAAATCATTTACGGAGTTTAAACTACCTGTTAATGTAAAATTGTATTAAATGTAGTCTGTGGTTAATTTTATCTGCCGAAATTTTTCCTTAGTGCTTTTTGTATATGTGGTGTTTTCTTGTCATAATGCGACTAATAATAATGATGATTACAAAGTGTTAGGAAAATTTAAGAACATACATTTGAGGGCGATGTCTTCGTTGTGCATAAGATCCATATTTACTATAGCCATATATATTTATTATCCCGCTTGTCGTCTGTATCAGAATGTAGTTTATATATTATGTACTTACCGCCAGCCGCCTGGGCCACCGCCTCCGGCTGTCGAAGAGTCGGTGCTGGTCTCCTTCAGTTGAGTTGCACTGGCACTTTGCAAGTTGGGGGCGTTCATTCTGCAAATTCAAATAACATTAATACAAGTAGCTAAGCATTCATGGACGTCAATAAAATAACTTAATTTAGCGACAAAAAAAATTAAAGCCTCAATATTAAAAACTGTCTATAGTTTACGCGAGTAGTACACATTTAAATAAAACACTTTAACGGTTTAAATCGCGATATATTAATTAAACTTATTTGAAAAATCATTTTCAAGTGAGTTTAACAAAAAAAACTAATATATTGCGTTTTAAACCGTTAAAGTGTTTTATTTAACAGCCTCAATATTGCTTGGTTTTGCAAAGTGTAGCTTGTCCTCTCTTAATATGGACAGAAAACTGCTCTTGTAGTAAACATTTTGAAAATGTACTTCTATCTATACTAATATGAAGCTGAAGAGTTTGTTTGTTTGAACGCACTAATCTCAAAAAAATCTGGTTTGAATTGAAAAAATATTTTTGTGTTGATTATGAATCTGGTGAAAATACAGCAAAATTAATGGCCAAGGTGTATATTATGATAATAAGAGAGAAAAATGGTCTATTTTGTTATTATTATTGAACACGCATTAATAAAATATCCTAAAACAGTTTATTTTCATACAACGTCTTAAACCGGACTGTAGGTTTCTTAGTCTTAAGTTCATTATAAAGAGTTTATTTTGGAGGTATTATAAGGTTGTTTAGTAGGAAACACTTTAAAAGATAAAATATGTACTTTAGCATCATATCCAGTCACGGTAAAATAGATTTTTCTAGATGATTCGTCTGCCGCGGCCAAAGGACCATTGTTCCAGTCACAATGGGCCGTTATTTGCTGCAGGTAAACACGGCCTTCCCCGAATTTAGAATCAGTGTTTAAGGTTTTGCGTTTGCCATAAGCTTCTGGATGACTTTCGAAATTTTTCAGTTAAAATACAAAACTTGTACGCAATCATTGGTCCAAAAAATTTGGTACAATAGTGCGACTTATTTAAAAGGTGATGGATGTATTTACAGTCTCTGCTCAAACTCAGGTCTTACCGGCAGGTTATTAACGCTTCAAACCACCTATATAAAATCAAATACATTATTAAAAGCATTGGAACTCGTGTCGTTCGTGTTATGTTACAAAATAACAGCTAGGGGAAATTGTGTGCATATTACTTGTTTAACTTTAACTGCCGTATTGTAATTAATTTTGATTACATGACCCTAAAAAAAAATTGCTACACCTCTAGTGTATTAAAATTGTATAAGGACTGGCCTTATATATGTTTAACTTGCATTTAATTCAGACTTGTAACGAATATGGGGAGGAATGGACAAATTGTTAAGTGGTAAACTATGTAAAAACTACATACTAAAAATAAAAAACTTCGATCGTCAAAGCCGACCGGTTTCACCTCCTACGCGTCGGTAATATTTTTTCGCGATTTCCCCAAATTCTAACCCAAGATCTTACAGTGCCACGGAGGCGGTGGTAGGTTACTAAAACATGTGATTATAATTACTTACATTTTCTTGTTAGCAACGGATGGCTCAACAATCAGGGGGAGGCCACAGTATGAATATCCTGGAAAGAAAATGTTTGGAAATATTATTTTTAATTTTAATGTTAAAAAAATTATCCAGTCATCGTTTACGAAAACGCCCTGCTCTCGATATGCTCTCATATCGATAGGAGATTTTAGCTATTTTTGCCAGTGCCTGTATTATAAACAAATATGACACTGACATAGAAATACGTAGTCATCGAAAAATTATACATAATTACAGCGACTCTTCGTTTAGGTCGATCGTTCAGGACCAAAATAGCCTATGTCTACTTTTCCACTTAATGTATGTACATTAGTGTATCCTTAATCGAATGTTTTGCTTAGTCAGATTGTGAAAAGAGACGTGTGTCTTGCGTTCATAATATCAGGTGTATTGCTGTTTGGATTTAGTACAGTTTCTTACCGTGAAGTTTATCAATGGCCCGGTCGGCCGCAGACTGATCAGGGAAGTCCACGAAGGCGTAGCCGCCACGTTTTACCGAAATATCAGCGACCGTCAGATTGTGTTCCGCGAACAGCTGCCGTACAGCCGCTTCGTCCGCCTCCATCGGCAAGTTGCCGATGTACAGCTTGTTCATAGCGGAAACGTTCTTCAACTGTTCACTCATGGTTCGAGGGTTTACGATCTGGTGAAGATGGGTTCAAGAGCTATAGAGCGATGCCCGGTTGTGTTTTGTCTGACTGTCCTGACGCAAATGTCGGATCATCCGGATTCGAATGATGAATTTCGAGATGGCCATGCCTTGTTATTTTGCAAGGAGGTTTCACAATTGAGGTTTTACTTGACTTTTCTGTTTATTATTAACAAAAATATTTATGTAGAATATTAATATTTATAAAAGTAAGCATAACACAATTTTAAAATATGATCACAGGAAACGGTTTTTTCTTAAGTATAAAGGAGGTTATTAATAAACAAATGCGTAATGCTAAAAGCGCGGAAATTATATGGGAAGGAAACCTAGAAATAATGAGAATTGAGCATTTCAAGTTAGGCACAGAGTATAAGAACATCAAAACAAATAGTGTTTTGATGTTCACCACAGGCTTTGCACAAATTATTATACATCTGATAATTATTCTAGTAACGGGGGGAAGGGTTACTGGAATTCTCGTTGCCTGCCTGCCGACGCTCAGCTAACCATAGTGTACACACGAAGCATCGTATAATGGGTTGTGGCTGTCAAATACATCTTTATATACAGACACAATAATATTAAATAAATAGTAGTTAGTGAAAACCAAATGCATTCAAGTTTCCTTTTTTTTTAGGTTTTACACCTCTTTAGACTCTACAGGTTTATAGTAATTATCTAAGTTGAAGACCATGACAGATATAAAGACATACTTTGATACTACAACCCATGCTGCAAGACCGCACTCATAATGTCTACGTTATGGCTTTTACAAGTACGCAGAACCTCAAAGAGAAATAAATCGAGCGCAAAGCCCAGTATAGAAATATATTGACCTTCATTCGAATGGCAAAGAATGACATTGAATACCCGTTCCATTAGTATTAGACGTCCCATCTAATATTAATTATGAAAATCGCATGGTAACAGGAGCGGGTTGAGTAACACGATCCAGCAAACAGGATGAGGCAACATCTCGTATTACCTGAGAATTTGTCAAAATGTCAATGGTTAATTGATAAAGATGCCCATTGTGCGGGCGCAGTTGGCGCGCTGAAATGCAATACCTTTTTGAACACCGTTTAATGGGTAATGCATAGGATAAACAGTGCTTGTGCTGCTTAATCAGGTTCAAAATATTTCAAGCTCAGACCGTAAATCTATATATAGGCACTAACAGTTACCCACTGGTCAGCGATCATTACCATTACCCATATATTCAACATCGTTTTATCGAATCGAATTGAACCCTGCGAAAATTGTATAGCCAATCAGTTAATAATATCTTTAACTACTTGACAAAACTAGCAGGCATTTATTATTCTCACAGCACACGTAACGAAACTTTTATTAATAATTTAATCTATACTAATATATAAAACTGAAGAGTTTGTTTGTTCAAACGCGCTAATCTCAGGAATTACTGGTTTAAATTAAAAAATTCTGAACAAAAGGGAAAAAATACTTATCTTTGGTAAATTCCGTTGCGTGGGCTGCGAAAACGGTTCAAAATAAAATGTGTAGGAAAGAAGGTTCTTAAGTCTATCTTTTAAAATTAACTTACAAAAACGACACGAAGCGACCGACGTCGTGGGTGACATAATTGTAATTTATATAAATGAGGTTTGCAAAAACATTTTTTTATGCTCATAACAACTACCCATTCTACGCGGACGAAGACGCTGACACAGCTAGAACGTGGGCTAAAGTTAAACGATGTGATCCTAAAAACTTGGTGTCCGGATTAAGATTGTTTTATTTTATTTTTAGTTAGCCAAAGAAAACTTTAATATAGTTTAGAGTCAAGCGATAAAACTGAATAAAACAACGTCAAACTTTTGAGGATATGTTTATTCACTGTTAATTCTTGAGCAATAGACAATAATTTCCCCACTTCTACGATAACTGAAGCTTAAATTACTAATTATCTTAATTCATCACAATTTATAAAATCCTAACTTAGCTACAAAACAATCACTATCTAATAGAAAAAAGTAAATGGAGCTTAAGGCAATTGAATAAACAATTAAATATAATTGGCACGAACGTCACAGCCTCTTTTTAGGTATTTAGATTTCAAAAAAAAAATAATACTTATCTCTCTATATCACAAAATTCACATAATTTGTCTATACATACTTATATCGATTACATATTAACTTATATATATTAGCTGTTTATTTAATATTGCGTAGTAATCATAAACAGTTATTGGAGAAATAAATTTAAAGTTTCCTTATGTAACTTAACTAAAAGTAAATCGTAATAAATTAAAAAATAAAATAAAAACAATATGTATAAAATGGCACTATAAGAATCAGGGGCATATAATAAAAATGCACCTAACTTACATATGCTCTCAAACATTATTTTAACTGGAAGAAAATATCATCGTAAAAAAACCTTTCGAACACAAAAATGTCTCCTAAACGGTTCGTTTGTAACGAGTGAAATTATAAAAAGTATCGTATTCTACTTATCGTGTCCATATTATTTGCATCCAGACGAAAATCTAACTTGCGATTATTAATCAGTTCTTTCACACTATTTGCCACAGGCAGAACCGAAACACCGTGCTGCAAAGACCATAGGAGAAGTACCTGCGATGGAGCTACCTTACGGCAGATCGCGATATGTTTAATTTCAAAATGATTCAGCAAACTACCACTTAAATCAGACGCGAACAAGTTGGTCGCTTGCGTTTTGATTCCCAATGCGTTGCAATAATCCATGACATCCATTATACGATGTCCGGATATCGGATTAAACTGTATCTGAAAGATCATCATAAAGTGAAAACTCCTCCGTCGATGGTTAACAGGTTGACTTAAGTTAAGAAGGCAAGATCGTGGTGTTCAATTGCGAGGAAATACTCATTTCGGCGGGACATACACATTAACAAGGGATGTGTATACATTTATATATTTCTAAATATGTACAACAGCTTTTACCTGCGACTGCATAGGATTGTAAATTCCGAGATTAGCATGTACATGCAATACATGTACTTTATAGACGAACAAACATGCAGAAAATATTGTAATTAGTGCTTTGTATAAATGTACAGTTTAACAGACACACGACTTGTATTGCTTAATTCTGACACAACAAGGGTTGTGAATTACAACATTATGAATGCATATTAAATAAATCATGTTGTATCAACTTAGTTACATTAAATAAATCATTATTACAGTTTAAAACGCGATGTAACTTCGGGCCGGAGTTAAGATTGAATTAATTAAGATATTTCGAGTGTTCCCATAGTAGAAACCCTATACCGCGAAACGAGATGACAGTATAAGTCAATTCTGTATGAACCCAGATACTGTATCCAAATACCAACTACGACAAAACAGATGGCGCTAACGTGGAAGATTTGATATTGACATTAGGGACACCTTTCATCTCCAGTCTTCCCGTGAAAGGATCCGAAACATTGGGCCGTAGTAAAGATAGTTCATTTCGCGTTTTAAACTGTTAAAAGTGTTTTATTTAATTGTATACCTCTCGCGTGAATAGCAGACAATGTTTAAATATAAATACCTGATTTACGGTTGGAAGACATTTAATATTTCTGTATCTAAGCCGGTGAATATCGTCTACTGAAAAATTGTAACTGCCTAGACTCCTCGTGTAGCCGAAGTCCTTAATTGTTTCAGCAACCCACCACGTGTCCAATTTATCATTATTAGTTTTGCTCGAAATGTCCACCAACATCAAATCGATGTAGTACATCCCCAAACGGTCTAAATCAGCTTCTATTTGGTCTAATGCGCTGCTGTACGATCTGTAGCTGCATTTTCTTGGTATCATTTCTATAACAAGGACAAAATATATAAATCTGAAGACTTTGTTCATATGTTTGAACGCGCTAATCTCCGGATCTACGAGTTCAAGTTTGATTGAAAAATTATTTTAGTGTTGGTTACATCATTTATCGAGGAAGACTATGGCTAAGGCTTTTCAGATAAACTTGCAAGAATGAGGGACGGATTGCAAGGGACGCAGCCGACGTCGTGGGTAACAAGTTTACGTGGCTTAAGATTATAAAGATTTATTTATTTTCACACAAATATATGCTGCCATTACAGATATAATCCAATTCGACAGTAATACACAATATATAAAAAAAAATTCATATGAAAACTGTTTTAATAACTATTTTCATTAGTTCTAGTAGTCATTTCGTTAAGAACAATATTTGCTATTTCACTCCAATACCCCGTGAAAATGTCAACCTTTTGGTGTACAATATTCACCACTCGTATTGTTTGCGTGATGAGCGCCCTGGCCATCAAATTCGAATGCGCGAAAGGCACAACCAGCAACGGTGGAAGATGCCGTTTTCCCACGTATCCGTCCGGCACACTGAAGTAAAGCCAGCGCAAAATAACGGCGTTATGTTCTTTACCCCAAAGAATTTTTATTAAATAAGATGAAGGGGTTTACAAAATAACGATTTTCGCGTTGTTCAAAAATAGGGCGTTTATATAAAATACTTTCGTTAGCCTTAGTAGTAGTGCCTTAGTACTGATAGCGAATTTTAATTAAAAGAAAATGTATTGAAAAGTTTTTGCTTGTCTGATCAGAAATAGAAGCCCCAAAATGGTAAGACGATGTGTGAAAAATAATACATGGTTATTATAACATAATTGGACTTACTGACTACGGATGATATCGTAACTTCATCTCGCATTATATCATATCTCTTGAGTTGTTTTTTGAGCGCTTCAGCGATGTGAGGTTTGTTTCCGTCCAAGTCTAGAAACATAACAGTTGGTTAAAGAGCGCAAACTATAATAAATTACAGGAATTAAGAAAGAATCTTGAAGAATGTTGACAGTCTCCTTGGTTTTATGGTAGTACATATTGTTTGGCTAATAATCAACAGGTCTTGGGTCCAACACATTTATAATAAATGTATAATTTTTATGAAACATGTTGGACTACGTCTGAAATCTGGATTTTAAATTAGCGGAGGGAATATCGAAATTCCGTACTTTTCTGTCATCCTCTACTACAAAAGAACCGTCCTTCCCCACCTAATACACTTCGCATCAACACATGAGCAACATGGTCGCCTAGAGACCGAGCTGTCGTGGATTTGCGTCCTGTCTGCAGCATAAACGTTTCAAATTTTCTTAGCTTAATCATGTTCTCGAGATTATGATAATTTTCATTATTACTACCCCTTGAATGTTCAGTAATATCTGGCAAACGACTTACTGAAGTGACGATATCCATTATCTAGGGCTTTGCCGATGTAATAGTTAGCTTGAATTTCAGTCCAATATACTTTTGACGTGCCCACTGTAAAGTATTGAGGAAGAATTTTAACAAAAATATTCATATACTAAAAACACACGAATACAAGAAAAACGTTGTTTAAAGACCACCCACTCGAAAACCCACTCGGGGGTTTTCGAGTGGGTGGGAAATTTTCCGGGATTCGAAGATAAAACGTAGATCCTTTTTTTTCGCATCACTAAGTCGATTATGAATTATACGGTTATCAAAGTGTGATCATAGATCTCACTTATTAAAAAATCTACTTTGATTGAAAAAAAATAAAATAAACCGACATCCACCACCGCGTTATATGCTGCTGCTCTAACCAATTGAGCTAACGTGATAGATACGAAGGGTTTGGAGTAGACTTCTCAATGACTCACGACAGCTACCTTCTGGTTGAGTTTAAATTATTTGCATTGTGGAGAACTTTACACCCAAATGGGTTGTAAATAACATTAGGCTTCTCATGGTGAGATTTTAGTTTAAGAAATGGATAAATGGCCTGGTCATGTAAAATTTTAAAATAAAATATTTTTTTACAAAAATGTTAAAATTTACATAGAATAAAATTATCGTCCAATCTAAAAATTTTTTTTTTATCTAACTAAAATACATACTTTGGACAATTTTTTTTTCTCTTTAGCTTACTTTTTATGGTTAGTTTTTTTTGTTAATTTTATAAATATGTATTCCAAAAATATAACTATTATACTTAAAATGTCGCGTGAATATATTTAGCGTCGCGTATTCGAATTCCGATGTCCCAAACAAAATTAAGTACGAAATCACGTCTGTATAATATGTTTAAGGATATCTTTCATAAAGCAAAATATTGTATCATCTGTAAAAATCATAATTTTGAACTTACTTCCTAAGCAAGGTATTTTGGTGCCATCTATCAAGTTTAGAGACAGGCTTGCAAAATTTGGAGTAGAAGTTCCAGATTGTTGCAAATCAGCCATGCTTGTACCTGTAACAAAACCCAATTCAAATTGCACTAATGTTCTAGCGGTACATACATGATTTGACGTAAAAATACGCCCTAGATAGAATGTTCTAGAACTAAAAATTTTACCTTTACATGCATCGAATGATACGATGTACGTTTTTTTTTTATTTTGGAAAAATATACTATTATTTAATATGGGTTTCTTTATTCGGGTGAATATTTTAACTGTGTCTTGAAATATAGAATCGTAATTCCAAATTAAATATCACAAAAGATTGTATAAATTTTACTGGCGACCATGTAGGTAGTTAATTATTAAAAAAAGTGTTATGTATTACGGATTTACGCACTTAAGTAAAAGGATATTACATATTAGAAATAGTATTAAAGTAAAATGTGTAGGAATGGTCTAATTTATTAGTATTTAAAGCACCTAACAGCTTTGTATTAGGTAGGTATATAATAACAAGGTTAATTTTAAGCAAAAGTGCTACTTACTGAAAAAGTAATTTCGTTTACAAATAACACCACTAACACAAGAAAAGGAATAACACGAAGAAAACTATACTAATCTATAACTAATCTAAAAATCAAGAAATAATCACAAAAATTGCCGGCGAGTAAAGTTTTAAATGTGGCTAATTGCAGAAAATATGTCTTCCATAGACAATAGAGTATAATGATTCAATTGGATAGTACATCTACAGATAATAAAAAATGAGTCTTGTCATAGTATGGACATTATCGAGTCATATTGATAAAAATAAAAATAACCGACATATGGCCGTCTAATTAGTATATATTTTCGTATTAAAAATGAATATTCGTATATTGATGCAAATTAAACCAATTATTATCTGGGTTTAATTAATAGATAAATATAGTACTTATTATTTTTAACATTTGACATTCGTCAATCGATTATCGACTCGATGTATTAGAAATGATTAGATGATGACTGGTAAGGAAAAAGCGTATTTTATTAATTAGATAAGTCAAAAAGCAGATGTTTTTTAAATTTTCCATTAAAAAAAAATCTGCAAGCGACTTTGTTGAGATAAAATAATGGCCTAAGGTCAACACAGTTATTTAATAAACTTTATTATTTAGTAAACTAAAGAAAATTTTTTTGTCAGGTAATCGGTTTCTTTCCCTGTCCATCTAACAAAAAAGTCTCGTGCTCTTTGTTGTCTAAAATTTTATTAATTTTTAGATATTTCGTTATTTTATGTTGTTACATAAAGTTACGTTACTTTTTCTATATGATGTAGGTATTAAGCAGACAAATCTATGTGCCTGCACGCCTACTGTTATCTTACATGCTAGTAATATAGGTACTTATGTGTCTGTCTCATGAAACAAAGAATGCAGTGGATGTGCATACGCGTGTTAAATATTCTCAATTTAGGATACGTAACGCAAACTTTTTTCCAGTCGTCACAGACTCGTGTTTAAAATTCTAACATCGTTTGATGAGGTTCTAATGCCGCGAATAGTTTAGTAAAAACCAACCTTATTTCATATTGATAAAGTTCATTTTTAATTTATCGCACTCACCGCGAAATTTCTAGAAACTTCTACGCTACTCGGTTTTGTTAGATGCAGATTTTATCGATAATTATTTTTAATTACTTTCTGATATTGAATTATTTTTTATTTTAATTTACGACAACATAGCATGCGGGCGTACCTACAACTTACAAGGAAAAAATTTTCGTGAAACATTCTGCCATATAAGCAGTTATTTAAAATTAGACAATTATCTACCTTTCTCTTTTAGCTTCGTTGAGTAATTTTAAAGAATAAAGCGTGCGACCGTGTTATAGAATATTTAAAAAGCTTAATACGGTTAACTTCATCATTTCAATATCTTCTGAACTTCAATATTTGTATGTTTATTATTTAATTTTATTACCGACCAACAAAAAAACATTTTTTATATCGATAGAGTAAGTATTGAGTAGAGAGACTGTTATCTATAACGCTTCTATTACCGTTATTATTATCAGTAAGTTTTTAAAATGGCCTTAAATTGATACCACTGAGAATATTGCCATCTATAGTAGAGTAGCCAAATTAACTTGCCAAACGGCCTTGAATTATAAATAATTTTTGCAGTAATGCGATATACATATGTCAAAACTTATTTCCATGTAAAGAATCTGCTGTATAAAGTGATGATAAAAAAAAAATATAATACTTATTTAATGACTTATTTAAATTCAATGTTTGGTTTTATTTAATAAAGCGTCTAATAGTTACAGGGAACAAAAATTTGAAGGTTAAATTACTTTGCATTATCTGTCTTAAACGTTTGTTGCTCGAAGATGTTATATTCTACATTAAAATCTTTCGATAATCTGTGAACTTCAGTTGTCTATTACTTGATTTTACTTGTTGATTGGCTAAATTATACATAACATAAACTCGTAGTACCGTAAATATTTTCCTTAACATGAACAAAACACAACGAACGTTAACTTTATTATTATTATATAAAAATTTTGGCTTAAGCCATGTTTAGACATAAAGGATATGTTTAGAACAACTAAAACAATAGATAATCTAATGAAATTAAATAAAACCTGTGACCCATACGACACAAGAAGCTGCTGACTGATAGTTTGGACGTTATAATTTGTAAGAATAACAATAAGAATAAGTTTTAATTTAAAAATATACGTGTGATTGTGTGAAACCCCTTTTACCCCTCGTGGGGCATGGGGCGAACACATTTCTGTGTCCGTTTCACTGATCCGTTCTTTTAAGAGGCAAGTAGTTGATCAGACTTCTGTGCCCTGCCCGACCGAAGCAATTTTATGTTTCCCTGGCATTCGAACACAAGACCTCTCGCACTTAAAGGCAATGCTACGCAATACGTTTAACCATTTGGCTACAGGGGCGGTTTTAATTTTTAGGTATTATCTTTGTAGTAGGTACATGTGTTTTCATATTGGAGATATTGATTTGTCGTATTTGTCTAGATGACGTAGCCATATTGCTTGCGGCTTTTGTTTTCATATTATGATTGTCTGAGGGATGTTGCAGTTGAAGCGGCTAAGGTCTGTACCAAAGCAAGCTGATTAATAATATAGGTCCTGTTTATATATCTGCAGTTCCAAGTTAACTTTTATAAAATGAAAACAATCAGCTTAAGCAGGTGTATAAACTGATTGTTTTCATTATGTTGTTGCTAAAGAAATCATACAAAATCATTGACTTTTATTTAATTTTATGAATAAGTAGAAAAAAGTTCATTGAAGGAAAGAATTATGATGAAATCTGTTTTCATCATTAAGAAGGTTTTAAACCCCTAGTGAAAAGTTTATTACGAAATACTATGTGGTTAAATGTTGACAGCAAGTGAATTATGTTTAATGGGACGACAATCTTGTTTAGGTTTTTACATATCATATGGAACGGAGTATTGTACTTATAGTTATTGTTGTGATGCCGAAATATTTTTATTTCTTAGAATTATGCATGAATATTTAATCGCAAGCTTTTTGGGCTATTATTTGTGAAATTAATGTTAAACCAAAATAATTTACACAGGATATTGTAGCTAATTTGTTTTTTTCACAGGGAAATATGAGCAAAAAGGATGAGATGATGGACAACTGGAAGTATGTTTTAATTAATTACTTAATTATTATTATGTAAGAAATAAGAGTTGTTAAGATTTTATACATATAGATAAAACATATGACGATAGATAAATCAACGACTTGTGAGTTCAATCCCAAATGTTTCCAATTTATATCTGATTAATTTTTCTGAAACATGTCGGACATAGGACAACAGTACATCTTGTTGAGATGTCATATGGCTTGTCTGTCCTCTTCTATCATTAAAAAAAACCTTTCTGGATTGACTGTGCAAGGTTTTCTCTGTATTAAAGGTATAACTTTTTTTAGGATTTAAGATTTTGTAACAGGACCATACATAGGGAAAATATAAAATAAAGTGAATTTCAAACAATTTTGTATAATGTGTTTGTATTCTTATTTTATTAGTCTTATCTGAAATTGGTGGATTTATTGCTTGTTCTGTAGTTATAAAATACATTTTTAATTTGTACATCGCATACAAAATATTTATTATCGATACTAATTTAAAAATAAAATATAATTAGGGTCTATGTTTAAATGATAGTAACATAAGGTTAATTGCAAGTCTACTTCTGGGTTAAAATTATCTTTTGAACAAATAATCATCTATCAACCCTCATCTGACCAAATAAACTTAATGCTCAACAAAGCATAGAACAACTCAATAATGCATAACTTTGTTACATTAAAAACTTGATATTTTTTGGCATGCGTCTCAATAGAAATTATAAAAGTCTATGAAATATCTTGCCACATACTATAACCGTGTCTTTGGAATATATTATTATGATGTAAAAATATAAGTAGATATTTTCTTTCAAATTTAAACTTGTACACAATTTAAATTGAGCGCCATCTATCGATAGCGCAGAGAACTTAGCAACTCTTTCTTTTAATATTCAACGTAGTTCGCAATACTTTCAAAAGATGGCAGCTACCGCATTTATTTTTAACACGTATTTCTAAACATATCTTAGTACTTTATTTTACCATTATCCAATTGAATTTCAATGCAGGATAACATTTGTGGGTTTTATAAACCCCCATATTAAATTAAACATTTTGTCTAATTATTATTAAACAAGTGTTTAACGCGAGGGTCTACAAATGTCATAAATACTGATTAATGCACGAAAAACGCAAGTGCATTATCCGCGTCATTAATTTAAACTGGGTTGCTACAATCAGCCTTTGACCTGTATTTGAATAGCACAATTGAAAAATATTCAAATGACTACTCCACGCCATTTTCTCCAGCCTGTTACAAAATAAAGTTGTCGAAAATGGATGTATTAATGTTTTAGACAAGATCAAAAGAACTAAATAGTATATACCTATCAATAAACAGAAGAGAATAGTGCTTTTAGTTGACACAGCGTTATTATTAAAATTATATAATAAATACATATTAATATTTTTTTATTAAGGAATAAAGATCCTAGTTTCGTTTTCATCCTATCAGAGGATAATTAATATTCGCTGGAGGTTGCCTTTCCACACAAGGAAGGTCCTGAAATAGCGAGATGGTGAAAGGCAAAAACCATTTTACTACAATCATTAAATGAGTGTAATCTTCGTTAGTTATAATTTATTATTATTATAATTACTTAAATTTCATATGTTAAAAAATAAACAAACAAATGAATATAACATAAAATAAATATTACAACACACTACTTACTTCCAAATCCATAGACAGCATTTTTACAACAGTAATAAAAGAAATTATTTAAACATAAGTGAATTTAGACGCGATTAGTAATCAGTTTTCAACTGGTTAAAATATTAACTGTTTAAGTTAATTAATATTTTTTACTACTTCATTTAATGTACCACTCGCATAAACTACAGAAAAAAAAGTAATAATCTATCCTTTCTTAATTCACTAGTAATCTAATTAATGTTATTTCTACATAAATTTGAAAAGAGTTAGTCAAGAAAGAGTGGGGTGCATTTTATGACATATTTTAAACTTATGACGATTGTTATGTACACCGTTTCTTCCAAGAGTCGCAGCCAGTTGCTATACGAATAGTTGTGGTAAACAATTTTTATTTAGTTTGCATGTACATATTAAATGATAAACAATAACTTAAATGATCTATTTCTCAAATAAAGAGAAAGGACTGGCAAGGAGCACTATGTAAAAAAAATCCAACAATTTTCGCCCTTTAATTTTATTATTATCAGAGGAGCGTGTAATGTGGCAACTCAGTGTAGATCAATACGAAAGGATGCAGCGGACGAGCATGGAGGCCTTCTTTGAGACCCTCACGGAATTTTGTCCAAGGGAGTTTCTGGAGATCGAGAAGTTATGCGGACTTCGCTACGACCCATTGGTACCGCCGGTCTTCGACCACACAAATCCTGCGGAGCTGGAGGTGATGAAGAAGGTACTACGCGACATTAATAAGCACAGAAGGAACCTTCGCGAGCAGGGCTGGTGGAAAACCGTCGTCATGTGCCGTCACTGCGGCACAACGACCAAATCCCGAAAGCAAGGTTAAAACGTATCCAGAAGTATATTTTCTTAACAAGCAAACGATATAGTATTTTTGCACAAAATTTTAATGTTTCTATTCAAATTCTATTCTGCTAAAGCTTTACTGTAGTTCTATGTAGATTAGGCTACCCTTTAAAAGGGTTGGAAATGTGAAATACATATATAAGTTTTATCAATGAATGTCTTTTGGCTTTAACCTTCTCTGTTCCCCTAAAAGTAAAATATTCTAATGCGAAATAAAGAGAAAAAGTGTGTAACAGCAATACGTAGCGTTAAATAACTGAAAGCCATTGCAGGCCACTCATTCGCTAACTTGCAGGCTTACTTCGTCCTTGAACTAGCAGGAACCATCATACTTACATCAGGCAATAGTCTCGGGTTCTAAGTAGTTAGGCTTCGTAGAACATTAAATTTTGAGAAGTATCCTTTCATAAGAAGATTATTCAAGAGTAAAAGTGACCGGAAGTATTCTAGGAAAAGAAATCTATGCCATTGCACTAGAACAGACGTTCTCCCGATTATCTAGTGCAGTTGTTTATAACTTAAGTGAAGAACACAATGTCACTAAAAGACGCGAAAACCAGTTGAAATGTTGAATGTTCAGGACACGGGAGTGGGAGAGAACTTTAACCGTAAGTAAGGTAAATAATCAGATACATGATACAACACATTTAATCCTCTAAAAGCTTAGACTAATACAAACTAATGACATTTAGTATATATTGTGACAATTGGAAACAAAGTCTGATTGCAAGAAAAGTAGGTACAATAATGATGGACGGGCGATGATATATATCTATATAATATATAGTAAATTGTAAAAAGTATACATTATATCAAAGACAAATAATGAAGTATATAAACATGAACACATATACGGCCGAATACAGTAGTCACGCAAATGTTTAGGACCATTTCAATTAATATACACTTGAAAAGCGAGAAATTTATGACTCGAAGAAAATAAAAAAATACCAATATTGTAGTACATAATTATATCTAAAACATCATTTAATTTAAGGAGTAATGTTTGGAAAAAACATTGTGAATTTTAAAAGGACCATTGTGGTCATAGTTGTTGAATAAATAGACAAATTTCACGCACATTCGATGGTATTATTTTAGTCCGATAGGTATAGCGTAAGAGCTTTAGTTATAAACGAGGCGTAAATTGGAAATAGTGATTTCGTATTTTGTCTCTGTCAAGTAAAATTCATTACAAAATGGCATAAAAAGACGACACTAGCTTAGTTATTCAGGAACTAAAATAAGTTTCTTAAAGTCCGAAGTCAATTTATTAAACATAACAAAAAAACTAGTGACGTCACACAAAATTATAGTGGTCCGCGACAAAACATACATTGTAATTGTTTCATTAAAAATTTTGGAGCTAAAGTGACGATGATGACGTAAGGGTAAATACAGTTATTCATTAAATAATATATCTCTAACAACATGATGACATTGAAAGGTATAGCACAAAAGTACAACACGTTATAGCCAAACATTAAAGCAATTTGATTTTATAAATTCTCATAGTGTAGTATAGTCATATAGATCAAATGGACATCGACAAACAGTTACATTATACATCCAATATAATTTATTTTGCCTTGAAGATTTACTTTATAAGTAGTGGAGCGCTGAGAGGATTTTGGGGTATACTCGAGCGCGTCAGATAATATAATTATTGTTACATGTTAAGTATCTCCAACCACTTTGCCTCTTCAGGTTCCATTATTATTATTATTTCTATCGGGGACACCCTTGGCAGGACGGGTGATCAGTCCACGTTATCCGCTGACCATTTCACCCATTTCCCCACTTCAGCTCCCATACTACTGAGTAAGACTTGACACGTTAAAAATTGTAATGACATAAACATTTTTGAAATTACCTCCGACATTTTCGAAATTCTTCCGCTATGAAAAGATATTTTATTTTCTTGTTCTCCTTATCCACATAGCGATTGAAGTACTTGTGTACTAACTACTCTTAAACACCGGCAGTGCAATTAAATTTGGTGCACCATACACATTGATCTTTCTTAAATACAGTATTTTTCTAAGACATCGATTAAAGTCTACGATTGGTGCTCCTACTGAGCCTACTTTTAACAATTTTGTAGTAATTCTTAAAATATTATACTACAAGCACACGACACGAATTATTTTCAAGTAATACAGAGATAAAAAATTATTAATTGAGAAAAATATAATCCCAGTGTTTTTGTTAATATGAATTTTGCTGGCGAAACAACTAAACCGATTTCGATTCATCATTCCACTAGGGAAAGCCAATAAAGATATCAAAATATCTTAAACAATTCATATTGTAAAGAGTAAGAAACAGGGTAACGCGTTATATTTGCGTATACAGATATTTGAACAGAGAGATAGGCGATTAACAGGAGCCTAAACGCTAATATTATAAGTATTGTTACAAGACCAAGATCCAGTTATAGATGTACGTTATTCCTAAATGCTGAAGAATACCGTAGCTGAGTTCTACGTCAAAGCGACGTGTACTTTTCCGTATACTGTCAAGTACCACACTACGAATAATACTACAAAGATTTTCCCTGCTATTAGTATAAGCTCTCGTCAGTAACTAACTCATACTCCTACCATCTTATAAGATGACTACTGATAGTTAAATCAGAGAGTACATGACTGTGATATAAGCAAAAAGTATGCATATGGTATGAAATGACAACCATTTATATACAGGAGACTATATTAACATACATTTTTTTTGTTTGTTTCATTAATTAAATGTGCATTATATTTTCTAAAATTTGACCGTCTCAACGTGTTAAGTACGTCACGGCTGTGTCACGCGTCGACCGTGGCAACGCCAATATGTGTCCCATCAAAATGTATTAATCTATTACTTACATATAAAAAATAGACTTAACCCCCCCTTCAAGTTTATAACATGTAATAATATCTATTAAAGAGACACCGAAAACATTAACGTACAATAAATATATCTATCTGCGTGAATATTAAAGCGATTATTTACATATACAAAATATATCTTCGTTGAAATCTTTCCAAATGCCTTGCAAAAATACTCTCTCCTATAGGACATATATTGTTAAACAGGATACAACGCGGTAAATAAGTCGGCTTTGCCATTCTTGAAAATTCGCTTAGTATCACACCAGTGTTCCCAATTACTTACACTATCGTTTATCGTTTTTTCTTTAAAAACTTGCATCTACAAGTCGTTTCGAACGACAGACATTAGCCAACGTTCCATTACATGTTATGTTTGAACGGGATAATGTAAATGCTAGGTTCTAACACAATCGTTGTAGGAGTAACATTGTTTATAAATATTGCATTAGAAAAATATTTTAAAAAGCGGCGCGGATATGGAGATTTACAATGGTGGTTTTATTCACGTTGTATTATTTTGAACGTTAACGTACAACTCTGCAATATAAAAAGCTGGGAAAGCACAAAATAATTTCTAGAATATTCTCAATTAAAATAATCATCTCATTTTAGAGTTTATTTTCAACGTCTACAAAATATTTAATCCACGAGCGAATCAAGATATCAGTCAAATATCCACGCCGCTGCAAGCTTCTTTAAAATCAGTTTCATCTCCTAGTCTATATCTTATTTTGTGATGGAATTGTTAATAATTCATACGAGCTTGTAATTTCACTATACTGTGACCATTTCAACAATTAATTAGTCATATTTAAAATACATTTTCTACATATATATTATATAACATCTATAAATATTTCTAAATGTTCCATGAATGATAAGTTATTACAAAATAATGTATTTCACCTACGCATGGACGTTAATGGTTACATTACAAATAACTATTTTGGCAAGAATTGATAAGCCGATTTGCGCAAAATACTATTCGAGAAAAAATGTTTGTACGAAAAGCGAAAAGGTTATACCTACTTCATCTACACATTAAACTCTAAAATACACACAAGATAAGTTAATAAAATATGTCTATGTCTATACAAATAAGATATTGTAATATATGCAAAAATAAATTAAACACGGATGTTTAAAACGTCGCGTTACAATCCAGTAGTTAAATTTGATCCTTGCTTGTACAATATGTTTCAGTAATAATAAAAATACCCTATTAAAATAGATATACTACTTAATATTACGATTTGGGCTTGATTACACACAATCCATAAGCGTCATAATAAATCATATAGTAATTACTCGAAATGTGAATAAAATATAGTAAATGCGTCGTCACGTCAGTGGAGATTATTAAAAATATGTATTGACGCGAAAATGTAAGCACTATATTGAGCAAAGGAAAGGTTTACTTTCTAATGGCGTTTACAAAAATGTGTAATCAGCCTTAAATCAATAACATATAACAAGTCCACTAACATCTAATAATTAGTTAAATTCTTTAAATATTTAAACACACATTCAACAGAATTACACATCAAAGCATTTTTAATGTTAAACAGATCTTTTGCTATATTGACCGAGTTAATCGATTCAAGATATTTTTAGATCCATAATGTATCCGGCCCCTGCTCACTGGAATAGATTTGTCTTATCCGGGTTGGAAGGACCGAGTTAGGCGTAGCTTAACCGAAGTGCATCGGCGGCATGTCGGTCGGCGGTAGGAATGCTGGACAGATGAAGAACCGCCAGCCCAACAGACTCGTGGGGTTACACACGAGGTCTGAGCAGTCCCCCTGTCACTTGTTGCTCTGCTTACCTGGCCTCATTGTTAGGGGCGAGTCGCCGGCCCTCGGCTGCGCGATCACCACACCGTCTGTGGTGATCATAGTGTCCTTGAAGTCTTTGGATGTGCCGGCGACTGGGGAGTCCTGCAATGGTCAAAACAGTTACTACTCAAATTCTCTTCTCATCGTTACCTAACACCTGTACACCTACAGGGTACACATTTTTACAGCGGTCTAAATTTTATCTTATTGATCATTTAATTCACTTTTATGACATCGAAGTCTAGTAAAAACTATTACTAACATTACATGTAAGTAGTTTTTTATTCTGTTTATATTTATTTCGTGGTGGACGGTAAAACTCCTCAGCACTTTGTGTATTGTATTGTTACTGAATAACCAAGTATGACGCAGTATGATTTTATTTCTTTACAATTTCAGAGGTGTCAATCAAAGATCTCCTGTTTGGATTTAAAAAGAGGGGTAACTTTTATACATTAATTTAGCAAATTTTGGAAACAGTTAATCGAGACGTGTACACGGCCTAAGGTTGTGTGTGGCTTTACCATGCGAGGGAAAAGCGAAGTTCCAGCTCGTTGGGGCGCCGTGGTCACAACTCCTCTACCATCGATAATTGTGTCTCTCTTTTTGACCTCTTTTTTCTTTGACGCTTTCTTTTTTCCTTCCTTCTTTCCCTTGAAGAGGAATCGAGGCTTAAAGTTAAATGTGTGTATCTTTACTAAACACAATACATCTTAAGAAGCAGCTAAGCAAAGAAAATGCTGCAAAACGAGAGGAGGGCTGAAGACATATACGAACAAAACGAAGGATTGAAAAAAAAATAAGCCTGGCGTAAACAACATCTTAACTCATTAAAACGTATTCTGTTTGATTATGTATTGATTTTTTTTCTACTAAACATTCAGTTCGGTTACAAAACTGGTTATTTTGCGGGTTTTTATTTTTATCGATATTTTTACTAGAGTCCAATGAGTTTACCCCTATATCATATTGCTAATTAAAGTATATTATTATTAACAAAAATATGATACTAATACTTTTTCATCTAAAGTTCGTTATTGAAGGTTTAATTACCTGAACGTATATAGCATTCTTACGTTTACATTTAAATGAGATATTAAAACCGAGAAATATGTGTATTAGTTTAGGCATCCGACGTACCGGGTCCTTTCACAAACATTAATTTATACATATATTTTCTTCTTTTAATTTCTTAAATTCCTTTCTTTCAATGTTAGTTCGGACATAACTTAGTCGTGTGAACCGATTTTGATTATTATTATTATTTTAAGTAAATATGTCAGAGCTGGTCCCATTATAGGAATAACCTTCAAAATTATAGTATTTAATCAAAAGAAACGTAATTTTAGTTTGTGCGAGGTAAAAGTAATTTTCTTTTTAGTTTACCGTTTGAAGCCAGAACAAACCGTAAACCGTAATAAGCCGTGCCTGTAAATATGTAAATAGAATATATAAATTTAAGCTTTCCTTCTCAATTTTCGCCTAAAACCAAAACCCAAAACTTGTCTTCGACCTTATTCTCATAACAAAATAAACCGTATCATTTAGAGAAGAAGTAAATTAACATTGGTACAAGAAATGAAATAGCATGCAACATTGATGTGTTTGCCAACTTAAGAAAGCGACATAGCATGTTAGATAGAAATATAAAACACATGTCTATAACATCACATGTAATTATATAGCAGGCGGGCATCGAATCCTCGCACGGTGAATCGTGCAAGATTCTCAATCATCACGTAGTGTCACATGTTGGAGCATTGAAATTTCATATTACACATAGGCGCAATATAATAAATATATCACATGGAGGCTATTCTCAATTCAGTGACAAACAATGTATGGCAATATTACATGAGATTATAATAAAACTAAAGTATATTTATCAAAATAACATACCAAAGATTGAGACAGATATTTTTTTTATCTTTGTATATATATTTTTGAAAAAAAAGGACCCTCTGTTGACGCGAGTCAAAAGGCGAATCCTTTATGAGTTCCATGAGATTGACACACTGTAAAAATTACTAAAGCTAACCTTTTTCGATTTTTCCTTTTCTTTCTGCTTCTGTTTATCTTTTTTCTTCCCCTTCTTCTTGTCGTCTTCTTCCTCTTCTTCATCCTCGGGGACGGGGATCGGAGGCGTGGTGACCACGAGGTTACCCTGGGTGCCCAACGTCCCGGGAACGTCCAGCTTGGTGCGCGCCTTGGCGTGGCTGGCGATGCTCGGCTTGACCACCTCCATTTGATTCCTGATCATTTCAATCTTGGAATGGATACGGAACTGAAGACGAGATTCCAGGGGGTATCCGGATTTCTTCCTGTACAATTAATAATAACATGTGAGGTATCTGTTTTCTTAAATGTGACTTTTTTACGATAGAGCATGCGATTCGCTTGATGGGAGGTAAAATACCCTAGCAATAAACATCTACACAATACGCGCTTGTCAACCTATTTCGGGTTTGGATATTCGTAAATAAACAGACTAAAACCAAAACGCGATTAAGCTTTTTCACCGGTGGGGATCGAACCCACGACCCGATGATTGTTAGCATTGCACTTAGCGACTTAACTCTGCTACTCTCCTGAAGGAAAATCATCAGGTCATACAATTAACAGGTTCTCTGTCTGGTGCCTTTACCCTTGAAGTCGAAGTCCCAGCATTGAGCAAAACTGTTAAAGATGATGATATAAAGTTACCTGGCATCTGTGAGCAGCCGCAGTGCGAGATGGCTGTCCCCAAGATGGTGCTGACACATTGCCATTTCCACCATGGTGTATGGTACCAGATAAGTATTCTCTTTGATGTCATCTTTGTCCCTAGAAATAAAATATATTTAAGGAAGCCTCTCATAAAAATTGTTAATTCAATGAACTAACATAAATCTAAAAACTACAGAAACACACGAAAAACGAATTTACTAAAGTTAATCCAAATTATACATTCGTTTTCAGCTTTAGTCCAGTTTACAGTTAAAACTTTAATTGCCTAACAATTAACGTTGTTTTTCAACTTTAATTGTACATTTATATAAATTTGTATCCGCCCTAGATAAAGGAAGTCTTACTTCAGAAGGTCGTCAAAGTGTTCTAGTGCCAATCGGGGGAAATTCATAGCCAGCAGTATAGACCCTCGGAGGTGCCTCACCAGCGCCAGGTCATCGGCATCGTATTTGGGCTTCGGGGCTTCCTCTAGAGCCTTCTTTGCGTCCCCATTTCGCCCCTCTGTTTTTGCCTTCTCTGTGAGGGCCTTCATTTCTGTAGCATAGTTCTTTATCGTTCTCTCAATTTCCTTGTGAGTATCTTCTATTTCCTGTTATAAATAACCATATTTTAGTTTGCCTATATCTTGACAAATTAATCTTAATTATATTATGGAATGATTTTGTTGTAATTCTTTCACAATTACGAAAAAGTATTTAATTTATTAATTTAAATAATTTTTTGATTAATATTTCTCCTTTCAAAAGTAAAAGGATAATTACTTGTTTTATTCAGTATATATATATATAATAGGCCGAGTATTGGTATATTTGTAGGTGAGAATTTATTGCATGCCTTCTCCCGTTCTTGTTGACTTTTACTCTTTTATTGATTTGTTGATTGATTTGACAGAAAAGGAAATTCTGTTTGCAAATGTTGCCTGGAAGGAATAGCATCTTATCTCTAAGACTGCTAAGACATTTTAATGTACATTATTAATTTAGTAAAACTAAGTTGCATTTAATTTGATTCCGCAATAAAGTGTTTTATTATTAGTAAGGTATACCTTTAACAATCTGTCAGATAGTATCGCATCTTTTGCTATAGCTGGGTACATGTTCCAGAGACACAACATCTCGGTACCGGGTAAAACAAGATGGCCGCGGGTGCGCAGGCGCTCGCACCGGCGCAGCGCGAACTTCTCCATCGGCACAGATCTGCCCAGAATGCGCTGACGGTAGTTGGTTGCTGATCTGTAAAGGTTTAATTTATAATTCCCATATATTGACATAAGAGCCTATAAACATTAAAAAGAATAAATGTTACAATAAAATAAATAATATAAAATTTAATACAAAAAAAGTGATGCCAAAATGATCTTCGGTCAGCATAATTTGCAGCACAACTATGATATAACACTGATTTTCAGCAAAACCCTACCGTTCATCTGTTAGACAGAGGTGTATGACCTCTGTCTAACAGATGAACCATTGCGCGTTGGTTAAGTTGAACTATTTTGATAATTGAAAAAAAAAAAAAACTCTTGGTGGGGTCTTAGTGGACATAGAAGGTCGTTTTCGATACCTATTGCCTAGTTAAACAAACTCCAGTCCTAAATTCCTGCGGAATAGCCCAACCAATTACAATATAAATAGGAGGGTGAAATTCCTTTGACCAGCGACAAGGTGGTCTAAAAGTTTAATAAAAATGGTTTATAGAATTTTTGAAACTATATAAACTATTATAATTATGGGCTGGTAGTAGAATATTATTCCAGCATTTTGTCGCTAAGTAACTAAACGACCCTTTAAAAGCGGTCGAATTATCTTTTGAATTGATTTAAATGTTTGTATGGAAAAGATTTGAAAATGAGATAAACGATTGTGTAGCGTTTGCGTGTGACAGAGGTTGAAGCATGATTAGATATAATTTTATAATTCTTCAGGAATAAGGAATATCTTAAGTTAAACAATTTGTTATATATATATATTTATTTATTTAGATAAATTTCATTTCTAAAACCTTTTCTAACCCTATTCTAAACTCTGTAAATTTGTTTAATATTTTTGTGAATGTATCAATACTCACTGTATGAGATTCTCAAGCCAATTAGAGTCCGGCGGTTTTGTTTGCTGTAGCGAAGCAGCAATTAATGTGTAAGCGTACACGGTGCGTGACCACATGCTCTCTTCTAGAAGTTTCTTAGCGTATTCCGCTGACATGTCCCATTGAGATAACATTCTGCAATAAAAATAGTCGAGTGAGAGTTACTCGTACAATAATAAATAACACTATTTCTTAAAAACATCTTGTAAGTTAGTAAATTAACAAGAGTATTATAAAAGGGTGTCTTGGAATCAATCAATGTATCAAATTTTTTATTTTGGATATTAATTGTTTGGCTTGTAGGTTTTTTATTAGTCAAATGTCTGACTCTGTAGTGAAAATTTTCGTTAGCGGTCGGCTAATTACCGATAATTCTAGTGTTTTGTTACCAACTTTTTAAAAGAAGCTTTTTTGACTACAGCTGGCCATTAGTTAAGTCAGTAACTTGTACAGTCTGACCCACACCCACAACACTATCTACATGTCTTAATCAAAGTATACACTTACGCATATGCCCACATGGTCTCCCAGTACGCGAGATGTATAAGCTGCGGCCACAGCCCAGATGTGTTAGCCGCCTTCTTGTATATTTCTATAGCTTCCGCAGGCTTACCCAGCAGCAGTGCGAGGCGCCCCTTAAACATGAGGAACCACGCACTGTCCGGGTACTTCTGGAAAAAAGGTTGCATAAAGTCAGCCAAAATAGTACTAATTACATACGTCGCTATCCAAGCGATTTCTACTAAGTCAATGTGCGCTCGTGGAAATGGGCTTATGGACGCGATGCTGTCAAGTGCTGTCACTTACCGACAGGCTCTCGTCGATTAATTTTTGGGCGAGTTCGTAGTCCGGGGGGATGGCTGCGAACTGGCCAATCACCAAGTTGTGAACTAGCAGTGTCATAGAGCACAGGACTGAGCGAAGACCTGGCTTCTTCGCACCTATCAGCAGCTCGCTGAGGCCGTATTCCTGGGGAGAAGGAAACACCAAATTCGTGTTTAATAGATTTATAGAATCTGCGATTAAGTTTTCAGAAATGGTTGCAACTGAACCAATTCTCTGTTTCAGTTGATACCATTGTTGTGTTCGAGTCCACTGTGAGTGGAGCGGACTTGAATTCCAAATAATCGATCGATCAGCTTATTGCGGAATAATACAATTTTGTCTGTTTTTTAATTTAGGTCATATTAAAGATAAAACGAAGTGAAGAGACTAATATTGATTAGAAATTCCACCCTATTATTGCAAATGATGGTATTATATAAATCCGAAATCTATTTAGAATGAAAAAAAAAACAGCGAGATTTGAAACGGCATCCACAGAATTCCGTGCTCCGTAGCCGAATTGGTTAAGATCCCCGCCCTTGTTGTAATTTTTTTTTAATCTAAATAGTTTATTAACACATACAAGACAATAAAGAGTTATTCGTTCTCGTTATTTTCCAGAAGTGTGAATAAAGTGGTAGAAGAAGGGAAAACGTAAAAGTGATACTTTCAAACGCCATTAAAGATAACGTTGTGTATCAAAGGCTCAAATTCCGCGAACTTTTAAACTACAAGCTACGACTAATAAACCCCGTTTAGTTCTCGCCTTGCTTCCAGTACATGCATAAATCTATAGTAATATTATAATGCTGAAGAGTGTGTTTGTTTAAACGCGCAAATCTCAAAACTTACTGCTTCGAATAAAAACAAATGTATTAGAGAGATTATTTTGAGAAAGGCTATATAATATCACGCTGCGAAGAAACAGTAAAAATTCGAGGTCGCTGTCGACCTAATTGGTTCGTGACCCGGACGGTATTTCGATATTCCTACCACCCATTTAACAGCCAGACGAAGTCCAAGATATTTCAGAAAAATTATAATTCGATAAGAAAAATTTTCGATCGGGTGGGCGTCGAACACTCGACCCGTTGATTGTTAGCGTACAATGCTACCATTAGACCAACGAGCCCGACAAACATTTCTCGTATAATTTTGTCGTACCTTATCTCCAGAAAAGCCGACAAATTCGAGAAGAGTTATGAGTTTGGGCGGCAGGAGGGACACCATGACGTTAAAAGTGGCGACACCCATCCGTACGCCACTCTCGAAATGCACCCGGGATTCGGTGTCGTCCCACCTCGTCTTCTTCTCCAGGATCTTAACGCAGTCCCTGGTAATAAGCAACATATTATTAACATTTAATTTATGGTTTTCACTTATTCTTATGATAATTAACTATTCCATTGAGAAATTTGGACAGTAGTCTTATTACATATAACTGTAATAAGGAGGTATTTATGAGTAGTCTATCTTGGTATTACTATCGACCTATGAAGTTGTCGGCGCGAGCGCAGCTGATCGAATAAATGTACAAAGATAAGCGATACTAGATCGTGCATTGGCTCATTTCTAACATTACAATATTATTAAACAATTTTTGTATTATTTAATACACTTAATACACATTTATCTATTAAGACTATTTTCTAAATATATTAGTACTTAGTATTGCTATACACAAACAATTAAGAAGGATGTTCACTATGTTACCAAAATATCCGTAATGTTAAGTTGGTTTGTCTTATATAAACACTTTCAGAAAATATAATGCCCAGTACATTTAAAGAGTATTTGATTTAATAAATATTTACATTCGTATGTAAATCTATACATTTTTAATGCGATCCCAAACTACGCCTTGCCTATCTTAATGGAATCACTTCGAATTGCACCTGTATTGTACCCAAGTATTTATAAAGCTGGGAAAGACATACTTGTATGAGTCGTGTGAATTTTTGATGCGCAGGGTGGCACGGACCAGGCCGGTTAGGTCTTCGCCCTCCAGAGCGACTAGACACGCTTGCACGAGAAGGGCTTCCGCATGGATCAACTCTGCATGAGCCTCCACCTCGGAGTATATGCCATAGTTGGGCTACAACATAACGAAATTTTGAATTTCTTAGCCGCATTTATTAAGCGTAATTCTTTCGTACATGAAACGTTTGCGACTTACACATATTATATATTGTAAGCAGACAAAACGGTTGTAATCAAGTTTTTTCCTATAAAAGTAACTGAAATATGAAAAATTGTTTGTCGTTTATGCAAGTTTCACTTACAATGGTTAAAAACGCGATATATATAACTGATTTTTAACTACGACCCAGCCGCGTTGTTTCGGATATTATACAGCAGTCGCGGTTACGGGCGGGATGATAATATAAGAAAATTTCACTTTTTAAACCGTTAAAAGGGTTTTAATAATCGTGACTTTGAATTGTAATTGACCTCTATGGACTTGGCAGCTGTCATAACCATTTCCCCCGTTTTATTGTTTATATTTCGTTTTATTACCGAAAAAATATTTTTAATTTCTTTTTGCTCTTCTGTGTGATGTACAGACACAGATTAACATCTATTACCTTTTTAATTATTGTTCCGAGACTCTCAACAAAAGAGTAGCATCTACGCTGCCTGTTGCAAAGGGCGAAGGTGTCTTTGACTGCTGCGAGGGCGACCTGCAGCTGTTGCGGGTCCATGGTAAGCATAGCCGGGATGAACTCAAAGATTGCTGCACCATGGCTGTGGTACAGTGATTTATCTTTCCTGGAACACGAGAGAGTCTGTGGTTACGAAATAATATATTTTTGATCTGTGTAAAGAATAGCTCATTAATTTTAAAACAATCGTTGACACTTAACAATGTCAAAAGAAAGTAGAAAGATTCGTAAGGCAATATGGAACTATAATTTTGCTAACGTGACTTAGTAGAAAATAGGAAATATTCAAGCCAAATAACCTCCACATTTGTCTTAATCGTGGTGGTTTGTGACCCGGACAAAATTCCGTTATTCATAATAATAATAAATCTCTTTATTTAGCATTCATTTTGTACAATCATTAGACGTAATAAAAATAAATGTAATTCTAACTAATTTAATTTAATTCCTACTTAATTTACTGTCAGGATTATCAAGACGAAGTCATATAAGTTTCAGAAAAAATATAAATTGATTTATAAGTTATAAAGTTATACCCGGTGGTAATCGAACCTACGACCAGTGGATTAATAGCCACATATTGGACCTAACGAGTTCGTCATCTTCTTCCCTGGAAACTATAAATCTTTTAATCGTACCCGCTAGTCTCTAAATAAAAATAATTTAGTAATTCTCCATTTTTTGCCAATATTAAGGCTTGAAAGTAAAAAAATGCGATAAAATTTAGACTTTCTATGGAAGAAAGTCTAAATTTTATCTTACTTTTATTTACGTTTTCGAGGTATCTAGAAAAGTACTCAAAACAAACGAACCGCTATGTGCATTTTGAGGAAAAGACAATTTACAAAGAAATAAGACGGTTTAAAGACACAATCCTATTTCATAAGATTCTTACTTTGAGAAAAGATGGCGGACTTTGCGAGAACTATCAAGCACATAATATAATATATAAGCGCACAATGTCAATAGAAAATAAGTCGTAGAAAATAGCACACACTACATGGCTTTAAGTGAGTATTTATTATTTATTTACTTCATTATTAATATTTATGTGATTAAAAATTAAGTTTCCAATTACGCTGGGAAAATTATGGTTTGATGGACTCGTCTAATGGGAACAATGTATTGCTATAGGATCTAAGGTTCTATCCCCACCGGACCCAAAATATTTCTAATAGGTTTATAATTATTTTTTATAGGTGGTAGGAACTTTTGTTTCCGCCACCTATAAAACGGGTCACAAACACTACATATGAAAACGCTATGGTTTCAGTCCGAGGATTTCCGAATGTCCATAACCACAAACAAATAGGTCCACAACACATCGAGTGAGCCTCGTGCTTGTTTGTTGTTCTCTTTTATAAAAATAGGTAAAGATATTCACTTCTATCCGGGTCAAGAAACGTTGTCTCTTTCCAATCCTAACCAGTAAACAGAAACACTTACCAAGGTATCATTACACTGATTGCACCTTTGACGTTGTTCGAGAAGAATTTCTCTATAGCAATCTCGCAGTCTTCCATGGACTTCTTAAGTGTCATCCTGTAAAGACATTGCTACGAATCACAACATGGTATGACGAATTCGAGCTTAAACAAAGGAATATCAACTATATTTCGACGTAAAGTTAACATTAGCGGCAACGTTTTGTTTCATAAAAGAAAAGGAATTGACCGAAAAAATAAAATTAACGAAAATCTTACGATGGTTCCAAAGCATCTTCAAACTCCTCCTGTAACAAACAGAAGCGTTTTTAGCATCAATTAATGTAAAATCATCAGCAGCTAATCTATCGAAAGTCGTCATGTGAAAAAGACCCATATAGAAAGAAGTCGTGAACCAAATACGTATAATTAAATTCGATTCAAAGTTATCACCGATTCTCAAATAACTCTTCCTATAAAGACTTAGTTAGTTCCTTAGTTAAGACAGAAAAACAGAGAGACATTTGCATGTATAACATTAGTTAAGTTCAGTTATTATAAAATACATTTTGCATGCTCAAAATTGTCAGCTGCACAGAGCTGGACCGAGAATTGTAGTCCTCTACTTCGTAATTAATAAAACTTTAATAAAACCTTGAGGGCGAATGAAGCCATACAAATCACAACGCTCTTCTATTAGCTCGCTAATATGATATAAAATATTCATGGAACCGGTAGCTTCATATATTTTACATGCATAGATAGTCAAAATATCCGCAAGTTATTTTATTTTATTGAAGTTATCGCAAGTTATTATTAAGTTGAGGATGTTTTGTGATGTGCAAGAACTTTAAAAGACCTATGCAATATGGTAAAATAGACAAATGAAGCATTTTTCATATTGTAAACATATATTGGGAGTTATTAAAAAACTATTTTAAATAAACTTAATTTTTTTCTTTTAGTTATTTAGTCTCCTGGTCTATCATAATTTGTTTCGTTATGTTTTGTCAAAAATCTAGGATTGATGGACCTTCTTTTTAGTAAAACATGCGGTACTAATGCGGTAAAAATGGCCTATCTGAAAAGAGTACGCTTAGCCCAATAAACCTTTAATCTTAGCCATAGTTTGCGAGCAATACAATGCTATCCTTGAACACTGTAGGACATCCTTTTCCCTCTCTCAACGTCACGTTTTACAATACAGAGCACACAAATGTTTGTGCACCCTTAGGAAAGATTAAAACACAGAGGGCACTTGAAATAGCATCCGGGAGAATAGAAATGATATTATTTTATACGGACACATGAATAGACTGGCCGTAAGGAGATTAGGAACACACCGCCACGTTCTACTTGAGAAACAGTTATGCTTTAATAGAAGCGTTAGTCGTAATAAGCGAATAGTTTAACAACAACAACACGGAAAATATGACACATTTTTTCGGACTCTGAAGTACAATCTCAAACGAGAAATGTACTTTTAATTACAATACATGAAAGCCAATACACAAATAATAAAAAAATTTAAAGATGTCGTTAAATCTTTAGAAAGATTGAGTTGTATATAAACTGTTGTAAAACTTTTGATTAATATCGAATTATAGAGAAAGATTATTATTTGATTGTATAGTGATAAAATGTATAAATAAATAGAAAGTTCCATAAACAACATACAAGAAAATTGCAATGTTTATTGGCCTAAACCGTCAGATTTATCAACACACGCACGAGATCTAATCGATATTGCCGTTCAAACTATGGGGAAACAATATATACGATCTGAGGACCTCAGTTTTCAATTCAGCCGACGAAACAGAATGCTATTTGTGAAATGTCATACGAGATTCACAGTTCTGAAATCTGCGTTATGTCAATGAAATACTTCGAATTTATCGCGAGAATTTTCGGGAGCAGCGTGCCTGGAAATATTTTTCTACTAGCTGTGCCAGCGACTTCTTTCGCGTAGAATAGTTATTTGGGACAACGTTTGTTTTTTGCAAACCTATTTATCTTTATAGATTTAGACTATTTATTACCCACGACATTGATGGCGTCCTATCGTTCTTGCAAGATAATCTTAAAAGATAGACATATAGTGCCGCCGACGTGTTTTATATCATTTTAAAAGGAATCATTTATTCATACATTTTTTTTTTGCAATTTTGATGATGCAATTTTCCCCGTTTTCTCCACATTTCCCGCTGTTTCTTTGCTCCTATTCGCAGCGCGATGTTTAATGGCCTTCTTTGATAAATGCTCTAATCAACACAAAAGTCATTTTTCAATTCGAACCAGTAGTTCCTGAGATTAGGGCGTTCAAAGAAATTCTTCAGCTTTATATATTTGTATAGATTGTACGTACGCAAAGCTTACTAATATTATAAATTCGCTCATCATACTGAAACAGAATGGCCGATAAGACCTTTTAAAAACACGATTTTTTTTAGCATTTAAGCTTTATAGTTCTGCTGTACTTACAATATCACCAAATTCTAGGTCAGATTCCGCCCTCACTATGGGCGCTGATTGCCCCTGCAGCATAGCAGCGGCTGCTGCCTGCGCAGACAGGGGCGGCTCGTGCAGCGCCATCGCCACTGCCTGTTAACAAGAATATAATATTATTGAAAAGTTCAAAAAAATTGAAAGATGCGTTAGTTTAATGTATGTACCGAATGTCCCTTCGTTAGGTCACGAATTAAAATCTCATTTTAGGCCGAAACCCTAATTGATATTATAAATAAAGGTCTGGCCTAACATACAAGTATATATTTGTTGTCTACATTGGCTTTGGAGATCACATCCGTTGCATAATTTTGATCAGACTTCTATATTTCAGCGATCGAAATATTTCTTTATCACACAGCGCAAGCACAATCAATACGAAAGTATATAAAACTATGGAGAATAACTTATTATTAGCATTAGAACGAAATTATTTCTATGCAAATTATGCCAGGTTACCTCGTAAATAAAATATAGTTTTTAATGTCCAGTAAAAATTGTAGTACCAGCATCTGTCCATTATTCCACAGGAAAATTATAGAAAATACAAATAGATAAGCGTGAAGAACTTACGAACACCCACAAATGTTAAAAACAGTCGTGTTTATAATACAGAGCGCAGAATTTAAATATGTACATGTTAACTTTAAATACGGAGAATTTTGATCAGATGGAACCAGATTCTTATGTTTGCAGAAGGTGGTATTCAGCGAGTGCCCCTACGGTACACGGTATCACTGTACAAAATTCTCACGAAATCTGAAACTAACAAGAAGGGACCCTTTCTATTTGAAATGTCAATTTCTAGAACATTTCTGATTTCTGACAATCTCGTTAAAACTCAAGCGCTTTACGAAAAAGCGGCACAAAAGGACCTGGGAATGGTCTTGCTGTTTGAGAGTATTGTTACTGTACAGACAAACATACTCTTATATCTACAGTAAGGTAGTAGATTTTATGGATATTATCGCATAGACAGATAGGTCCATCAATTTTAAATTAAATATAAAAAAAAATACTATGATAATCGATATATTTCTTGATTTGGGTGGTAAAGAGCAAGAGAGATTCTAATAATTAGTCAGACAGAACCTTACAATTTAATAAATTGCTGTCTCTTTAAAGGTATAAAGGCATTCAATATTCATGATAGGAATTACGTGGAAACCTTACATGTCTTGTCTAAAAGAAAAAAGTGCAGGTCGTTAGAGATCCTTAGTCAACTATTGAAACCCTATTGGTAAATTATAGCTGTATTAACTAACAGTACTCATAAAATAATCCAGCAAACAATACAACAAACGTGATGTTTTGCTGTTGACAACGGCAAGAGTCGTATGCTTGGAATATACGAGTACATAAAACATAGGGATCAGTATATAGATACTGATTTTTGTGTTGTTTTGATCGCCTCCGTAAACACTGTTCACATGACGTGATGCCTAGAATCGTGTTAATCACGAGATGTCTTGGGTTTAAGTCCTGCGAAAACGATTAATGGTTTCGGTAAGGCAGGTTCAGTGATCAACTACCGGCCATCAGTAAGCAGCCACGAATTGTTCGCTATATGCCAGAGGTAAAAACAGGCCTTCAACTACAGAGGAATTTTATTCACTTTAAACATAGATAATTTGGAAAGAAATAGATTTTTAAGAGCTGAACATTTAGAAGAACGTGGCTTTTTGTTTAACGGATGCAGAACCCGTAGTGCAAGTGTCCGAGTCGATCTCGTCCTGTTTTTATTTACATCAGGTTTCAATTCAATTTTCATTTCCTCAAGCGAGCCTCAAGGGAATTAATCCCATAGGTTCACCGTGTCTTCCAATGCCTTCAATCTTATATCGGAAAACAGAATGTCTCTGGTAAATATAAAATGCGCATGGGCAATTACGAATTAAGGTTAAAATACAATTCGAAGATTGGTAAAAGGTAATTAATTATAACGACTATCAAGACGTATGGCCGCCACTGTAGGTCAATGTTTAAGTTGCCTATGATTGCGTTAAGAATGAGAGATACCGGCTTCGAATCCCCGGGAAACAATAATTGTTTGGGCGAGGCACGGCACAGATGTTTGAATATAGTAATTTTTTTTAGTTAACTCATATGAAACGCAATCAAATTCTAGACAAGAGAATCTAAAATGTCACAGATACAAAACAATTTCTTCTAAAACATGAAGATACATCGCGTAAGTACTGAAATGTTTGAACAAACAATATTTCAATTAACGACAAAATTCCGCCCTGAATTAATAGTCAATTAAATTGTATCTTTCCCGCTGTCAGGTAAGCAAAATACATCGCGATGTCAGTGTGGTAACGATTCATTTGAGTTCATCAAAGTACAGTCATGCAGAAAACATTTGATATTTTTGCAGCCTTCTTTACTGCAAGTGGTATACTTTTATAACGAATGATGTTAATACCGTCAGAATTTTTGTAGACATTTTTAAGCGAAAAGCAATTTTTGAATGAGGAAAAAAGTATGCTTTAAGAGCGTGGAGATTTTGTACTTATTACTTATATTGGATACTTGGCGATGCTTTTTAGTGGGGCGAGATTCTTGCCAGTTCTTTATATTGAGGTGCAAATGTTGTAGAAGATGATAAATAATGATTGTTGTCACAAAGGTAATAGAATGTAAAGGGTAATTATTTTCGTTACCGCCTTAATATTTAATATTATTGAATTTTATACATTATTTAGAATTATGAATATTATTTTTATCTATATAATGCATCTAACTAGTGCAGCAACGTATTATGTTACTTTAATGTTCATTTTGTTAGCCTAAATTCAATCCACGAATAATCTAGATTGAGGTCTCAAATATCAGCGATGAGGTTACTTGATTACAGCTTATAGGTCGATCCATATTAATGTTATGTTATAATGTTGGCGATTTATATACGTTCATCTAAATGCTTCTATAAAAACGTCTTTAATAATACGCTTACAGTACTTTGACTAATCTAGTCACTATATAATATTTTAGTTTTATAGTAGTTTAACTAAAGCATGTAATATTAAACATAGTTCTTGCTAAAAATAACTTCGTACGTAAAATCTTTTTCTCTTTTATATTTCCTTTTTATTTTGTGGTGTGTATAAAGCTAAAATAAATAATATAAATATACTAAACACACACAAACTGTACATATAAGTTCTACATTTCTTCGTTCATTTTAACCCATTTATATTCCAATTAGTGCTAAGATGGGACCGATGGTTAACTTGCACTGCGAGGTGTTTTCACCCAGAAGTACCCTCATGATCTATATTCGAGCTAAATAATTACTCAATTAACAATGCAATTGAGTTCTACCTTCTCATGTAAGTTACGTAAACCATTGAATATTTCGAATTCGCTGTCTCTATTTAACCAACGAAATCTTATAAAACAGACAGAGACAAATATAAGTGCACCAGTACAGACTCTAGAATTCAAATTATAATTTTGCGAATGCATTCAAAGAGCATTAAATCCGAACAAGACGTTATTAGCATTGTATATGCGATGCGGTCTAATGGAGCTGAGCAGCCAGTTAAGCTAAAATCAATTATTATGTCTATCTCTGTTTATACTGTCTAATACAGGCGTTACAAAGGTCTTCTCGGTATCAGTTTAATTAACACAGCCAGTTATCACACGTGACCTTATGTAATTAATATCAGACTGATTAGGTTGACCTCAGTGGCTTAGTGGACCACGCTGCAGGAAAGTTTAACTTCCCTTAATGCACCTGAACAATCAAACTGTTAATGCACTTGCCGAATTAATTGTGAGTAATCTCAAATATACATATAATACGAACGGCGTTACGTGTATTAAATTCATTAAGATTTCATATTATAAAAAAAACTTATCGATATTAATAGAAAGTTTCAATAAACCAGTCAAGTACGAGACGGACTTTCGCACGAATTGGGACACAAATTTCAAATGCCCCTCATAAATCTATGCTAATATTATAAAGAGGAAAGATTTGTATTTTTGTATGTAACGGGAAAACTCAAAAAGTACGGGACCAATTTTAATAATTCTTTTTTCATTAGAAAGCTACATTATCACTGAGTAACATAGGCTATATTTAGTACTTGATTACTATAGGCGTCTATAGAAATTCTTACTAAAACCAACGGAAGGCGTAAAAATTAGCCGTAAAATGTCTTTCTTCGCATACGCTGCGAAAAGTATTAATGATAGGACAAAAAATGTTTGACAATATTATAGAATATATTAATATCTACAAAAACATCGCGAGAGCAAATGTCTAACTATTGTAGTTACGTTGCTATAACTACTTTTTTACACTTAACAAATTGATAGAAATGCCGATCAAAATCAGACCGTGTTATCCGTACCATTTATAAATTTTTATCCGAATAAATAATTTAATATTCAAGACTGCCTCAATACAACATTAATTTATTAATTACTAAACATTACTTTTTTAATTATTGAAATCGGACATGCCATTCAAAAGATATCATGAAATTAAAATAAGAATACATGCCGGCGGCAGTCGCCACGCCGCGCATCGAGTAACTAATTCGACGAAAGAGGGGCAGTAGTATTAGGAATCACACTTTGCATAATGTTTGTCAAAGTTCTTTTCAGCACTATCGCTTTGAACTTGAATATTTTCTATTGTATTATTATTAGTTTATTCTTAATTTCTCTGATTTAAAATAAATATCCTTCATAGCAATATGGCTAGAAGAAGAAGGTCGCAGCTATTTAAGAATAGTGTCCAAGCGAGATTAGCAAAAGTTCGTCGTATTGGAGAGTAGTCTTCCTAAAATGATCGTCTGGAAAGTATTACAGTGTACGCGTCCCAATCGCGAGCCAGAGAATTGTCGATTGTTCAGGATCGTCTTACAGAACAAAATGCAAAATCGTCGCAGCGACTTGAAGGAAATAGAGAGCTAGGAATTCGCGAACGCGTGCACGGGACTCTAACACTGAACGCTCGCAGCGGCTCCTGACACAGCATGATATACAAAGGTCGTTAACAACTAGGTAGCGAAATACATTTTTTTTTTCTAATTTAGTGATTCATTGTCGTTTTAATTAGAATGCTT